TGTCATAGCTCTTGGCGTCTGGGTTCTGGCGGTAGCCGGTCAGACCGCAGAGGGACTTTGAGGGGATGTTGACCAGGTTGCACTGGTCAAGGCTGCGGCAGGGCAGCTTGTTGTTGGGGGCAGCAGCAACGCTGACGGCTGACAGAGCAGCGGTGATGAGGGTAGAGTAGTGCATCTTGATGATTGATCTGGGGGAGTTGAAGAATGATTTCTTGAAGTTGCTTGCTCTGAGGAGATGAGATTGAAAGCGGCGATCCTTTCTCTTTCTTATAGGACTGCCGGTGAAAGGTAAAGAAGACCATCTCTACAACAACTTCTCCTTTGCTGAGTTCTAGATGCGCATCGTGTTGACTTACAGCAGGAGCTAAGCGTACGTGCAAGGCAAAAATGGAAAGGTTCGCCTTACATCACGACAGCTGAGAGTCCACAACTGAACTATCAATGAGATTATCGAACCTTGGCAGGAAAAATCTGTTAACGTAGGATCCGTAATAAGTCAATCCTCTTGTCCTCGGTCCCTCGCCAGGTGCCAGTCTACTCGCGGAACCGCTGCCGATCAAACTCGTATAAGACAGTTGAGCGGAGCGTTGATTCCGTACCCACCGGTTCCTCACATTCGGGTTCTTCCAACATGTGTCATTGGTCGAAAGGCATAAAGCTATGGGCAAGCGTTGAAACTATCGACGCCACGAAACAAAGCCCCGTCATTTCCGGGTCTAATTCCGCTTATGACCAGTGTGAATGGAGTCTTGTTTAGCTAATTCCGCGATTGCGGAAGCTTGTCTAGTCACTTAAATTTCTGTTGCAAAGTCGAGTCGCAAATTTTGACATGTTAAGAGTAATTATTAAACTATTCGAGTGTCGAATGAGTCGATGTGGCAGTGCGAAGGAAGAAACAAGTCGTCTCGGGCAGAATCTTCTGTAGATAATGACAGTCTGTATTTCTGCCCATTGGACATCAGTGAAGTCACTAGGTCCAAACGGTGCTGTTGACACTTGTTATGGGGTCTTTAGAAATACCCTTAACTAATTGGGTGTCTACCTTAGCTAGCATCTTTATAGTGCATTTGACGCAGACCCTGAGCCGGGTTCGGTCCGAAGGCGTCACGGTGTTTCTTGTGTACCTCAGGCCCCCTTTGCTTAATCACGTATAAGTTAAAAACTCGAGACCGTTCGGAAGCAATAGCATTTAGCTAAAAATTCCAGCACCCTACCTGACATCAAGCCTCAAGACAACCACCTGGTGGACAGAGTGAGCTGACTGGAGGTTTTTCTCAGAGCACTACAGCTTTGTGGGATCTTAAGCCAGTACCAGGCTAGGGACGAACTAATGCATTCAAGTCCTTCAAGAAGCAAACAGAGTGAACGGAGGAGTATCGCTTAGCAGGGTGACGGTTCCCGTGATGCTCTGATTTTGAGAGTGTAACCCGGGTAGTAGCCGATGCTCACAACAACCTCCGAAACTGTATCGGACTTATAAGTAGTAAGTTAACAGCAGTGATTGATAAAGCGACCCCCAGCCCTATGAGGCATCTCGTCAAAGTGCCCCACGCTGAGGTGTTTGATAATAACGCTTATCTTTTTACTTCGACTTCTTTCGCCCAGCGGACAGTCAGTGATTGGCTCTCAGAGGATACGCAACTATCGAAATGCCGTCCCACATCGCACCACTTGGCGAAAACCGAAGATGCAGTTCTGACCCAAAACCACTAAAATCCAATAGTGTAAGTTAGCTCTGAGTGTGATTTTCTCCTGATGGTCAAGAGACAGGTTTAATAATAAGTCATGGGAGTATGGGCTTGGAGGAATTGCGTCCGTCTTTGTTGTTTCTGCATCTGACCCTATTCACTCGTTATTTGTTCTTTGGCAATGATTGCTGCAAAGGTTCTCACCGCCGTGGCGGCTTTGATTCTTCAGCCCGTTATGGCTGGACCTTGTCGCCCGATCTCGCGGTCAACTACGGCGTCTGCTGAGTCTTGGACTTCGCTCACGTCCGCAACCACGTTCACTTCACTCCCTTCCACTACTGGCCTTACGTCTATACCCATTGTGTCCCTGTCGTCCTCTTACACTTTGGTGGGGGAAAGCACCACTACAGATGTCTCTGAAAGCGAGACAGTGACCAGGGAAACTTCGGTCGCCGAGACCTCGTCTGAGACAGCTGGTAGTGCGTCAGTCACCACAGGAGATTCTTCGACCATTATCTCTGTTGCTACAACTAGGTCTGGGCTTTACACTACTGAGTCTCAGGCATCGCAAACCTCGATGGTTGGTTTGACAACCACTGAGGGCATTTCTTCTACAACGGAGGCCTCTTCAATTGATACCGTCAGCAGTGAAACTGCAACTGCAACCACTGTCGCTTCCACCACTACGACCGACCGAGACTCCGTATCAGAGTCTTCTAATACTGTCACTACCAATACTGAGTCTCATACTACTATGACTGATACTGCCACAACTTCAGAGGGGTCTTTGACTGCTACAGCTTCCTCAACTTCATCTGATGTACCACCTACAACTACAGCAGAGTCAACGACGACTTATGCTAGTACTTCCGACACCTCGACCCTCGAAGCGTTTACAACTACCACTAGCTTCACCACCTTGACTACGGTTGCTACTACCAATGTCATGACATCTACATACACCACAACAACTGAGGCCATATCTACAACAAGTGAGGAGTGCCAAATCTATCCTTATATGCTGGTTTAAGGGTAACTACACTTATGTATATTCTATTCTTCCTCTTACATTCTTTTTACTCGAGTAGTATATATGTTCCTGTACATAGACTTGACCAATTCCAATTAACTCTATAGCCCAGCGTCAACTCGAATACTGTAGCTCTTCTCCGTTTGCTTTAATGCAGTAATTTGAACACCCCAGCCAGGAACCTTATACGAGCTCACTCCACCCTGGGTCAGGGATAGCGTTCCATCATTCTTGTCGTAGGCACTATCGCCGCAGCCACCTGATCCTGGGGTCACATCTACAACACGGACAGGACCATAGCCTGTATTGACCGAGGTATCAACTGTGTACAGCAAGACGCCAGGGGCACACACACCTGAGTCAAGACCCTCGGGTACGCGAGCCTCTGCGACAAGTGCGTTAGTTTGATTGACGGCAACAACAACAGCCTTGACGCCATTGCCAGAGGTGTTCAGTTCTAGTGGGTCAAGAATGTGCTGAGTAGTTCCTCGCTCCGAAACACAGTCGACAGCCTTGTCTTCAATCCAACCCAGGCGCCACTTATCCCAAGCGAAGAAATCAGGGGCTATGCCAGAGAGGTCTCCCATGGCACTGCAGCCACCAACGTAGTAGCCAAGGCCAAGATCCTCGAACGGGTACAGGTCGGCCAAACACATGGTGTGTCCGGTTTCGTGAGCTAATACCTTCCAGCTCTTTTTTCCCCAACCTGTAAAGGCGTCGGTGCCAACAGTGACGGTCTTTCGGGCAACATAATCGCCCTGCCTAGTGTTGATTCGTGAAACGTAAGTGATGGACCGAGAGATACCTCTGCCACCGACGCTATTTACGGGAACAACATAGAGGACGTCTGTTTCTGGAGGTGGAGGGCGAGTGCCACTGGCTGTGTAGGCGTCGAGGGCATCCTGGATATATTCTTGATGTTCTGGCCCTGTGAGACCTCGCTCCCAGCCATATGATACAGCAGACTTGGGCATGCGGTAGAATCTGGACATATCGGCCGAAACATCCAGGGAAAGGGTCCCATACGAGGCTTGCTCGTACCATTCGGCTGTTTGAGGGACTACAGCGTCGTAAAGCGATTGGGGAGTCTCTCCTTGAGCAGTTTCGGCATCGGGGAAGTCAACAAAGATCATGAAGCCTTTGAGAGTTCCGGTCCTTGGAGCACAGTCCCCATTATAACCAAAGCCGACACTCATCTCCACAGTGTTATTGGCAGCCAACTTGCAAGCAGCTTTCGATTTAGGGGGGGTTGGCTTGCAAGCAGCAGCGCTGGCTACAACAGGCCAGAGCAAAGAAAGAAACATAAGGTTCATGGTGATAGGAATTGATTAGAAGCAGAATTAGAGGTGATGAGTGATGGGAAAATACTTCTCTGACGCACGTTGGGATATCTTTTATCTTTGACTCTCTCCCAACCCGTGAGGCCCATCGTGCACAGCCAACTTGATATTTTGCCAGTACTGCTTATGACTCGAGATTGACCAACTGTAACGTCCCAATTGAATCGCCAGCTCGTTTCAGCTTGAGCAGCTACTGTCAGAGGACAGCGGTGCTCACGTCAGCGGGTCAGTCGCCCTCCCCGATGTCCACATCTCTGATTGGTTACCATGGGGCTTCTCATAGCGGTCTAGACTCTCCATCGTCAATTATCAGGATGAAAAAATTGCGTTTCCCATGCATCGTCTTAGAGCTATCCAAGCACAGCCCCTTCAGCTCAAGTCTCCCCTGATGCTCAGTGAAGCTAACCGAGGTTCTACCCCCCGGCTGTCAGCTTTCGATTAGATGGCCTGAGCTCACTCGGGGTGACTTGTTCGTGACCGAGGGCTTCTGTTGCACTATTGCGAAATGAGCAGTAAGCAGCTACTGATGTACGCTGTCAGAAATACGAAGTGGCTGGACATGGCCTCAGCCATCATAATCTCACCACCTCAAAGAAACGGCGGTGAGAATATTGTCGACAATGCCGGGGAACTATGAGTCTGCGACCGTTCCAAGTGATGGTTGAGAGGGATTACACTGATTTCCACGAGGCTACATATGTCGGAGCTTTAATGATAAAAGGCTGTAATATCCTGTTATTGTCTATTATAATTATCATCATCGACACTTCAACAACAAACATAGCCCTCGGACAGCCCTTTAATCTTTAGTTATTTTAACCTTAACAAATCCTTGCCCTTACTCCGAGCTTCTTCATTCCTTCCCTGCCTCACAATATCTATATATATACGATGCATTGCAACTATTTTCTTCTTGGATTTACCGTCTTTGCCGCCACAGCTCTAGGATTCCCTACCGGGAAGTCTGTCGATACTGGCAAGCAGGTTGCTGCTTTGTACGAAGCCAAGGGAGACAATTTTGACAACAGGCAGTTGGTCCCCGAAAAGTTGGAGAAGAGGAAGGATGATAGGGTCTGGCATCCCGGGAAATATGACGGTAAGGGTAATGGCCACGATGATGGCAGCTGGTACCCTGGCAAATATGAGGGTGACTGTACTGGTTATGATGATGGAAAGTGGAATACTAGGAAGAATAGTTAGAGGAAAAGGGTTGCAAGGAGGCTTATGGAAAGTACAAGAAAAGAACAACTTATTCTAAAATATGGGTTTACTAGAGCTTCTTTATTCTATACACCTCTTTTGCCATTCTCTTTACTTGCATCCCCAAATGTTGCGCCATAGGCCATACCTCAGCGTACTTGGCAAGCGCCCCAATGTTCTGGCCCATATTCTGACGAAGATCCTGATCGTCTTGCGCCACAAAGGCCAATGACCATCTGCTGAGGTGGACTGTAGACGAGAGTGTTACCATGTAAGCAAAGAAATGAGTGTGTTTAAGGAGAGGAACGCGGTAGCTGATCAACTTGCTAAGCTCCCTCGCAGCCCGAATCGTATGTTTCGTATGCGAATTGAAGGCATCGCTGGACTCAGCTGGCGTGTTGGACGCTTTGATATAATAAGTCAACGATGAGTCCAGCTGTGAGTGAGGCTGGTGTACGAGAATAGAAATAGCCTGCCACATCATGATGGCCTGGAACATCATCTCATCTAACTCGCCATCGCAATAAGCGTCGTATTTTGAAGGAGGCAAGCGGAGCATCCAGTTCGCGAGAAGCCTAGCTATATGGTCGACCTCTGATGGCATTTTCTGAAAAGCACCCAAGATGCAGGCACATTGAATCCGATAGGTGTACGAAGAATATGGCGTGGGGTCAAACAGTCCCAAGGTTTCCGTATCATATGGGTGAATAGGAGGAGGTACTTGCTAGATCTTGTAAGTATACAGTGAATACCAGTCTCTATAACGACTTACTCCTGTGAGGTATTGGTGCTCTTCACAAGGCAGACCGACATCTGTAGGTACATCATACAGAACAAAAGTGTTGGTTTGATGCACCCCGGACATAAGGGCATCCACAACGTAAAGCTCCCACCATGTCCTTCTCCAGCACTCTTCAAGTACCGAAATTCCTTGTCCATTGGTGACTGCAAATGGATCAGAGTTCAATTTAATCTGAATCGCGATATCAATGGCATCTCCCATAAGCTTTCTGGCCTTTTTCTCTTGACGGTTACCGTCGAGCCCAATGATGATAAGCAACATCGCCTGCACTAAGAAGCCATTTCTGAGCGGTGCACCGTCTATTAGACGAGATGCATCTGTGAGAAGGCTTTGAGAGCTATCTTGATCGATGTATAGAGAACCAATCCAACGTATCGCTGCCAGGAGGGGCTCCAGGGAGGTCTGCTGTGCTAGGATGAGAAGAAGCTCCTTTGGCGGTATGAAGGGATGAGCGGCGTAGAAATTCAGATAGAACGAGTCGATGAAACGTTCTCTTAGAGGAAGTGCCCGGGGTACTCTGTTGCCAGTGCCGCCAACCAGAGTCTGAGAAGTAAAACCGGGCAAACGAGTTGACGCAATAGTTTGAGAAAACGCGGCGATTGGGAAGCATGTATCAACGCTCGAGTAACTCGCGACATTACCAAGAAACATGGTGGGATCAAGGACAGAAGAAAATTCCAGTGCAGGCGGCGCAGCGGGAGGGCCGACAACCGTGACTGCGGCGTCAAGAACAGGGACGGTTAGGCCGGTTCCTTGACGCTGACTTGAGGGTTGAGCGGCTATGCGTTTACGGCCATTATATCCGCGACGGGACACTGTATAGACGCAATCAAGATCAGCAGTTCTACAGCGGGAACAAGGACGTTCCCCATCGCATTTGAGGTGCCTTCTACGCTAGGCGCAAGACCAATGTCAGCATCCGGTTCTTTTTTTGAACATCATCGCCAAGATCAGGCCATGGAACCACGGACAGTAATAGGCGGTGTAGGGACGATGTACAGAACTCACGCAAACAAGACACGCAGCTGGAACCGTAGGAAGATCACGGCGAGGGCCAGCAGCCACTCGAGGCTCCGGAGATGGCAACATTAGTCATGGAGCTCACAGAACCAGTAGGCGATTGCGTTTTCAAAGCGGACAGCACCACGATCGGGCCTTTTGTGGCTCAAGGATTTGGTAAAGAGTTAACGTGGGTATGGTTTAAAACTTTAATCAGGCAGAGAGGTTATATAAATAAGAAAAATAATCTTTAACTTAAGAGGCCTTCTCTGATATAGAAGGAAGGAAAGAAAAGGAAAACTGCAATAACAATAATGACACTCTAGGAATATTGGAAGAACTTACGAAATTTACCTCCTGCTGCGCCTCCGCACTTTTATCTTTCAGCCTTAAACCGTTATAAGACCTAGCACGGAATTTCCCGCATTTTGACAGTAATCTACCACTATTCCTAAACTGGAACTCAGCTTCATAAAAAATTTTATCTTACGACATTAGCTGCATGACCTGTGTGTACTGATGGTTTCTATGCCAACGACGGTGCTGATAAGAGATCCAGCAGCTGACATCGACAAACTGACCAACGCTGCGAATCAAAGAAGGGTTGATGTCAAGGGTCTTGGTGTCGACATGAGACATAGTCTTGAGGCGAACAGCTTCCTCTAGCATGGGAATTAGCGGGATATGGCATTTGGGGACAGACATGATGATTGGCTCAACTGCTGGAGCAGGACTCTCTCTGACTGAGCGCGAGTTTGAACGATAGCCTTAGGGAGAAGAGTTTCTTGGGTTCTGCACTATAGCCAAGTTATTCCACTACCAGGGATGCGAGTACCTGGTGAAGTAGCACAGCTTCTGTCATATACCACTACGCTCGACTGCCTGTCCATATGGCTCGTTCAGATTGCCAGGTCCAAGCACGTAAGCCTTCTGAAAGAGTACTTTCGTACTGTCGTGCCTGTTGTCCAAGAAAAATATATAAACCAGCCTATCACGCAACCGATCCCCAAGCTCGTCTGGCATCTTCTGCAGAGTCAGAGAACTATGACGCTGGGAACGAGATCACAGACGGGAGAAGCAAACACCAATGTTATCGGGAACTTGCAAGACGCTATTGGAACCGCACTAGACACTAGCTTTGACATCATCTTCTTTCTCGTCGGCGTTATCGAACCCGAAATTCTTAAGAATATCCTCACTGTCAAACCTGCTATACGCGAGAAAGCTTGGAAAAGCCTTCCATCAGAGCTCGACCGTCGGACGTACAATGACCTAATTGCCTGTCTCTGTCAAGCGGGTTTTACACTACCTCCACGATTTCCATTGTTTAGGCCACCAATACACTCTCTTTACGATGCCTGCGAGGTCGGATCTATAACTGAAGCACAAAAGCGTCTGCAAGAAGGGCGGGAGAATGTTGATATGCTGGGACCTCGAAACCGAACTCCCTTACATGCAGCCGCGCAACAGGGCCACCTGGAAATTGTTAAGCTACTTGTAGACTACGGTGCAGACATGATGGCTACCACTTTCTTTGGCAGCACAGCAGAGAAGCTTGCAGAGAAATATCATCATCCAGCAGTTGTAGGGTTCTTAAAAGCAGCTCGGCGGCAATAAAAGAAGGGATCAAAACGTAATGCTGAGTAATTAACAGAAGATATTAGCTAGATTATAGAATAGTACAGTTTATTCTAGTTTATAAAATATATTTCATCCTAGACCTAGCTTATCTAAAGCTATAAACTGCTTATACCTTGCTTAGAAATTGAACTATTAATATTATATACTTTATAAAAAGCTTTTTAAAACAGAACCGTAATGTCTATTTAATATAAAGTCAATAGTCTAACTAACTTCTAACATCATATCTCTGAATAGACAATTCAGGATAAGGCTTCCTATAGAGAGAGCATCATTGTCTCGGCTTCCACCACTGCCTCCTTCAACACCCGACAAATAGTTGCCAACTGCTCTTCAGTAATTGTAAACGGCGGCGCAAGGAGAATATGATCACCATTAACACCATCAATCGTAGCACCGCCCGGATACAATGCAACACCCTTCTCAAAAGCAATCTGCTGCACCAACAAACCAAACTTAGCCGAAGGGTCAAAAGGCTTCTTGGACGTCACATCCTTGAGGAACTCAACGCCCCAGAAAAGGCCTCGACCTCGGATATCACCAACCGACTTGCAATCCTTCAGCTCATGTCGAAGTAACCTCTCCAAAACAAGGCCCATCTGACGACATCGCTCAACCAAGTTCTCGCGTCTCAGGACTCTCTGCACCGCTAATGCCGCAGCGCATGAGATAGGATGAGCTTGATACGTATGTCCGTGGTTGAAGGCCGCCGAGCCTTGTCTGAGGACATCAACGACCTTTTTGTGAATGAGAACACCAGCAATAGCAGCATAACCACCACCAAGACCTTTCGCGATGGTGGTGATGTCAGGTACTACGCCCTCCTGCTCAAAAGCGAAAAACGTGCCTGTTCGACCAACGCCGCACATGATCTCATCCAAAATCATGATCACGCCGTACTTATCGCATATAGCTCTTACGCCCTTGAAGTAACCACCCGGGGCAGCAACACAACCTGTCGTCGCTCCAACGACTGTTTCCGCGATAAAGGCGGCGACGTTCTTGGGACCAATTCGTAGAAACTCTTCCTCAAGCTCGACAAGAAGTCTGGCCGTGAATTGCTCCTCAGTCTCAGAGTCGCCTTTGTAGTGATAAGCAAAAGCAGGTGAGACGTGAGAGACATGAGGGTATAAAAAGCCCTGATACGGAGCTCGGCGCGCTTTGTTCGTCGAAATAGACATGGTAGCCATCGTGTTTCCATGATAGCACTGACGTCTAGACACGATATGCACTTTATCAAGCTCTCCCATCTCATAATGATACTGACGAGCTAGTTTCAGAGCAGACTCAACAGCTTCACTGCCACTGCCGACAAAGAAGGCTTTCTCAAGACCATAGGGATTACCCTCCAGTATAACATTGGCGAGCTCTTCAGCTGGTGCTGTTGTGTAGGATTGTGTGTGAACGTAGCTGACTTTGCGAGCTTGGTCGGTGATGGCTTCGATGACCTCTTCGTTGCCGTGGCCGATGAGGGCAACTGCCGCGCCGGCACAACCGTCGATGATTGTTTGGCCAGTTGATAATTTGAGTTCAACGCCATAAGCAGACTCGACCATGTAAGGATGTTGGACGAGAGATCTGTGCATCAGACATCCTTCTTGATGTATGGGTTTGACGGGCATGGATGGTTGGTAGGTGGAGATTTCAGCGAAGTCCTCAGTCTTTGAAGGCGCCATGTCGAATAATGAAGAATTGAGGCAGAAGAAAAATGAATTCTATAATCAAATGACTAAAGATAATATTCTTTCCGTTTCACTGAAATTGTTTTTAATACACTGGAGCAATTCCTCTGTCCATTTATAAAACATCAAACCCGAAAGCCGATCATGGTCGTCGGAACTCGGAAAAGACAGTTTTTCAGCCGAACACCGACGAGCCGACTGATTCCGGCCCGTCGCTGTCTCATGGAATTCCCATGACAAACAGTATCATACGCTGCGACCCACTGAGATGGGTTGACAGGTCGAGAGCGTCGGTTCTCGTCATCGGTTTCGCTCGTGTGAGAACCGAGGTCAGATGCCGGTTCAGATATTTAACTAGAGAACTTTCTCGAATAACAACTTTACAAACACGCACAGATCATTGTTTCTTTACCTGCTGTTTGTGTATTGAGATCAAACATGTCTGAGCAGAAAGACAACACAGGGTCCGACTGGCCTTCCTCATCGAACTCGTCGGACAATGAAAAAGGCAATGACACGGACATTTCACAACCCGAATGCGAATCTCCCACTCCACCACCAGCGGTCGAGTTCGATAATCCCAAGGGATGGATCGCTGTAGCAGCCGCAGCGTGTTCTCTCTTCGTTTACCTCGGAGTCATTTACTCCTGGGGCATCATGCAAGTCAGACTCGTCGAAGTAACCGGAACAAATCTCACAACGTTGACGTTCGTCGGATCACTCGCAACATCATTCATGATATCGCTTAGTATCCTCTCTGGCATCGCTGTTCGGAAGCTGGGGTATCAGAAGACTGCTCTAGCTGGTGGTGTCTTGATGGGTCTAGGTGAATTCCTTGCAAGTTGGACGACAAAACATGTTGGGGCTCTTTTTGTCTTCCACGGTGTGATCTTTGGGATTGGAGGAGGACTATCTATCTTTGTAAGTTTGACCTGAAAGAGTATATGGGGCTTTACTAATTGCCAGGCATGCTCGACTGCTCCGCTTAGGTGGTTCAAGAGACACCGTGGCTTGGCTATGGGTATCGTATTTGGCGGAGGTAGCCTTGGTGCAGCTGTCATGAGTATCGCGACGAACCTTCTCGTGAACCAAGTCGATGTCGCGTGGACATTCCGCATTCTTGCTTTCATGCTCTGGGGAGTCTGTATCCCAGCTTCGTACTTCATTCAACAGCCCGAGGGATCCATGAGTGCTGGCTTGAAGCTTCAGTGGTCAGTAACCTGTTACCTTTTCATCCTAATAACATGTTGACCGCGATTAGGCATCGCTTCCGAGAACCTCGATTTCTCCTTATCATCGCCGGCACAGCTTTATCATGCTTCCCCTTGTTTATCCCACCATACTTCATTCCCATCTTCACCCGATCTATGGGCTACTCTAATCAGATTGCCATTATCATCCTGGCGGCTTGGAACTTGGCTTCCACCGTTGGCCGGGTCCTGGGGGGCTATACTGCAGACCACTTGCTAGGCCCTCTGAACAGCTTGATTGTCTGTCTCCTCTTTATTGGTCTCAGCTCACTCGTCGTATGGCCATTGGCGTCCTCGGTCGGAATCTTCTCCGTCTTCCTCGTGTTCAACGGCATTGGCTGTGGAGCGTTCTTTAGTCTCGTTCCTCCCATGCTCGGCGCTACAATGGGGCCAGAGAATACTCTTGGTATCCTGCCTATTGTTTGGACTACTTGGTTCTGTGGATTCTTCTTTGTATGTCACACATATACTTTCGACGCATACTTCTTACTGACCATAATCTTAGGGTACACCTATTGCTTCGGGAATCTACTCGCTTGCAGACAGTGGTGGTAGCAGTCTTTCGGTATTCAGGCCCGCTGCTTATTATGCTGGTGCGATGTCAATCGTGGGTCTTTTATTTATTGTCTATATACGTTTCAGTTTGCAGAGGCGCATACTGGCCTGTATATAGTTAGTTACATGATAATTCTCTTTCGATCTACGTTGTAAACATTTCTGGTTACCACGTCTCCTGAACAGATGTCCCATTGTGACCAAAGTTGATAACACCCTCTGGATGGAAGAGAGGCTCAGGTAGGGACTCCTGGCACTGCGAACGGATTGTATGGAAGTAAACAGCTAAGTGGGAAAGCCCTGCCGATTGCGAAAAAGCATCTGATTTCCAATACGTGGTCTCCAAACTTCAATGCTTTGAGTGCTAGAAACTTGGGCTGCAGTATTAAATAACAGCTCGGTTATCAAATCGCGTGTTGAAGATCCTACTGAGAAAAGGCCAGCCATGAGCTTATGATCTTGATTGATAGAGAGGGTCTCTACCCCACAATTTTCCGCCAATGACCCAGTGGTTATTATCCTTCATTCATGGGACTTAAGCTGTTATATAACGATGCATGCTTTAATTGGATAGCCGGGCGAATAGAAGTGAAGTTTGCTACAAGGGTTCTAGGTAAGTTTACTTTCGACATCGCGGGGTAATTCAGAACGAAACCCCAACAACGTCCCGCCCCCAAAGTGATCTGCAGATAATAGGACATATATCTTGACGTGGTTTGGTATTGAAGATGACGTCCAGTCAGTCTCTTGAGCTTGATAATTCAGTCCCTTTTGACCCTGACGGAGACACCATGAGGTCAGTTGAGCACCTTGTCCATTCTGCCATAATAGCCTCATGTCCTTGAAGCTCACCGACTCCATAGACTCGATATCGCCAAGCTTACAGCCTTTCTGGCGGCCAATTCCACGGGCACTGGTGTACTAATTTGCCCAGGTGGTGGCTACAGCCATGTCTCTATTGTCAAAGAAGGTTACAATCCAGCTGCATACCTGAATAAACTTGGTATTGATGCCTGGGTTCTCGATTATACCACGACACTCAATGCAACTGCACCCATTTATCCCAAGCCTGAGAAGGAGGTCTTCGCTGCTCTAAAGAAAATACGCCATGAAAATCCCAACCTAGAGAAGCTTGGAATTTGGGGCTTCTCAGCAGGCGGTCACCTTGCATCTACAACGCTCACCAACCCCAAAGCCGGTCTGGACTTCGGCATCCTCGCGTATCCTGTGATTACCTTGGAAGGCAACTATACCCATGCTGGTTCTCGGGACAATCTTGTCGGACCTAACGCGACGGCCGAAGAATTACACGCTTTATCAGCGCAGAACTTGGTCTCTGATACAACGCCCCCGACGTTTTTGTTCCATACCTTTGACGATCAAGCTGTTCCAGTGCAAAACACTCTGGTGTTTGCTGAAGCCATGGCAGCTCATAAGAGAAAGGCTCAGGTTTTGATCTTATCGGATGGTCCGCATGGCCTTGGGTTGGCTCTTGATGACCCTGTACGCAGTTGGACAAACGAATTAACACGATTTCTCACATATTCGATCTAGAAGGGATCCAATAGAGACAATTAGTGCCGCCTGGAGGCCTGTGCTTATCGTACACTTGGCAGAAATAAGAGGCATTTGTCCCAAGGCGCTTAACATATATAGTTATCTACAGACAGTACATGCTTTACAGTCTTGATTGACCAAAAGATCAACCCCTGCTTTGTCCCTTTTTATTATCTACAACTAGTTTATACAAACTCTCAGCAATATCACTATCTATGGTGCAAATTCCAAAGCGGCCAGATCGCCGACTTTGGGCATGTAAGGCCAGATTAAATATTCATGTAGAGCCTGGATATCTTAGCACTCCTGGAGAAACCAGCCATTGATGAACTCTTGTCAAGCGCCGATGAATAAGGAGATTTCTAAGTGAAGCAAGAATATATGAAGAGCAACATCACATGGAAAAACAAAGTTAGCTAAATACATTCAAGAGAAGTCTTCAAAAGTGCACGCCATCGCGTAGCTGTAGCTGTACCATCAACTTCATCCAACGTCTTGCACAATCTGCCCTCCCCACCATCTGGGAACACATAGATACCCCCTAGCGAGTCAATATTCTCTGACCACTCAAACGGAGCCCAAGGCATTTTTCCATAACAAAAATCAAGCCACGCAGCGCGGATCTGGCCCACGGTAGACACCCAGTTCTCGAGGTGTTCAGCCGGGACCTGGTCTTCCGCTGGGTTGAAGAGGAAGATGTCATTGATACCATGGTTGGCTCTCTTATAACCAGGTGACCAATTCTTGTACGGGTTCGTGGCTTGAATCTCGTAAAGAAGCACGTGTGACGAATGGCCGTGCGCAATCTGATGCTTCTTGATGACCGCTGCTGAGTAAATTGGCGGAGTACGGAATGCCACATCCGCCATCAGGCCTGCTAGGTCCTCGAAAGAATCCAAGCAAGACTTTTCTCGAGTCAGGTTATACGCTTGGGCAACTTCAGAAACACAGAAGGGACTGTCGTCAGAGTTCAACTGAGGCGTCATGGCGCTACCTGCGAGCACCTCCCGCGCGATAGGGAGTATCTGTGCCTCTGGCAGAGGCGGATGCGGGAGAGGCTTTGACAGATCAGACAATAGCATCAATGTTAGATCTCGCTCATACTCGGTTGCGCCAATCATCAAGTTCGGTAGGGGTTCGTCAGCCTTGCCCAACTTTTCGAGTGTCGGTTTGAGACCAGCCTCAGGAACCCATTCACCATCGACGAGTGGGCTGTAGAGTGATGGCGGCGATGCTGGTAAGAGCTCGTCCAGAGGAAGATTTACCAATGAATCAAGTAGAGAATCATCCGCTTGTAGGCCTGGTAGTTGAGATAGCACGTAGTCGAAGCGCTCCTGATGCCATGGCATAGGCCGAGATGCGATACCGACAGACGTTCCACTGGATAGAATGGCGCTCTGGAACTTGCGATTGGGGAAATTGACCTGGTAATGACACGAAGCACCGCCTGCGCTAGTTCCATGAATAGTGATGCAATCAGAAGCACCTCCGAACCCAGCGATGAAACGAGAGATCCATTCAAGCGCCTGGCGTTGGTCATGAAGACCATAGTTGCCAACAGCCTCGCCATGAGCGCGACTTCTCTCAGCCAGCTTATCCGAAGTCAGGAATCCAAGAAGTCCCACGCGGTAGTTGATAGTGACCACCACGACTGGCTGCTCCCGAGCGAGACTTGCCCTCACTAGATCGGTAGCATCGTAAATTTCGCGTCCAGATAGTTGGATTGACTGACTGCCGCCCATGAAAGCACCGCCATGGATAAAGACCAGTACAGGAACGTTCTGGCCTGATTCAAGAATCTTGCGTGGTGCGGTGATGGATAGGTTCAGGCAGTTGAACTCATCATGGATGGGCTTTTCTAGGGTGGGATAGCCACTGGGAGGTGGTGCCGTCCAGTATGAAGGAAAGGGTAGGACCAATTGGGGACATTCAGGACTGGGAGAAATTAGTAAGTCGATTCGTGTATAGAGTCTTGGTTCTGCACTTACCCTGGTTGGCGAGCATTGAATGGTTGCGAAGGTAATGGCCCGTCTCTCAAGATGCTCTGGCGAAAGCGGCCAGGAACTGACGCGAATGGAATACCGCGAACCTGAACGACATCATCGTCTCTGGCTAAGCCGACGATGCTGCCCAGCTCTGGGTGATTGAGGGTATAGTCTGAGACTGTCATATTTGGTTGCTTCAAACAAACACAGACAGTCAATTGCAGGCAGTAATAAATATACGATTTTGCAGCTGAAATACCCTTTTCAAGCTTGCCAAGAGTGAATTAGCCGCTTAAACTCGGCGGTCAAGTTTCGTCTTATACAGGTTGCAACCAAACTTAGCGGCGCCGTACTTGGCCATTTCGGGAATATCCCCGTCTCCCTCGGCTGCGCATCGCGGCAACCCTTTCTCCTCCCCCTCACATGACCCGGCCTCGCGGGTTTTGGCCCAAAGAGTGATAGAGCAGATTTAGCGTAGGGGAATCTGTAGGGCACGAAGAAGTCTCTGTCATATCGTTTGTCTCCCCATTCCCCAGATTTTCGGCCCCAGAAAACTCTCTCCACTTTCTCCAAGCTGCAGTACCCTCCATGTTTTCGTACCGGGCTTGAGGTTTGGTGCTGGGGTTTGTATATAACTTCTCGTTGAGCCCGTCGGTTGGAACCCATTATCTTGCAATTGGCATTCTCAGACCTCAAAACTCTCATCTCTAGAGACCAATTGATCCAAGCTTGGTCACTTTATACTTTTCCATCTTGTTTCCTCCCCTCAACTCTTCTAATCGGTACTCACCTCCATCTTCGCCATGACTGCCGACGTCCATCATGCGTCGCCGCGAACCAACTCGTTGGCAAACTTCTTTCGGAGTCCAAAATTGGTCTACTCCAGTGAGTTTTTCCCTTCATCACTATCCCAAGGGACACCGAACTAACATTACCCCTCAGCCTTCCTCATGGCAATGGCCTTCTTCACCTTTGGCTATGACGGTTCCATCAACGGCGGTATCCTAGCCATGGTCCCTTTCGTCAACCAAATGTCTCATACTCACCTTCCCAATGGCACCCCGTACTTGACCTCGACCGACATCTCCATCATAACAGCTCTTCCCGTCACTGGCTGTGTCCTCGGACTGCCCCTCGCAGCCCAGTTTGCTGATAAATACGGCCGCAAGAAGATGATCCTTGTAGGCTGTATCTTTAGTGCTGTTGGAAGCGCCATCCAGACTGCTGCGTTTGGGCTGGCTGAGATAGTCGTCGGTCGTTGGATTGCGAGTAAGTCTTGATCAACCACCTCCAGCTTGTCCATGTGACTGACCTTTTCTCTCAGATGTTGCTATCTGGCTCTTCATTGTGCTTGGCTCAACCTACATGGCCGAGATTGCGCCCGAAAACGTCCGTGGCGCCATCGTCGGTATGTCTATCGTTCTCATCAACACAGCAGCCATCGTCGCGAGCGGTGTAAACTGGGCAATGAGCACAGAAATGTCCGCCATGTCATTCCGTCTCCCCCTTGGCCTCGGCATCCTCTTCCCTCTCATCCTCTTCGTTGGGCTCTTCTTTGTCGATGATTCACCAACGTGGTACCTTACCAAGTCTCGTGACAGCGATGCCCTCAAGTCTCTCCGAAGCGTCCGCAGTGGCTACCCAGAGACTGAGATTCTGGCCGAGTTCGAGGCTCTCAAGGCCCAGGCGTCTATTCGTGAGGATGAGACTAAGGTTCCGTGGATGGATATCTTCCGTGGAACTAATCTCCGTCGATCTCTCTTGGCCATGTCCATCGGAAACATGCAGCAACTCTCAGGCATTGCTTTCGCCACCAACTACGCCACCATCTTCCTCGCCACGGTCAGCGGCAACGTGTCTCCTTTCCTTCTCACCATGGTCGGTGCCATCCTCGCTTTCGCCGGTGCTATCACTGGAATCTACCTTGTCGACAGAGTCGGACGTCGAACCCTTGCCCTCAGCACCTTCATCATGGTCTTCTGTATCGATCTCGTCGTCGGTGTCCTTGGCTTTATGGACTATACAGGAAACCCCAGTATCGCCAAGGCTATTGCTAGCATGTGCATGCTCTTCTCGTTCTTCTTCGCAGCTGGATTCGGACCTCTGACTTACGTCGTCTCTGCTGAAATCCCGACTGCCCGTCTACGCAACAAGACCAGCTCTTTCTCATTCTTGACTCTGGCTGCGTTTTCCACTGTTGTGATCTACGTGCTGCCATACATCTCGCAGGCCGATGCGTAAGTATGACTCTTTGTCTTCAAGCTACCCTTATGCTAACATAATTTTCACTGCAGAGGTAATCTTGGTCCGAAAACTTACCTCGTCTTTGCTGGTTGGATGGCCGGATGCATCATCATCACGTACCTGTACCTTCCCGAGACCAAGGGAAGAACCCCTGCCGAACTGGATGCCATGTTTGAGGCTCGTGTTCCTGCTCGCAAGTTTAAGGGTAAGAAGGACGCCCCGTTAATCAGTACATTACTAATCATAGATCAGACTATCAGTGCAATTTGTCTATGGAGAGCTACATGAATGAGGAGAAGATTGTCGCCGAGATTGACCACCACGAAGCCAAAGCTTAAAGTGATGGAATAGAGTCACAGTCAGGTTGGCAGCGACATTGGGGAGTTGGTTGGGCGTATGTGCTCAGGACAGCGGTATGGCAAGATTCAGTGGGGTCCAAACGCGTTCAAATAGTAGTATTTAATTGCACAGTCACTCTGTATCTCTATTTCGTCAGGTACGACATTATGCCCTCTGATATCATACTTGCTACTGAACCCTAGCCATCTACTACATGTCTTCCCTAGCCAACGCTACAGACTTGCTTACTCGACATTGTGCGTTGAGTGCAGCAAGGTTAAGCTCCATTAGACTCTATGGCATCACGTGAGAGGTAGAAGAGCTCACAGGATGAAATATGTGGGCAAAGCGATGATAGACTTAGCAGATCTTGGGCTATATATTTTTCCCATAGTCTTGAGTTCAGGTTCTTTCCAACGTATTATTGGCTGGTGTTTGGCTATGATATACAAGAAAAGATAAAGAACTCTCACATCGATTCTAAAACAGTCTTAGATATCACTCCATCTACATATCCCCTGATGCCTACATTTATAATTATCTAGATCTCATAACACGACGGCTTTAGCTCCCACGCCGTACACTCAAGCAGCCGACCCGACCACGGGCTTTCACTCTTCCTTACCACAAATGGCTGAATGCTATAGCAGGTCATGCTTTCCGGGTAGACTCTTGTAGTAATTGCCGTCCTATCATTGGCAAAAAGCTCTAGACAACTCACATCAAAGAATGCATTGAGTCTTAAGGGTTCCTCAGACAGTGATGGCTCAGCTCCTGCAGCAGTTTCGGGAGATAAGGTCGTAAAGAGGGTATGTGGTGCCTCTTCATCTGCCACGCATATGTCTGTCATGCTGGTGGATTGAGCTCGTGTGATTGTAAGCTTCTCTAAATCAGGGCTAAACGAGACTACCGTACGTAGTTCTGAATCTTTAGAGGAAATGTTAGCAACCTCTAGAAGCATTTTGCCACTCTATCTTGTAGTCTTACCTTTCGTGTGGCTTATTATGAAGCCGATACTCTCCACGTCATTTCCAATATCGAAAGATACATCGAGCTCCCAGCAGGAGCACCCCAGGGGAAATTCCAAGCTTCCCCGACCTTTGGGCAAGGTGCGAGAGCTGATTGGACCCATGGACCGCTTGCTTTGACGAAGTTTGTTGAGTCTAGGGTCTGGCAAAGCACACACTGTCGTAATCGTGTAGGTCTGAGGAGAGTCTTTCGGGAACAGTGACTCCTGCTGCGTCTTGTCCTCTAGCACCACGTCAAATGACTTGATAGCTGTCAGATCTGACTTCAACGCATGGACAACATGACGAATCCTGCTCAACCGAATGACTCTGGGGACCGACAACAGTCCTGCCCATCCTTGTGCCCCCTTCAGTTCTGCAGAGAGATCTTCCTCAATAATCCAGCCAAACGCAACTTGCTGATTGGATCTCGGATCGTGGAAGGAGTTGACAGCATAAATTGCTCCATAGTCCAGGGCACCGCCAGAACGGAATTGCATCTGTATCCTTTCTGAAGTCTGCACTAAAGGGCCCGAAACCCACATCTGGCAATGATCCCTTCTGAACTCTGAATGGCGATGCCGTCCAGAAGGCTTGACGTCGACTTGCTTACGCCCCTCGACTCCAATCATAAGTACCTCATGGCTTATCGCTGGGTCATCAGGGTCGGGGAGTGAAAGAAAGTTGACCACTTCCCAGTTTGCACCATAGTCGGGCTCCCATTGGGAATGATGGTTTCCTTGAGGGGTTGGTGCTATAGTCAGCACAGAGAGGAAGTTCCAGGCTGTTAAATCGTCCTGTTCGAGAGAGTAGAGAAATATTGCAGGGTCGATGCCTCGAACACCACCAGAAACAATGCCAAATAGCGCCTCCTCTGGCCTGTCTCCTAGGAGCCGACTGAGTGAAGGCCACTTAGCAACGTATGGATCCCGCCAGCCTGTAACATCGAGGTGGCGAGGAGGGCCATCCAGAACAGTCGGTGCATTGCCCCTCAGCCATGTGCGACCGGCGTCGTTGGACGTGGCGATACAAATTGCCTCAGAACCCCAGTTGTAGGGAAGTGTATGGTGTATCGGAAGCCTCCGCGCTGAAGTATAGAATGCAGTGCTTCGGCCGGGTATTGAGGTTACTGGACTCCAACATCCTGTGAAAACCCCTTCTTCTCCATCATGCTTCTTCGACGGTCGAATAGATGGACTGTCACTGACCTCCCAGGTCACCAGGTCTTTTGAAAGTGCACTTCCCCATGAAATATCGCCCCATTCTGGCTTCTTGGGATTCCACTGGAATCCGACATGATAAACATCATGGACGGCGTCATAGCCTGGTGCACAAGGGTCGTTCAGCCAGCCGGTTGGCGGCATGAGGTGATAACGCGGTCTCCAGCGACGATGGGCATCTTCGTTATGGGTTTCTGATGCTTTGACGATGGCAAGGGGGGTTTCTTGGCCGTGAAGTACATCGTTATGGGATGTCGTGGAAGGTGCGCTGTACGGAGCCTCATAGACAACAGCCTCGTAGATGTGGCGTTTGGGTGAAAGCTGGATAAGGACGGGTGAATCGAGGGTTGCCATAATCGCTATGGTTCAGTGAATGCTTTGACAATTTCACCGTGGGTAATCAGCAGGAGTAGCCTTTGAGAGACCGTAAAGATGCGGAACGACCATCAACAGACTAAATTAATCACATGACGGACATTGACGACGGCATTCGGCTTCTTCATTTCATCCTTGCAAACATGCCATGTTGAATATCACGGCCCTGCAAATCGGCAATTGTAACTCCTGTTTCTGACTGTTCTCGTTTGCAGCGGGAATATTCCCAATTGGGCTTAAATCGTCATGTCACATCGAGCAGCAGATTTCAGCGCCAGGTGACACTAGCCCGAGTTCTGCTTCGTGGGGAGACATTTGGACGGTTTGAGAGATTGCCCAGGCCTTTGTCGGACCGAGAGTCTAGACAAGGTTCCCCGCAGTCTCCCCCGTGCCCTTAACTCGGACCAGGGGAATTGTGCGTCGGTTTTATTCCTTATCCGTCATAAAAGCCTCTTGCTGCAGATGGACCGTCCCTCTCTTGTCGGGAAAAGGAGATCCCAGCTCGACATGAACCAAGTGGTCTTTGATTCATCTTTGGGCTGCGCTGTTCAGACTAGATCATGTGATCACTGTTTTCATCGGAAGATCAAGGTAGGTTGACTGCTCCGTGTTTGCCTCAGTCTCGCGATTCTGACTCAAATCCACAGTGTGACCGGCGAACTCCATGTGCGCCCTGTCAAGAGAACCGCGTAGAATGCCAATATGAGCGGCCTCGGAAGAAGCGCCGGTACATTCGGCCGGCGTCCGATGATCCAGATGTCAACTCAAGGGTATCTTCCGAGAGGCAGAACGTCTTGTATGAGGACAGGGGAGATTGGATGCCTGTTCAAACCGTTGACGTGAGCACCCCTACACAGGCACAGCAGCTGGATTCGGAGTGTGTGAACAATTCTACACAACTTACTACTGTCTCTCCTGTTCAACTGGAGACCGAATACTGGGACCTTGGTATGGGAGAATGCTTCTTCTACCCAACCAACCTTTTCGGACTGGTCGACCTTCCTCCCTCTATGCCATCGTTCCCATTGAATATACCCCAGAGTCCTAGCCTTTGCCTCTCACCTCCACTCCAGCATGTCTCAAGTCAAAACGGAGTGCTGGATCGTCTGCTAGATGACAGCACCATCCCACAGCTCATCGACGTGTTCCTAGAGCGCCTACAACAATCCATGCCCTTCTTCACTCGCTCGTATCTCCATCAAAACATTGCGCGTCAACGACATCTTCAAGATCGGTCTTTTGGTTCTTTGGTACAGGCGATTTGCTCGCTAGTCCTTCTACAGCCCGTCCAAAGCCAGGAGAAACGCTCATGGCCGAACCGTGAAGCAAGAGCCGATGCACACTTGGCTCTAGCTGTAAACTTACACTCACAATCTGATCTAGGCCAGAGCCCGACTCTGGAAACTATCATGACAAGTGTATTCTTGTTTGCGTGTCAGTTCTGCAAGGGAAATTTCGATGCCGCCAGATTTCGGCTTCGGGAGGCCGCAGCGCTAGCCGAAGTGATGAATCTCGACAAGCCTGAATCTTACGGTAGAATTGGAGACACTGAGAAACAGCGAAGACTTCGGACATTGATCAGCCTTACGATCATCGAGAGGATCTACTCGGTCCAAAGGGACTACATTCCCGCCACGAAACTACTAAGCCGGAACAAGCTGCGAGAGCTACAGAACGCCATCGCATCTTCGCATGACAGGGGCGAAAGCGAGAACATAATTGCCATGGAGTGCATCAGCAACATGCTCGAGCAGGTGGACTTTATTGATCCCGATATAATAAAATGCTGGAAAGGTTTCTGTTGGGAAGAAGAGGCACCGACACACGTCACCAGAAGCACGATACTCACTCTCTTACGACGCTACCGGATTCCACCACAGTTTTCTGGACTTTCTGGTATCGATACTCATGCTCAACATGCAGATATTCTTGTTACCAGGCACTGGATCAGGATCAAGCTGTGGTCTTTAGCCAATAGCCACGGCTACGTTGAAGCCCTTTCTGACGATGAGGAATTCCGTCATGAATACGCCGTTACCATTGCCAGCGAGGCTCTAGACACCTGTTTGCAGTTCCAGATGACTAGTCTCGAGGTACATGGCATCGGACTTGTAAGTCTAGTTAAGATTCCCGCTGATGAATACCCAAACTGATCAACAACAGGTTGAAAAACTATCTGATCTAGCAACTTGTGCAGCACAACAAGTCACCGTCTGCTCGCCTACCCAAGATTATCCCATCCATGCAGACTTAAGCAACTCTGAAACAAACGGAATACAGCCACAGCAAGATTCTCCGACTTCGACGTCAAGTTCGGGGACTGTGAATAATGGCGCTGAGGGGATGCTCAATGGCTATCTCTCGCTGTTTGCGTCTTTCCGGAGAGGGAAACATCCTTTTCTTAAGCCATATATGCGCCTCCTGCTACTCAGAGATTGAGAAAAGGAAGTTCCGTTCTTGTCTCTTAGTACCTGTACGATCAGCGTCAGGGCCAACAGTATGCCACCATTATGCGCCTCTGGTCTATTCTAAATGGGAAAAATATTTAGGTGATTTTTTTATAGACTTAGAAGCCTTTAGATTAATTTTTAAAACTTAGGATCGCGGTGAGGATATCTTACCTTGCTACGTACCCGACCAGTTTAAAGCATTGCTGAGCCACAGTTTTCCTCCTTCGCAGCAACAGCAACGCAACACACAACCTCTCAATTTTGATCTCGAATCCAGCTCGGCGCGATGGTAGGTGAATCGCCCAATAATGCAGTCTGAATCACTGACTAACCATATAATCCACAGGCCGACTCGTCGTCCAGTCTCTCCTCGCCGCCCGCGAGCCCTCAGATCGATGTGTCGGTTGAAGGTCTCCTCCGTGAAGTGATCCGTAATATCAATGACCGTCTCAATACTCTCGAGACCACGGCTCGCGACCATGGCCAGCACTTAGCCCGTATTGACCGCAGTCTCGCCAACCTGTCAGTACCTTACTATGAACTTGACCATGCTACCCATACTTACTGACAAATGCTTAGGACCGCTACAACAACCAACCTCCATGCTAGAGCCCTCAATTCCACTGCTTGTGCGTCTAGTTCGGCCCTCACCCCTCTGGTCAGTCCAGTGACTGGCGGCGCCATTCCCGATTTCCCCCGCACCTATGGTGAGGTTCAGCGACTCAACGGTACGTACATGAAAGCTTATCTTCCGGTCGTTGCTTTTAATGCTGATTTCTTTATTACAGCTCGCGAGCTTGGAGGCCTTCTGCGATCCCTCGGTCTGCGCGGCGCTAGAAATGCTGAGCAGAAGCGAGGTGACTTCATCCGCGCAATTGGCATTACCAAGTTGGTCCGCCGTTAGTGCTTTTTCCAGGTCATCGTCTGGAATGGAGTTTGGTGTAATCGGTTCAAGAGAACAATACCCATTTGTAGTTGGCTATCAATTTCGATAGAACTAGGCCCAAGGAACAAGGAACGGACAGAGAAATGTCTTGATGAATATGCTTTTGATTGAGTTGATGTTCCATTGAGTGCAAAAACATGAGGTGAGGTGCACGCAACCAAACTTTGTCGCCTGACTTTATGTAGGGCGTTTTAGTGGATGCTCAGTACAACCTCCACTGTAACCCCTCTTGAAGCTAGCCGCTGCGGGCTCCATTAGCGCCTAATCATTGTGGACTTGGACCCCTATAGCAATGCCCTCCCCAGATCTGCTGCAACTCTGGGCGTGCTTGAAAATGCTTGCGACGCCAGGCTATCGCGAACTCATTTCACTGACCTCAATAACATCAGATATGCTTTCAATTCTCCGCACAAACTGCACATGATTACCAAGATCTTTCCTTTGGAGTGCAGGGCGGAATCACACGCAGGGTCAGGCGGATGTCATCCTGAAGTAAACTGTAGTTCCATACCTAACTCTGGCCAGGGTCTTTTCCACCTAATCTCATGATCTCTAGGCAGGTCCAATTGATACCAAATCGCGATCGCATTTCTGTAGCCTATCTTAGCGAATTTATTTTGCATGATCTCGTCCTGGTGCAACTAGATCCGAGGGTTATCGAGATTTGCGGAGCTTATCTCCCTCTCCTCATTCAGAATCCCTGGATCTCGGCTACACGACCTGGTTTACAATTAGTAATAGCTCACCTATAAGTCAATTCATGCCAATATCAATAGCGCACCAACGTTTTACCACCAATTTTCAGTCTATTCAGAAACTTCTGTATCTATCTACTCACTTGAGTACCCGTCGACATAACTCCGCCCATCTGATCACCCCGTAAGCCCTACTCACTTGAGTAAGCTTGCTACGAACGATCATTATGGACTGAACACTCGTTTTTCTTTCTTTCTTTCTTTTTTTTTTTGTTGCTCACTTGAGCAACTCTGTATGATAGTCCTGCTTAGCTATGTCACTCCCATGTAGATCTACTCACTTGAGTATTGCTGTGAGAATGACCAGCACATTCCAACACATCTCCCAAGCCCCAACGAGTCCATACACTTGTACGTACTCCTTATTCCGACATCCACAGTAACAAAGGGAAACCTTCTTCCCACCTACTCGCTTGAGTAAGCCCGATTGACCTGTCCAGGATAACCCAGATTGTCTCGGAGAAGGGGGTCCTGCGAAACAAGGTGGCCATAGCGGTCCATCCAAGCTTCACTTCCAACAAATCTCCAAGCAACTACAATGCCGTATTCACAGGAGATCTCCTTGTCAAAATCGAGGTCCAGGTTATCAAGTGTAGGGTGAGTCGCGGGAACCTCCTTCTTAAATCCAGCTCCCTTGTAATGAGCTCGCAGCTGGTCGCGCGTCAGGGTGATGGCCTCGATTGTTGTCCCATCGGGGTATGAGTCTGGTTCTGATGAAATCTCAACCTCTTGAACCAACCACTCCTTCCCAGTGTCCAAGGGAGACAAGGCATGTATGGCCAGCCCTTCCGGAGCTGGAAGGTCGAGGTCCCGACAGTCTTTATACGTCCGCAGAGCCACAGAAACCACGTCGTCGGTGACTGGCACTCGAAGATGTTTCATTCTCAAAGCTTCCATCTCTTGCAACATCCTGTGGTACAGTGCACGGCCATCATCATCATCGGAAGAATCCATGAAAGAATTCCCGTAATGCTGCTTTAGCTCATCGAGACAGCACATTCTTATCGTTGTTGCCTGCTCGATAAATAACCCCGAAGCGTCATTATGATTACGAAGATACCATGAGACGGGCATCACGCTTGCTGCGTAAAGCAGCAAACTACCCTTGCGGTCTTGGTTGAAGTCAGGATGATCGTCTTTCTCATCATCTGCGAAGGAGCGGATGAATTCAAGATGATCGTCGTTCTCATCATCTGAGAAGGAGCGAGTCAATTCCTGAAATTTCTGAATCTCCTCAAATTTGCGCCGAAGCCTAGATTCATTATATTTGTCAATGAATAGCATGACACTGCTGTACGAAAGGCTGATCATGCTTTTTAGGATAGCCAAACAAGACCTGGCGATGATAGCTGCAGGAACGCGATCGAAACTGTGGGCAAGATTCTCCATGGAAATGCGGAGGCTATCCAGCTGACTCTACATGAGCTTCTTCTTGAGCTCATGCATGGTCTCTTCTGAAATTTGTGACATCTCTAAAATCTGTGGCAGGTCTTCAAGAATCGGTATGTCTTCTGAAACTGGTGACATCTCTTCACAAGTCTGTAGCATATCTTCTGACAGTGACATATCTTCTAAAAGATACCTGATCTCTTCTGAAAACTGTGCCATCGTGAATGTAGAGATATTGGAGGTGTGTGTGTGGTGAAGATTTCGAAGAATGGTGATGAGAAGGTGTAGTGTTGGAGGTTGGTGGTTTACACTGCTGTGGATGAGAATTTATCTTCTTGCGCGGCCCTATCCGGTATTTAAAGACATAAATCAGAAATTGACTTGTCACTTGTTCAAATTGAACTAGCCTCATTGCATTCTCCATTGTACTGAAACCTTTGCTCTCTATCTTTTGGCTGTCACTGCTATGATATTTTGGTATATCTAAAATTGAGTTGCTAGGTAATACTTGATCATCTCATATTGACTGCGCATTGTCTGTGTACCGGGTTAGCTACGGCTTAATTAAAATACCTAGTCTACTTATTGATACTTTGCAGTTTGAACACCAGATGAATAAAGGATAAGCTCTGATGAGTGTGAAAGGACATGGGTGAACATGGAATAAAGTCTTTGACTTCACTTTAGGGATGAGAACACGTACTAAAACAACGCTTAGAATTTATAATGAGCAGCATATAGAATCTGAAAGATTAATCATGTTCTGTAGTTTAACTGACTAGTATCTTGAACTAGAGTGATTTTGCTTCTGTGTAATATCTTGCAGACTTACACGGTCCCTGGGGTCATAGTGACTGACCAAAGGCATGTGCTCATACTATAGTCGCTTTATTTACAGGCTACCTTGGGGTCTATAGTAATTAGTGATTCAGCTTCAACATCTGTAGCGAGATGTTCCTATTCACCATAAACGGCGAGCTTGGGGCATTGGATGGTCTGAGCTGTAGCGTAAGAAGTTATCAGTGGAAACAGGAAGAAGATGCCAGGTTTTCAGGCTTATGATAATATCATAAAAGTCGAGATAAGATTAAATTAAACAACATTGAAGTCTGGTTGATCGTAATGGGCTATTATGAGACTGAGATCAAGTATATTTCAATGGTTAGGGATGAGTTATGATGTTTAGATTGCTCCTGTGGCTCGCGTGCCTCTCCATTATCAGTAAATCCCAACATGAACCTCTATAACACCGTTCACTTCCGACGCGAGTGCGCGCTCCAATTGTGAAGAATACGCACTCAACATCTCCCCGTCCCAATACATCACCAGAAGTTCCTCTTTCGTACCACGTCGAGCGTTAGTGAAAGATCGCCCAAACCGTGCGCAAGTCTCCCCAGCTGCCTTCGCCGCCAGTATTGACGAGCCTCGACTTCTGCCGCTGATGAGCCATCCTCGGAGTTCATCGAAACAAAGCGAGACTGTGATACAAAAGGAGGTATCTAATTGGTGGCGGGTCTTCCCCTTAACTACAAAGACTACACTCGCTTCCTCCCCAAACTTCAAGCAACCTCGACTCGACTACGGTATATCTTTGAGAGTCTATGGAGCAGTCGCCACTTCCTTCTCCAAAGCCAAATTTAATGCATTATTAGAGATCGGCCGCCGTCGTGACAAATTCTTTTCCTCGATCAGCGACATCGTCTAGCCGATATAATCAACAGCAACGAGAATCGCAAAGATTCCCAGTCGTTGGCGCGCTCACTGGATGGACAGTTCCACTATGTTTATTCTAGATTGCCAAACATTGTGACTAACCTTGCATACAGTCAACGCCCAAAGTAACTCGCCACGCTCGCCGAGGAGTATCTAAAGATAGATCAAAGCGGTCGTTTTTTGCTCTCTACCACATCGGAGGCATCTGCCGTGTCAGTATGGAAGCTTCTGGACTACACAGTACTAGAAATCATTGTGATCAGAATGAAGAACGAGCAATTCGTCTTTCCAGAGGTATGTCCCTCCGTTGAACAAAAGAACAGGCTACGCCTAATGGATATAGCACCTCCGGACGGTCATTGCAAACCTAGCCCATCAGGATCGCCAACTTGTCATCGAACTCTACGACTTTCTCCTTGATGAAGACTGCAAATGCTGCTTGAACCTCCCTATCTTGTTCTCCTATCCGAAGCCATATGCCATTGCCACGGGCTTACGGACATGGGTCAAGATCCAAAGTCTGTATGAATCACGGAATCAGCAGTCGATGGTGAAACAGGCCATGAGTGGTGGTGATTGAATGGAACAGACACTGGTTTAGCCTTAGGACAGTCCATGGAATATGGTCAAATTGTGTAATGATCTACGTAATCACGGATGAAGTTCTAGTCAGTATTGTTCTAGAGACTCTGGGGCAAATAATTGAATTCTCTTTCTCTCTTCTTAACAGTTCTACTAAGCCGCCGACTACTGGTTGAAGCGTTCTGTGAACCTCCAACTTTAGGAGTGCTTAACCGTGCACTTTCTTACCAATATCGCCCAACCTCATACAGTCCATACATGGTATGCTCCCCGCAAACCTGACAGGAACTATCCCTCTCTTCTTTAATCTCCTGTCGACATTGCCTCCCCCTTCTCTTGGCCGTTTCGCATTCCTCTCTTCCCAGGCCCTGGTATGCGAGTTTCTCTCGACCGTTGGGGTCTTTCTCGCAGGCACCGCAAAGGGTGCGACGATACAGGTCCTTGCACATGATTGAAGCTGTTGGAGGGTATTCTCGTAAGCTTGGTTGATTGGATGAAAGGTTTGGAAGTGAGTTGAGCTGCTTGGAGAGTGGGAGGGCTTGCGGGACTACATATAATAATTCTGATCGGGTTATAATGCGATCAATGTGAACAGGTGTATATACTGATGGTGAATTGGTCAAATAAGGTAATGATTCAGGCTTTACACGGCAATGACAGCGAAGGAGAACTCGGTGTTCATGTTGAACAGCAACCCTTTCTGCATAGGCACTCTGAGTAATGGCTCAGTCATCCATGCGAACGCTCAGTGAAGCAGAGCTGCAGTGAGCTCTTACGGACTAACGTTCAGTTGACAGACTTAACAGATGGGGTTTATATCATGCGCCTTACTTGGACCAACGTTCACGACTGTCTCGCTCTATTACTTCACTGCTTCACCTCAAGTGAGTTCCTTGATCTTATAGCCTACCGAACACATCAGAAGTCACACTGGTTTTGCTTCACAGGCTCATGCCGTGCATTAGAGACCTCGTTGAGGCTTGGCATTTACCGCCGAACAATGTATTTATTTACTACACTTGCGACGGAGAAATTAGGTACTATGACCCGCTGTATTGTCTTCCTGAGCCTTCTGAGACTAGGCCTTCCTACGATCCCAGCCTTCCATCGTTATATGGTGCAGAAACCTTACTCAGTGCTTTGTGTTAGTTGGGGGCTTGACAATGCACTTGGTGCTGGCATAGAAGCATATTTGTCCTACTTCTTGCCAAACACCTTCTTAACCTTATCCGCGAATGAGCTAGTCTCTTTCTTGGCGACTTCTTGTCGGATCTTTGGTTGATAGTCATATGGTTCCGTGTAGCATGTGCCACGAGCTGTATTGGCATGGCATGCTGGACACAGCCATGCCTCGTTGACCACAATCTCCTTCTTTCCTGTACAGGCCTTGCGCTCCTTGACGGCTTCGCATTCCTCCTTGCTGGTAAGCGCGAGATCCTCGGCTTCACAGTTGCCGCAGGTTCTGGGTGTAATTGTGATGGTACACATGGTGGTTGTTGTTGTAGTGGTAGCTTTTGGTGTTGTTAAATGGAGATTGGGGATTGGGAGAGTCAAGAGTTGAAGTTGTAGCAACGGGTATATATACTGTCCTCTTTGTTGTGATGGGATGACGCTCGAACATAATTTCTGAACAAGAAACCGAGAGACAAAGAGACATCATGACTTAATGTCACCGCCTGCAACGGTGAAAGGGATCAAACGGGTCCAACAAAGAGCATCAGGTGTTCGTTAACAAGGCATAGCCAGTGAACAATGCCAGGCAGTGACAAGGCGAAAACACCGGACCACCAAGCAGCGACGATGCAAAAGATGCTCGTCCATGGGCAGATTGTTGACATGATCCAAGGCTTGACTCCAAGTCTTCTCAATTCATGAGACTAAAGATATTATGGTCTACGAAGAGCACTTCCAAGAGTACGTTACGGGATGTGGCCATGATGATGGACCGCTATATCCACAGGAGCTTTACAGCTAGTATATCGCGGTGAGTATTGGGCTACATTCAATCTTCCTTGAACAAAAATAGAAATAAGCCACGGAGTAAGATGGCAGATCTCAGAGTGAGACAAGGGCAACAAACATTCACAATCACATCACGACGCCGAGACTGCGATACCAATCATCGCGTCTCGACCATCTTCCTCACTCCCGAAGACAAGCCCCAGAAAGCAATGAAAAGAATAAAAAAGAAAACACGCCTGTCAGACGTCCATCAACACCCACCCCAGCCACGCGCCCAAAGGCAAGACCACAGCTGGGGTCGAGATCATCAAGTAAACCATCTCTATACAGCAGCTGCACTAGGCAGTTACCGCCATCCTTGCGGACAGAGCGAGAGGACCAAGAGGGTACTCACTCTAGGGTGTCGAGGATATACATTCATCAACCAGGGTGGGATCTGTGGCTCTTTTAGGGAACCAAGAGAAGGTCGAATACTATAGAAATGATTCTCCTGGAGGCGGTTGTTAGCGATCGTTCGGTGGGTGGAGTGTGGCGGTAGTAGGTAGGGGGGGACGTACTGAAGTATTGTCGACATGAAGAAGAAAAGAAAAAAATCCCAAAGGTCGAAGGAGGATCGGTTTTTTATAGAAAGTGATAGTGGGGCTTGGGAGGTTGCGCCTGAGGCAGAGTGAAAACTCTGATCTGGACCCAGCCACTTTTTTTTGTCAGCCTCATTTCGCTACTGGGGAAATGCGACCAGGTTCAGTGGGTATCGTGACGTCGCGATTGAATGAGACTTCTGCAAATAATTGAGGCTGCCAAGTAGTGAGTGATTCTATTACTACAGAAACACTGCAAAGGCCCGATGAGAACAGAGATTTCACCCAGCGGTGAATGTCTGCAATGGATCCATCATTGCCGAAAACTCGTCAGAGGAGCTGGGCACTAATGGGGCTTGAGACAGCGGTCGTGGACAATATCGCTGAGCATCATGTAGATCACTAATTCTGTAGGGTAGCTCTACGTGCGTTTACTGGCAGATGCGCATTACATCAATAAAGGAGCTTTGACAGAAGGTTGATGAGGGGAGAATGTAAGCAAAATGTTCTCATTTGAAACATCATTAAATTGAAGCCATGCTCTAAATAAGGAACTGTGGTTCAATGCAGGTTTCTGCTCAATTTTCTGCGTTGCAATCTGCCTCGTGGTTCCAGGATCGCATTAAATGCATTCAGCTGTGTTTGGCATCAGGACGCGAAACAAATACAGCACCAAATAATGACCAAAGCTTATTTAGGATCAGAGTGACATCCAGCGGCAAATCCAGATAATGCAACAGCAGAGCGCCACGAATCCCATCGTCTCAATAGGAATTACAGACTGTCAGAGATGTGATCAATGTTGTCAATATGTCTGAGACTGCAGCCCAGCAGACCGACCCACTGAAACGCGCTTGAGAACCCACTAAAGCTGCATGAATATAGGGCGCAAACCCACCAGAGTCTAGCACATACGACCAAAGGTAGTGGAAAATACGGGATCCCGTCCGCTCTCCCATAGTCAAGCCACTNNCGAATCCCCGCTGTTGTATGTATCTTTTGCCATTTTGCCCTCCGAAATGGCTTGATCTATTGCGTTGAATCTTCGTTTTTTGCTGGTCGCAATGTTGGTTGTTGGTTGCGCTGTGACCCCTGTCCTGTGCGCTCGCTCAACCAGTCATGGCGGGGTTCAGCTTGTCGGAAAATCATTGAATATCTCGCTCAATTGACGACAGTGCTTTTTCTCCGGTGCGCACAAGAGATCGACTGATCTGATCATTCATCCTGCTGCAGTGGAGGCCTGGCTTGTATCTTGTCATGTATATCTGCAAGGGCGATCTCCCTTTTACGCATCTCCCGGTCCCCTGAAGGCGTTGTTGGTACCCTCCTCCTGTGTTGAGAACTGCCTGGCAAAAGTCTATACTCTTAACAACAGTATTGTCATAGGTAGCAGCTGCACTCCAGATCACACAAAACCGAATTCCATTAAGCAGATACACAAGTAGCACCGCCCATTTTACATACTGACCAGCAAATATCATCCAAGTACGCAAGCACGTTCCTAACCAAGCCCATGGGATCAAACACCCAAACAGAACACATGGAACCAAATGACTCCAGACCCATCAACAAAAGCCAGCTAAGCCGCACCAAGGAACCAAGTAGTCCTATCATCCCTATCCCTCGGAATACCCCCAGGATGCATAAACGTCATCTCAACTCTATGTTTCGTAACCGGCTTCTTCTGCGCAATCCTCAACTTCTCAAAATACACATACGCCCCGTAAAACACACTACTCTTCGCCCCAGCATTACTCCCCTTCGCCTTTCTAAAGTCCGAAAGCTGCTTTGACTGTATTCCTTTGCACGTGGGCGCCTTGAACTGCGCGTAGATGTCCCTGCAGAACTGCGCCTGCGTCACGCTGGGGATCTTCATGTGGACGTTTATCTTGCGGCGGATCTCATCGCAGTCGTCATAGATGGGAACATCATCTGTTTCTTCGCCTTCTAGGTGGATATCACTGATATCGGGGAGTGTTTTTGTAGGTGCAGCTTTAGAGGGAGTTCCGTCGGCAGTATCCTTCTTACTCTCTTCGCGCTGGCGTTTCTTGGTACCGGGCATTTTGAGACCCATGACTTCACGCTGTTGAAACCATACATATGCATTGCGCCAGACAGAACTATTACACCCGCCAAAGGGACCTTTCTGCTTGAGGAATTTGTTAAGGGAGTTTGAGTTTGTACCGGTAGCTCCGCAGAACTCGGCCTTGTTCATAACGCCCGAGTCAAAGAGCTTGTTTAATTTGGTGCGGATTACATTGCAGCTGGGAAGGCTATCGTTCTCAAAAGTGTCATAGTCGACGGTATCGTTCAGGTCTGCCTTGTATGCAGCGATTTCTTCATCAAGGGACAGTTCAGCCTTGCGCTTCTTGCTAGAAGCTGGGGTTGTCTTTTTCGCAGGTGTAGACTTTGGAAGGGCATTTTCTTTGAGTGTAGCTGCTTCGGCTTGCTTGTTTTGATGATATTCTCTGTGAGCTGCGAATGGTCAGTGAGGAGCTGAGTGAGGGCGTCAGTGCGGATCTGACCGCTTTCATAGCGTTCAAGACCTCCGGCTGGAGAGGCGCGAGAGGCTCTGGCATTGTGTAGGGTCTTGCTTGGAAGTTGGTCTCAATTGAAGGTAGTTTTCATGCGTATTGATAATTTGGTTGGCTGGTTGTACAGTTGATGGAGATGAACGCGGTCCAGTGGGTCTACGTCACTTCGTGTTCATCTCGCGCCACTTTCATGCTTATCGATTAGATATCAATGGTGGAGATCGTCACAGATAATCTCTACCTATTACCATAGCTAAATTATGCTGGCGGTCAAAGTAGATGCCATCAGTCACAAACGCCGAAGTGAAAGACCTGATACAACCCCGCACCCACAAATCCCTGAAGCATTCCCATTCTACCTCCGCTAGCATCAAACAAGCCCAAGTCCGCAGATCCGTTTTCGGTACCATTGAACAACCATGACGGGCATATACGCAGCAATGTCTTCATTCTGGGTTGACAGCAACGAGGTTAATAATCCATACGAAGGAGAAGCACGCTGCATGATATGCGACGTCAGCTTTCACATCGGACGTCATCGAACAAATGGAGAACACCCTTCTGCAGCATGGAATAGCCACACAGATGATGACATAGAAGAAGCATATCCCAGAAGACAATACTGCGAGCAACCAGATTGTAGTCCATTCCGAGAAACGGCTCAGAACACAGGACTTGTTTGCTCGCACCCAGAAATCTCGACTATATCCGTTTTGAACATGTTTCTGGGCCTAACTGCAGGTCGACCGGTGCATACCACGGAAGCCGCATCTCAGCCGAGGCAATGAGAGAGTGCAACACGTACCAGAACCTTGTAGCAGCTGAGATGTGCGACGGGGAGCCAAATGAATACGAACGTGAAGATTTCGAGAATCTGGGCTGTTATGCACTCAATGGTTTGGGAGACCCCGCGAAAGATAGTCAAAGGGGACGCGACAGAGCACAGGCCTTCCCAAACCGCTGTAATTCTCCAAGCGGAGACGACGTCAAGGCAGGGGACATGTCGTTTCATCCGACATGCTTCGAGATTTTCAAGCGAGCGTCGATATATCGATACGGCTTTGTGCATATCGAGGCACTTATGAGTTGGGGCCATGTAAGAGGGGAGCCACAGTTTCAGCTGCCAGAACATTCTGCTGTGAAGAGGGCGAGGCAAAGACTCTGGTTACATCATGCCGGCGACGAGTTTCTAGCCGCGAACCCGTGCTTCGTCCCCGGATTGCAGGATATTTTTGATTCAGTGCAGAATACCTGCAGTTCTGATGACATTTCCTCCGATGTAGCTTCCCCGAACTCTACAGACATATTCTCCAAGCTTCCGCAAGAAATCAAGTTGGACATTCTACTGCAGCTTGATTCCTGGGATATCGCCAACCTGCGCCTATCGTCACGAACATTCCGCCATCTCCCGCAATCGCTCTTCTACCACTTGACCCAGCGCGAACTCCCCTGGCTGTACGAAGCATGGACATCCGCCCCGCTGTCATTCTTCGTCATGACAACGGCAGCAGAGCAGCGAAGACTCGGCAAGCCCTTGGACAAAGTTCGTTTTCAATTGGCCGGACGACGTAAATGGGGCGGTGGATCTGAAGAAGAGGCAGCAGACATCGCGAGGTTGGCCGCTGAAGAAGTCGAGCTTGCAGAGAGGCAGAGGCAGAGTTACAGGTTTACGCCGGTGAAGATGCTGGACCGCGGGAGGACGAATTGGACAAGATTGCGGGGGGAGTTGAGCCGACGGTGGGGAGAACTGCCGGGATTGAGGAACAGGAGGAGGATTTGGAATAATTGCCAGGAAATCATGGAAATTACAGACAAGTATAGGCTTCTGTACTGATGTTACGGACTGAGGTGAACGGGGGCTTGATGAATGCTGATTGCCGATTGAACTCACCAGGGCAGGGCAGGGCAGCTTATCGCGGTAATTACCAAAGCGTCACTCAATAAACAAGTTTGCTCCCCAAGCACGGTCCATACTGCATCCTCATTCCTTTATTCTGCGAGCAAACAATTTCGTATTAAAATGAGTCACGCTCACAGCCTGCCTCACGAGGCTGTTGTGTGTTTTGTCCACACCACTTCGTCGGCGATCGTCCAGCCTGTCTTTCAATTGAACATGCGCGCGATAAGCAACAAAGAAAGCCTCATTTTAACGGGGGCGGCACATTTCAACGGCTAACGCTGGGCCAAGTGGGGTCTCGACTCGCTCCAAAGTCTGGGGTAGAGTCCACTCCTATCGACCCCGGCCGTTATGACGTGTACCCAAAACCCAATTCCTCTCAAATTCCAATCCTCTGTCCCTCCAAAAACACCAAAAAGAAGAAAAGAAGGGCTGTAGAACAAATCTCACCGACAGGAGACTAACCTCCATCAAGAAGGTATTTAAAGCCTAAAAGAAAAGCCTATCTCTACAATGTACATGACCAGACTCGAGAGATAACGACTGCGTTTTTTCAGCTTGGGCCAATTGAACCCTTATCTCGGCGGTCACTTGATCAGCGTCGCAGTGTCTCTCCTTTGATTCGTTGCAAACAGAGTGTGTGTGGGCATGAAAGATGACTGCGCGACTTTTTCCCCCATTGAGCGAATGCAAGAGTGATGCGGACAAGGGTTGAAAATAAGGCAGCCATTTTATCCAAAGCTGACGGGGCGTATCTCTCTCTCCCAAGTCACCGTATCAGTGGCCGTCTTGTTCTGCTCTTTTCAGCTTTGGTGCTGGGGGGAGTTGGTTGCACAGCACAGCTTGGGGCCTGTCAACGTTGTGGCAATGCTAATTGCTTGGCCCCAAGCACCTAATCTAAGGCCCAAATCCTACGCGCTCGTATCTCTCCTTCGGCATAAAGGCTCACCCAGTCGCCCCTCTTTTTTTCTTCCATCCTCTGCTCTCTCCCCCCCGCTCTCGCATCTCTTCGCATTTTCGTTTCCAACGCAAATTCAATGACTCCCCGCAGCGTTTTGCTGCTGCCGCTTCAATCATGACGGGCCGGGTTCCCAATGTCTGGGCCGCCATTATCATCCCTGTGCCTGCGAGTGCGCTCGCGCTCATTCTTAGGATCAAGGCGAGGCGCATGACTAAGATGGGCGTTGGTTATGACGATGCCTTGTCAATCGCTGCTTGGGTACGCGCCCTCACCACTAAGTTAAGACGTGATTAATAAATGCTCATGCTTATGCTCGTGTAGTTTGTGGCTCTTGGTTATGCAATTCTTCTCATCGTGTGTGAGTGACGCCTCTCTATTCATCCCATCAATTAATTAACAATCTAAGGGACTACATGTTATTACATGGGTCGCAAAATCGGTCACTTCCCCGAAGACAAGATCGATCACATCCTCGAGAAATCCCACGAGATTCTCTTCACCAGCGAGATTCTCTACTCATGGTCCATCTTCCTCAGCAAGATGTCCGTGCTCACCTTTTACCGTCGCATCTTCCAGTTCTCATCTATACGCGTCCCTATTATTATCTTGATGGTATGCTGTGGATGCTGGATCACCATCCGGACATTCATGACCATCTTTCACTGCATGCCTGTGCAGGCCTACTGGGATAAGTCGATTGACGGGAAGTGTATGAATAATATTGGGCAGTATTATCTAGGAACTGATTTGACGCATTGTTTGATGGATTTTATCATTCTGGCGCTGCCGTTGTTTGAGGTTGTGAGGATGAAGTTGATACTGGGGCAGAAGATTGCTGTCATTGGTATTTTCAGTCTTGGTTCATTGTGAGTTCACTCACTCATAAGGATGACAATCGCTTACACTCTCAGGGTCGGTATTGCGTCCATCTTCCAGATCGTCGAGGCCCAGAAATACACCTCCAACTCACGAGAATTCCCCTACGACTTCTCCCTCGCCATGGTCTGGGCCAACGTCGAAGTCCACCTCGCCGTCTTCACCAGTAAGCCTCTCCCTCCCCCATTCCCATTAACCATCACTAACACCCCCAGGCTGCCTCGCTCTCCTCCGCCCCATATTCCGCAAATTCATCCCAGGCCTCTCCTCCGGCAACACAACCTATCCCGCCAACGGCCTCAGCCACGCCTCAAACACCTACACCAACTCCATCGCCATGCGCCGCTCCCGCAGCCCACGGGACGTCGAAGAGGTCATTGAGGGCCAGCGTGCGTACGCCTATCTGGACTACGACGCAATCAGCTTACCAGGCGCCAAAGACGTCAACTCCATATCACGACTGCAGGAGCGTGAACATCACCCACCTAGCATGACTGAGTCTGGAGGTAGAGGTTCCCTGTCGTCGCAGAATAGTGCCCGATGATGAAATTTCCTTGTGATCTGTGATGATGATACCTTGAGCGTTTTTGTTGTATATATACCTTTGTGCGTTTTGACTCATCTTGAGGTGAGTTTTGTAATCATGAGAAGAGATGAATTGCGTGTCTAACTATTATACAGCCTTCTTGATTGATACCCCCCATTTCATTTTTCAGCGTTCAGCACCGGATACTCTGGAAGTTGCCAGTTTGCGATCTTGGAATCAAGGCCCATACCTTGATCTAGTTTGAACCACGATGCCACTTTTCCCAGCGTGTGAAGCATCTGCACACCAAACTGCGTCTTTGGCGCAAACACCGTTCTAGCGAAGGCGCTCTGCTCACCCTGCATACATGTCGCTATCGGTCGATAGACCTCCTCGTATCTCTTGACGCCCTGTAAGACTCCCTTGCTAGGATCTTGGTTGTGCAGAGTCGCTACTTCACCTGCGAGGATGTACGCTCCGACGATACCCCATGTTGTTCCGAAGCCATTCGCAGTCTGAGCATGCGCTGCGTCTCCGAGGGCTACGACACGGCCTTTGGACCATGATCCCGGCGGAAGTCGAACTTCTTGACAGGGCGTGGAGTACAGATCATCTGCCTCTGGTGAATTCTTCAACGCATCCATGAACCGAGCACTCTCCCATTTCCCATCCGCAAAGACATCCGCCCATGCAGCTTTGAGATCATCTAGCTTTCCCGACTTGTGCGCCGCTGCGAGACCCTCGTTCTGACTCTGTATGTTCATGTACACGCGCGTCATGTCCGGGCTGTCCTTTCTTGTACCGAGCCAGCGTGAGACAGGCATGTGACAGAATGTGAAGCGGTTTGTGTCGTGTGGTTTTGAAAGGGTGCTGAAGAAGCCGATGTAACCACCGAGGAAATGTCGTGGATCGGGTGCATCAGGTCCAAGCATGAGCTGGCGCGTCCTGGAACCGGTGCCATCAGCAGCGACGACGAGATCAAAGTCATCTTTCTGTCCATCATCAAAACCGACATGAACCTTTCCATTCGGATCACTCTCATCATCCTGCGTCAGACTAGCAACACTCGTTCCAAAGCGATGCTTCACATTCTGCTTATCCCGCGTAAGCCCCAACAGAATATTCACAAGATCACCACGCATGATCTCATACTCAGTCGTGACACTCTGATGCCCAGTCCCGCTCTCAATCGTCGGAAAAAACACCTTTGTCCGCCCATTCGTATCAATCATCTGCGTCCCAACTTCATGAACATGCTTAGCGCGAATCGCAGGCTCAATACCCATCTTCTTCATGACAGCTACACCCTGATGCCGAAGATCAAGCTGCTGACCATTTGTTCTGGGTTTGGGAGAGCGCTCGATGAGGGTGATTTCTGCACCGGTGCGGGAGAGCCAGTGGGCTACCGAGGGGCCGGCGATGCCTCCGCCTACAACGAGGACTTTGAGTGTGGACATTTCTAGGGAAGGATGGAAATAGTCGGTTATGAATGATGAACAATTGATCTGATAACTTTATTCGCGAGGTGACGTCTAAATACACTGTGATATCGGTGATTTGCACCGGCTTATTTGATGTGAATGGCCCGTCTTACGCCAAAACACCGAGAGACAACACGCAATGTTTCGCAAAAAGCCACTCAATTCAGCCACGAATTATAAGATCGGGGCTTTCGACCCGTTAATTTACTTGTCGGATCTAAGGCTTGATTTCCCCGGGCAGATCAGATGATTTTCTTGTTGCGCTGGTATCGCGGGCCGTCATGTAATTTTCGCATTCCCAATTGAGAGATGCGTCGCGTACGAAGGCTCATCTGCAGCCAACACTTCGCCTGATACGTAATTGTCATTGTTAAATCCCAATAACCTGATTTCTTATCGCTGACGTGTTGTGTTGGTCCTCGGCCCCCAATTCGTGACGGTCCAGAACAGACGTGATAGGCATGCAGCGCGACATCACAGCCCCAATGCAAGGCATAGCCCAAGGCCTTCTAGAAGAACGGCAAGAATCCTTCCATTCTTCGCATTCAATCAGATGCTCCATCTTGGCGTTGATCATTACGCCCAGCCCTGCAGCAATCGCCGCCCGTAGATCTCCCCAAGGCTTAGCACTCTAGAATTCTGTTGCCTGTTGCGTGGGCATAGCCGGGCGGTGGCTGTAACGCTCGTTATTAGCCTAACAGTAATTACCCCAATAACGTGCATTACCCCGCAGGCTTGTTAGTGCACTAGCAATTGGGCTTGGGAGTGAGAATCGGATCATCGGCATGATTTCGATTTATCCTTGTGATCAAATTCCGCTGGGGATGCTTATCCAACCAGTCACACACGCGCCTGCACTGCCTCGCTTGTCCACAAATGATGCAAACGCGGAGAACATGGCAAGATGGAGGGGTCCTGCACCGCGGCACAGTTCCGTGATATAAACTGCCAAGTTTCCTCTTTTACAATCAGATCACACATCAACAAGACGATTACTAACCTCATTTCTTCAAGCAAGAATACTATTTATTACTTTCAAATCAATTACACAGTTACACTTGAAAATGGCCGCCCCTCCGGCTTATCAGGCCGTGGACGATGCACCCGCCCCCATCCAAGATGACCGCATATCCCCATTCACAGATCTCCAAATCGACTCCCTTCCCCACGAACCAGACTCCAGCACTTGTCTCGCCCACCTCCGTCTCCTCTTCGCGTTCGAAGCGCTGAAAGAAGATGTTGGCTACACAGACGGTCTCTGGGGATTATGGGATGCTCGCGCCGATGGAAACATGGTTGTCCATGAGAACGGCGACGTTGATGAGCATCCCGCCGCGGGGGAGTTTAACCGCGAACTAGAAGATAAGAAGAAGTCGCTGAGTAAAATCCGTGAGAAGCGGTGGGCGCTGTTCGTCGCGAGGGCCGTGGATCGGTATGAGGCGTGGTGGAATTCACTTCCGAGGGAACTGAGTCCGTTGACGGAGGGTGCCATGACTGATAAGAACTCTCCGTCTTATGCGCAGTTTCCAGTTGGTGATGCGCCTCGTTGGTGGGAGAAGAAGGCCCTTCCGCCTCTTGGTGAGTCAATCGAAGCTCAAAAAGAGGCAAGCTCTAACAAATTGTAGACGTGTTGATGGTATATCACTCTCACATGCTGAACCCCTACAACTTTCTCGAAGACTGTATCCGTCAAGGCCACCGTCAATTCTGGCAGTCCGGCATGCCATGGGGTCTCGTCAACGCCGCCATCGACGGCTCCTTCAGCTACAACGTCTCCGATGACGATAAAGCTCGCTGGGTCGCTCAAACAGGCCGTCAATGGGAAAACGTCGACGACCCCATCGTCAAGACTATCTCCTGTCCTAACAAGAACTGCGCGCAGGTATTTGACGTTCCCTGGACTACCTGCGGTCTCGAAGAAACACCCAAGTCCCCAGATCGACCTGGTCTCATGGGCGCAGGCTACGGCGACATCAGGTTCGAGGCGCGCTGTCCAAAGTGCAATACCCGCGTGACAAAGGAGACCCTCAGCGTTGTCAAGTTTTGCAAAGATGCTGAGAACGTCGTGTTCAAGAGTTATCCTATGCCGGGGACGATTCTCTGGCCTAACAGCGGAACACCCGTCCCCATCACCGTCCGCAAGGGAAATTTATTCGATCAGCGCATGTTTCCCAATCGTATGATTCAGCACGTTTTGCGCATTCAGATCCAGAATCTTCTTGATTCACCGGATCCTGAGGATCCGCCTACCATGGAGACTGTGCGCAAGTTGATTGAGTCTGAGGCACTTCTCAAACCGAGTGCTCTTTCTATTATCAACGGCAGTGTTTCAAGTGGTCGAGCGGGCCTCGTACCAGCTTTTTCAAAAGTCTGTATTCGCAAGATGATGTCTCGCTACTGGGAGAACTTCAGCCCTTTCGCTCTCGATCTCTGCGGCGCTGTGATGCGACAGGGAATCTTTGCTGAAAAGATGTGCAAGCTCGACTGGCTGCACTCCCCTACCGCACGAGAGACCATGGACAGATGTTGTTTGAAGTATAATCGCTTCATGAGGATCATCGCCAAGAATCCCAAGAAGACTGCTGTTCCTACTCTTGATGTCGATCTCGGCTGGCATACTCACCAGCTCATGCCATTGTCGTACTTTATGTACACCACCAAACGAGTGTTCAAGTACGTGCGGCATGATGACAAGATCGAGGATGAGAAATTAAACGATGGGTTTGAGTGGACGAGCAAGATTTACCAAGAGATGTTTGACGAGGTCTACTCAGAGTGTACATGCTGGTACTGTGAGAGCGTACGAGCCGCACACGTAACATCAATCGGCCGCGTCCTTAAGCTCTCCCACAGCGAAAAGAGTAAGTTACCTCAATTTGTACAAGAAGCATGACTGATAAATCTAGTTGCCGACAAGTTTTACGAGTCTGGAGCAGCAGATATGTGTCCCCCCGACAACTCAGCCCATATCTCCTCCCACAACGCCGTCCGCACATCAAACGAAGGCCTCGTCGCAGCAAGCCACGTTGAAAAAGTGCAAAGCAGACTTCGAGAGGTTCAGAACAAGCGCCTGGAAGAGAACTACCAAAAAGCGTGTAAGCGCGCTGAGAAGAAGGGGCGTAAGCTTCCTCCCAAGGATCAGTACTACGATCACTGGGGTTATTCCTACTGGAGTGAGTCTACCTCTCCCTGACCGAAAAGTTAAGTGCTGACTGATATGTGTAGTGTATGGGCCCTTTATGGCACCGATTGTGTTTGTTCCGGTGGCGTATGCGTATGGAGCTGCGCCTGGGTGTGCGGCGGGAAGTTGTGGAGGGAATGCGGCGGGTGGAGGATGTGCTGGTGGTGGAGATGGTGGTGGTGGATGTGCTGGAGCTGGAGGCTGTGGAGGAGGAGGGGGAGGATGCGGCGGCGGTGGTGGATGCGGAGGAGGAGGAGGTGGTTGTGGTGGTGGTGGAGGTTCTTAAGCAATTCGCTGGTATATCAGTCGATGGAACTTCTGTATTGAATGATGCCCCTATAGATAGCTAATATGACCAAGTACTCAGCGATGAACTGACCAATTCTTGAATATGTATGTTTCCTACTGCATCTATCTCGATCTATCTCTCAAGCAAACGGCCCATCAAACAACCACTTCCCAATCACCTTCTGAGCTTCTATCAGCTTCAACTCAGCATCCTTAGACAACTCTTTATCCCCATGAAGCAAGACCAGATTCTCATACTTATCATACGCATGAATCTGATCCAGAATCAACAGCCATCTATAACTTCCCTCTTTAGTCTTCGTCTCAAACGAATACCTCTCATCATCCAATATCAGCTCCCCCTTAGGCCCAATTTCTTCTCTCCCTACAGTCTCACTTCCAATCTCTCTCCCCGTCAAGCCACAGATCATTCTCCACGATTCTCCCGCCAGCATGTCAAGCTCACATGCCAGGAAGAAGATATTCGGCGGGAGTTGCTCTTTCTTAGCGAAAATAGGATTCAGCAATGGATCATGATGGTCTTGACCGGGTAGCGTGTACGCAGCTTCGAAGACAGGTGAAAGTGGAAATAGCATGTCCGTCTTCTTTGCTCGAAATCCTCCAAATGAAGGCTTCCACTGACGAGTCTGTATCTTGTACTCTTTCCTCACTGACATGTCGACGACTGCATACATTGGCACAACGGTCTTGATACGACGCACGCCATCGCCACTGCCGCTCATGCTCGGGAGGAGGGATACAGAGAGGGCTAGGTTTCCGCCAGCTGATGAGCCCATGATCGCAACGCGGTCTTCGTCAATTGGGAGAGTTGAGTCGGAGAGAGCAGCCAGGATGAGGGCTTCGAGGTCGTATATCGGGGTTGGGAAGTGAGTACGTGGTGACTTTGAGTAATCCAGCGCGATGACGAGAACAGAGTGCATGTTGGCGAATGTATAGTTGAAGTGGTCGTCATCACGAGGATCGCCCATGACGAAACCGCCGCCATGGATGGTAAACACTGTAGGAAGCTTTTCTTCAGAGGTTTCATCGAAAGTTTTGGGAAAGAATATTCTTTAACCGTTAGATCTTGTCAGAACCGTGAGTTAAAGACGTACCGTAGGGACAACTTTGGTCGACACGCGTATGTCTTTGTAAGACTCGGCGCATTAGCAGGCGTCACGAACTTTTCTTTCAACGAGAGACCATAGTTCGCAACAACGATAAAGGCTCGTAGCGCATAGGCTATGACGGAGCATTTGATGGCGGTTAATTTGGGGAGAGGTTCTTTAAAGCGCCGATGGGCCTCGTCGAGGGTGATTTTGTCGTCTGGCATGGTGTTCAATTGAGTGAGACAGAGTCTATGAGGATGAGGATGTGAGGTTTGGGATTATAAGTAGTCTCGCGTGCCCCGCTACAACGTTCGTATCCGAGCGTGCCTCGGGATGCGAGAAAGTCAATCTTGGTTCGCTGGAACTAGCGCGGTCGAGGCTGAGAGGGAATACGCAATTAATCATCGGCTTCAAACGGCATGTGATTCGACAGGAAAGATCCCTGCGATACTTCCCACGCAACGCTCACGCCTCACGGCAGGCGTTGCGATTTTCCGTTACACATACGTATGGAAGAGCAAAAAAGCTGTATTTACTTTATCAATTCCCATGCTCACCCGCTGCGCATGTATCCCAAGGTCAAACGAACAAACGAACTAAATCTCGGACTTCTCAAATACCGACGCTAAACCCCTCCCAGCCCGGACATCCCCGAATCCTCCGCGCCCCCGAAGCCACCGAAACCACCGACGCTCTCTGTCTCCCTTCTACCTTACACTCCCCATCATCATCATGGCCGAACTACGAAAATACGCTTGTTCAATGTGCGCCCGACGCAAAGTAAAGTGTGATCGTCAACATCCCTGCTCGAATTGTCAGAAGGGTAGAGCAGAATGTACCTACGAAGCGCCTCCTCCGCCGAAACCTCGAAAGAGAGCTGCTGATGAGGATTTGCTGGCGAGGTTGGCAAAGTATGAGGAACTTATGAAGAAGAGTGGTGTGGATTATAGTCAGCATGCTAATGTTTGGGTGACGTCGGGGTTGGAGGCGAAGAGGGAGGATGATTCTACAGTGGAGGATCCTGCGACAGAAGTGTAAGGCGCCCTTTCCATCGAAAGCACTGGAACTGACGTATGAAGGTGTCTTTGGTCAAAATTGAGCCATGAGGTAGGTCATGCAAATCATGATGCGGCGCTGCAACTGACATCATTACAGCTTAAGTATCCCCCAACACTCACACTGCGAAACAACGACGACCCTTTCCTCCATCCCTCACCATCATTCCACTCCATGCTTTTCGACCCCGAATCAAAAGCCTACGATAACCATCCCGAACCAAAACAGATCTTCTTCTACTGGCAGACCTTTGTCGAGTGCGTCAATCCCCTTATCAAGGTCGTCCACGTCCCAAGTCTACAGAAGCGCATTCTAGAAGTAAGCTGGGATGTAGCAAACATACCGAAGCCCCTCTCAGCACTAATGTTCTCCATTTATCTTCTTTCAGTCACCTCCTTATCGTCAAAAGCTTGTCAAGCGTCCTTGGGGAAGGACAGAGGGTCATTGCTCACGCGTTATCGCACCGCTACGGTACGCGCGCTTACGGCAGCTGATTTCATGACGACGAAGGATCTTGAGTCTCTCCAGGCCATGGTGCTGTTTACCTTTTCAAATCCAGAAACAGAACTGGCTAGCACCATGACGGCTGTCGCCATAAGAGCTGGACAGATGATGGGTCTACACAAATCAGACACCGACGCCAAGCTATCCTTCTTCGAGAAAGAGATGCGCATCAGACTCTGGTGGCAGATCAAAGGTCTCGACTCTCGAGTGCGCGCTAGTTCGACACCAGGAATCAAACTCGCAAGATCAGAGTTCGGGGATATTCGACTCCCCTTCAACATCAACGACGCAGATCTTCATCCAGACATGCTCGAACCACCAGTCCAGCACACGGGCCCCACGGAAATGCTCTGCGTGCTGATGAAATTTGAAGTAACACAATGGCTCCGCTCATCTCCTAAAGCAGCCAAAGTCTTTGACTGCATAGCGCCCGGCTTCGGAAGACCTGGAGGATCGACCAAAGCGGAAGACGAAGCGATCAACGAACTTGAAGCTATCTACACGGAGAAATATCTTTCCAAGCTTGATAGAGCGGTTCCCTTTCATGACTTGACGTATGCCATGGCTAAACTGGCTATTGCGAGAATGCGCTTTAGGTTACATCACCCAAGAGCTAGAGCAGCACCAGGCGATGCAGATGTTTACATGACGAAAGAAGATAGCGATATTCTCTTCAATGCAGCACTGTCGTTTTTGGAACTCGTCAACGTGGGCATTGAGAGTAAATTCTCATCCCAGATGTTTACCCATCTTACATCACTCTATCAAATCGATGCTTGGATCTATGTCATCAGTGAACTACGCAAACGACCTTCAGGTCCGAGAATAAATCTTGCTTGGAAACTGGTTGACAGTTTGTATGCTGATCATCCTGAACTCGCGGATAGTGTTGATAATTCGTTATACACTGCCTTTGGGAACTTGACGTTAGAGGCTTGGGAGACGAGGCGGAAGGCGTTGACTGATGGTGAACCGGTGCTGGCTTGTATTGAATTGCTTTGGAGTAAGAGACGGGGACAGGGTGATGCTGAGATGGCCGTTAGTGCACTGGATGCATGGGATTTTAACGTCGGTGATGATCTGTTGGATTGGAATTACTGGAGCGATTTCGTTCGCTTCTAGCCCTTAATAATAGCTTTAGTATTAATGAAGTGACTCAATAAAGTCGTATGACTTGTACGCAGTCTTATTGTCGTACACGCAACCATCTCCAACGTTTCATGGCGTACATGCAGCTGGTGTAATGTCGAGCGCCTCCAATCGCATCACGATAGCATGAGTGGCCAGCAGGTGAACACGTTACAACGGCCCTCCCAGCCTCAAAAAGTTAAACATTCTGCACGACCAATAACCAAGCATCCCACAGTTGGAAAAGCTTGTTGTGAAGACGCCCGTAGCAAGGGTCTTGTCGTCTTGTTAAGCCGTGGTCGCATTAGCGTAGTTGGCCCCGCAGGCTAGAGAAGAGACAAGATATGACAGTTTCTTCAGAAGCATTTCTCATCGTCTTTCGAGATTTGTAACTGTATCGAGATATTCCAAGAATATGGTTATAGGTGTTGCAGATGCAGGTAGTACTCGTTAAGCCATGATTGCTTGCATGATACCCCTTCCAACAAAACAGAGACGAACACCCCCATTGACCCCATATGCAATGCAACTAGCCCCGCCTGTCACTTTCCCAACACTGGATAGCGTCCTCCGTTCATGCATTTCAGCGCCTGCGGCACAGAAGCAACTCAACATGTCATGTAACCACAAAGACATAAAGATACCGTCGACCCCGCACGTGTGAGTTTATTTCGTCCCTTTGTGCTAACATAACGAAAAGATGGCTGCTCAAATTGAAGTTGTAGGTTATTTACTCAGCGTTATGTGATAACGAGTGCTGATATTGTAGGAACCTGAGTTGGACGTAGGGAACGACACGGAGAGTAACTTTAGTGCTGATAGGTATGGTGATGGAGATGAATTTCGGGACTGGGCTGATGGGGTAGTGAAACCGAGTCAACTGCTTCGATCACATCGAGCATTTTCGAGAATAAGTACTTCCAGGGGAGAACTTATGCCAATCCCAAATATGGAAAGCATTGGTAAGTGTTTCGTGATGAGAGTGAGCGTCGCTAATGAACAGGGCTCCCAATGACGAGGCGCAGCTCGAAGCACTTGATCTCATGTAAGTTGATAGCCAGGCACTCTGAGTATGCATTCTGGCTAACTATCTCAGCCATCATTGGTTGACATTAATGCTCGACGACAAACTCTTTCTTGCCCCTATCGGTGATAACCCTCAGGTACGTCTCTTCTTCCCCATAGACTCCCATTTTCACCCGGCGTAGAAAATCCTCGATATCGGCACTGGAACCGGAATCTGGGCTATAAATGTAGCAGACGAATACCCTTCCGCTAGCGTTATCGCTACAGACATCACCCCAACCCAACCAAGCTTCGTCCCTCCAAACGTTGAGTTTCAGATCGATGACGCTCAACTCGAATGGACTTTCGAACCCGAGTCCTTTGACTTTATCCACATTAGATATCTTCAGGGTACTATTGCCGATTGGGATAGATTGTATGGTCAGATGTACAAGGCTCTCAAGCCAGGTGGTTGGTTCCAGCACATAGAGCCTGATCTGCAAATGCTTTCTCAAAACCCCGAGATCAAAGTCGACGACGAGCAGTACGCTCCCTCCCCCTCCCCATGACCAGTATTCTAACGAAATTTAGTATCTTCACACGTTGGGCCAATATCTTCACCCAAGTCGGCGAAACAATCGGCTGCACATTCGATTTCTCCAACAACAAGCTCTCAACCCTCGCCAAAGACGCCGGTTTCGTATCCGTAACTCCGCAAACGCACAAGATTCCCATTGGGCGGTGGCCAAAGGACAAGAAGAAGAAAGAGCTCGGTACTTTTGTAGGTTTGTCGTTTAGCCAGGCCCTGGATGGTTTTGTCAAGTTGCCGCTTTGTGAGATTCTCAAGTGGTCGCCGGAGGAGATGCAGCTTTTTGCGGCGGAGATGAGAAAGGTTCTTATGAATCCCAAGACGCAGGCTTATGGTCATGTGTGAGTTTGATATGTTGTGAGGAATAGGATGGGATGCTAATGTGGTGTAGGTTTAGTGTTTATGGGCAGAAGCCTGAGAGGCCAAAGGAGAGTAGTCCAGCGGTGGAATAGTGTCTTGCTTTGATGGGTTGATAGTTTCGCGGAAGAGATATTGGAATTACTTATGACGTTTATGCTGTTTCACTGAGAGACTGGCATTGAAGCCTTTTACTCTTGAACATCGTGACAAGTGACGCATCCAACACTTCTCCTCTGGAAGGAAACCTCATCCATCCTGTCTTGCAAGCGAGGACAGCAACTCTTTTGAGCTTGGTTTAGCCGCAGATATTCGAGAGATCTAGAGTATGTCGGAATTGTGCCACCGCTGGACACATCAACTATTATATCTTTAGTGATCGGCTGAGTTCGACTCATACATTGCTCCGGAATAAGATGTAGCAGATGTTGAGATGCTACCCCTCTCGGTCTAAATCCAGATATTAAAGGCACTAAAGCACCCATCTTGCTCATAATTGAGGTAAGAAGAAGGGCAACACTATTCATGAAGGAGCGGTCAGTCTTCTCAAACAGCAATGTATCTTGACTCTATCGTGTCGTTTTCTCCAATCCAATGCTACCAACCTAAACACAAGTATTTACGTGATCCAAAACTCGATAACTATTGCAACGCCTCCTAAGCAGTGTTGTAGTACATCTCAATCTTCTTGATCTTGAACACAGCATTCTGCTTCGGAGGTCCAGCGCTCCAGCCCTTATCACCATTAGACCAGTTATTCCAGATCCAAGGTCCAGGCACATTGGGAACATCCTTCTTGGTAGACCACTGCTTCACACCATCAACATAAAACTGAACAAGACCCTTGGTCCAGTCAATTCTGTACTCGTGCTCAGTGGTAGTAGGGTTCGCAGGAGGAAGGACGTCCTTATGAGATGGCTCGCCGTCACCGTCGTTGTCTTGGTTCGTGAACCATAGTCTACGAATACCGCCGTAGTTGGACTCGGACTTGGGATCGGAGAGCCACTCGATGTCGGTCTCTTGGCTGTCGGATTGGTAGAAGAACATTCCTGAAATAATTAGTATACGATAATCGAGATGGCGGGATAAACGTACCGTTGCAAACACCTGCAGGTTCGCTGAGAATAGCCGTCGTTCGGACAGAAGCGTACTTGATGTTCTCAATCTCAGTCGCTACCTCAGCAGCCTTGTACGGCTTGGACTTTTGTCCACCCGGGACAGTCAACTCAAGGTATCCATTGCGGACTTTGACACCAGATGGTGTGAAAACATGGGTCTTCCCAACTTGATAATCGCTCGAATAAAGACCCTCAGGAAGACTCTTCCCATTAAAGGTCCAAACCTTCTTATTAGCGAACTTTGTCGCGCGGTCGACAATGTAATGACCATTCTCCAACTTTGGCTCAGGAGATCGCTTGGTAACGCATCCCTTAGGCGAGGCAGACGCCAGGCCAAGCACTGTGAATGCGACGGAGACGTAGGAAGCGATATGCATGGTGAGATCTAAGGATACTCTTGGCCCGAGTCCATCGCGACTTGGCGCGCTTGTTATATACCGAACCCATGACCTCGAAGGATCGTAGGATTCCCGTCTAGACCGCACTGAGAGGAATGTCTTATGTCGGACCTGGTCTAGCGGTGGATATCAAGGCTGAGCATTCCAGGGGTCCCCTGTAGACTTGGCTTCCTCAACATACCAGACAGCATTGCAGATGTCTGAGCTTAGGTCCTGTTCATTTCTAGCGGGCCGATCCTCTGTGGCTGAGTGATTTGTATTTATTATATTAGGATTTTGGTCCGTTTGAGACATTTGTGAAGGAATAATGTTGTTATCCTTCATTTCTGGTATCCATTGTGTATAAGCACTAATGATCTCGAAACAGGGCGGTGGCGGAGGCAAATAGCGGGCCCTGAATTTTCGGGTCAGCGCTTGATTTGGAAGGTTCTTACTGGTGATCTGAAGAGTGATGTAGTGGGTTCCCGGAATTCCGTGCTGGCGGCGGTTGTTGGACCTGGAATGTGGCTCCTCGGCCGGTTGTAGTGAGATTTGGCCGCAAATGGCTTGATCTTAAGATCATAGATCTGTTCCAGGCTTAAGACGTACCCTAAGAGTTGAGCTTCGGAGAAAGTGTAGCTTGTCTAATGAGTCAATAGGTTGAGAAGGGCAGACGCATCGTAGTATTAGACTAGCTATTGCCCCTCGAGGGCCTTCTTTTATCTTGTTTTAACTGGGATCCCCGAAACTATGACAATGCCCTCCAGACAGGACAATCATTTCATCTAACAACAACAGGCAATATAGCAGATGAATTAACATTCTGAGTTCTATAAGTTACTCCCATGCCATCATGTTTTGCAACCGTGTACACTTTCCAGTCCATCTACCAATTCGATATACTAACATTTCTGTCACTTGTCGTGTAACCGGTACCGGGAAAGATATTATAATAATATTCTGGTATTACTGGCTTGCCGGTTTCTTTCTTCGGTGACATTCCCTTTGACTCCCAAAGCTCGCCACCAGCATCAAGTTCCTGTCAGGCTCTATCTGTATATCTCAGGCCCAATCGATTTAACGCTCTATAGATAGCTCCTAACAGAAAATGGTCAATCCGTTTAATGGACCGGCGGCTTTTGCCAGAGACATTTTATTCAACCCGTGCCAGTCGACTCAGTGCTCCGAGGCTGCGGGGATCGAGATTATGCTGCGTTTCATCACCGGTGCTGGGATTCCGTCCTTCGAAGTAAGTCTCGCCCAAGTAGAGGGTAGCTCTGTCGGATCCTCACCATAAGCCCAGAGCAGGCTCTCAAAGAATCCGGGCTTCAGTTCTAGGGCGGCGACGGTCCTGATCTTGAAATCAACGGGTGGTGCCACGAGGTAATTTCCTGGTGGTCGGCGCTTTTCCGGACGGTGAACTCCTATACCAGTGTAGATGACCTTTATCTGTCGACCACCGGCGGCTACCCTCTTTTCCAAAGCTAGGTGAAGCTTTTCCAACTGTTCTACAGTAAGACATGGTATAGCAACGCAATCGATATCGGCTGTAAGGGAAGAAAGGATCTCCAGTGAGGGCGCATCAAGTGTTGTCAGGAGAACAGTGCTGAAATGTCCATTAAGGGTCTGATAGGCGATAACCCGAGAAAGGGCTTTCCGGCTCCCAGATGAGACTTGGGAGAGATGTAATCCCTCAGGGATTGAGAAAGACCCAATTGTGGTTGCCTTTCCGAAGCGGCCCTCTATCCTCAGGTGTCGCTGCACGGATATCAGGCACTCCCATATCATCTCGCGGATCTCGAGAGGAAGACGCGGGAAGCATATGAATGTTGATAGGCCTTCGTTTGCAGGCGGTTTTTCGGAAGGCTCCATGGTGAGAATGTGATGGTGGTCCGAGTAGGTGACGGTATGTTCTGAGTGCTTGTGAGGATTAGAATTTATTTGTAGGACTGAGAATCATAGTACGAACCAGGTAGATGCGACTCACTTTTTATGTCATTCACCAAAGCTTAAAATCTTTTTTTTTCCCTTACAAGTCATGACCCTGAGGAGAAAGCTTATCTACAAGCCTCGCAAACTCTGTCATTGGCGTACATGATGATACGCATGAACTCAAATCTTGACCCCCAACCCACATTACCAATTACACTATATAGGTGAGATGGAATAAGCTCCGAGCCTGAACGCAAAAGCACACATCCCAGAGCCACCTGAAATGCTATTGATCAAGCCAGGCAGCGAGTTTGCCTCCTAAAAGCTTATCTTGATCAAGTTTCCATGCTGTTCATGACCAAGTTGCGTGCGGCAATAATCTCGAACCCAAGAACCAGAAACTGTTTCAGTACAGCGACTTGGACGTGTTGCGCCGAGGGATTACGCTTAATTCGTCTGCTGTGTTTACATAATGTCCTTCAACGCATCGCTCCTCATGCTGAGTATCAGAACACCTTGTCCTTGGTCACAAGGTTAAACTCTAATATTGAAATCAGGTATCCAGCTCAAGAAACACTGTAGACAGGCGTGTAAGCCACAGAAAATAATAAATCAACTCGTGCCGCATCTATCCGCATCCACCAAGCGTCGCATGTCTGCTCTTACCCAGAAGCTCAGAATCCTGGTGAGCGGCCATAAAAGGGTATTAGCCTAAATAGTAAAAACATTCTCTGCTGAAACAGCAAATTCTCATTTACAACTACTAAGGCGGACCCATTGCATCAAAGGATACGAGGTTCAGTACGATTTACTAGCAGTTACTGAAGATATACTCTTCTGTATTTGGACCCTCACTTCATCGACGGAGCCTACAATGATGATGGCCGTCAGCAGGCAAACGATCCAGAGACCGCGCGTCGTGAGTGAATCCAGAGTAGTCTATTCTTCACCGTATACGATAAACGGCTTATCGAAGTCCGAGCATTACGATTTCAATCCTACAACTGTGTCCCTTTGCCTGATTCTCTGCCCAGAACAGCGAAAGTCCGCGTAACCCCGCGATCTACCAACCAATAGGACAGGTGTCAGCCTGCTTGCATCTCTGAGACCCCTGGAACAAGATTCTTATTTCCTATTCAATCGTCCTTAAGGTAACGCTAACATGGTCAGACCTCGTGTTCCTACCTTGTGAGGGGTACTGCCAAGAATCCCACCAGTACTGGCGAACGTGGCGCAGTGCAGGAAGGATTGCAAAGGATTCAAAAGTCCCAATTGCAAGCTGGCAATACGAAAATCTCATATATATATAAAACAGTAGGATGTATACGTTTGGTGTCTCGCGTTCAAGTAGCTAGTGCGTTATTTATCTCTCATCACTCAGTATGCATCTTCAATCTGCTCTTGCTATCGGCTTCCTGGCCAACTCTGTGTCAGCCGCTGGCTTTGACTGCGGTGCCTCGGGATCCAGCAGTGGTTTGAAAGCTGTTTCGAAGGGCCTTGCAAATGAGCATCTTGAAATCCGAGGACAGCATAAGAATGTAGAGGTCAAGACCTACGTGCATATCCTCGCAGCGAGCAAGAAGGAAGAAGACAACTACCTTAAAGTAAGCTTAAAGATAGCTTTGGGGCCACTGTACTAACTCTTCGCAGCAAGCTACGGTCAAAGGCCAGATAGACCTTCTCAACGAGAAATTCAAGCCCTGGAATTTCTCGTTCAAGTTGATGAACACCACCAGAACCGTCAAATATGACTGGGCTTATCCCATCAGTCCAGGAAGAGGTGAAGCTGAAGAGGAGCTCCGAGCTGCATTGAGGCAAGGAACGTACAAGGATCTCAATCTGTTCTTCATCGCCAGTATGCCCCCTGGCGGAAAGTGCGAGCTCCCTGTTCCCAACCCCACCAAGGACAACATCCTCTTCGATGGCTGCATCATGAGGCCAGATAACCCTGGCGAGGTCCCTCCCAAATTCAACTACGTAACCGTGCACGAAGTTGGTCACTGGCTCGGTCTGGAGCATACCTTTGAGAATGGTTGCGAGGAGCCAGGTGACTATGTTGATGATACTCCTTATGAGGCAGGGCCTCCGGAGTATGGAGTGTGTCCTCCACCTGATCTGAACAGCTGTCCTGATAAGCCTGGTTTTGATCCTACGGATAACTTCATGGACTATGTTGAGCCGTGAGTTGTTCATATCTCGAGACCTGGAAACATGGCTAACAAGTGCAGTGAATGCGGTCCCAAGAGATTTACCCCTGGACAAGCTGAGCGCATGCATAAGCTTTGGAAGAAACTGCGTGCCAAATACTAAAGCCTCAAACTTCAATGAAATGCCACGAAGGTCAATAGTAGGATTGACACCAAGGAGTTGGGGGTGAGCTGAGAGAGAGAACGGAGCCAAGGGCATGCATCACTGCTGGAATGTATTTACTTCAATGCGGCGAGTGCAAGTGACGTGCAGAGGGATTGACTGAGAGTGAGTGTTCAGCGTTTAACTTTCCAAGTAAAAAGAAAATGAAAAAAAGAGAGAGGCGATAAAAAACGAAATTGCGGTTTATGTGGATCGAACACATGACCTTCAGATATCAATTGATTGAAGTTTGACTTCAGTCTGACGCTCTCCCAACTGAGCTAAACCCGCTAAGAGATGTCAAACTTGGGCCAGTAAGACATCCATGAGCCGAGGCCAGGTCGATGTCCACAGAAACTACCCTGCATCAACTCCAACATTATAAAAAGGTAGAGGTATGGGACACTGAACGATAGATAGAGGGGTTGAAACTCAACTGAGTGGACATGAAGATTAAACACCATTGCTCCCCGCTGTAAATCTAGAAAAAATCAGGATTGTTTGAGCCCTCATTTCGTGGGGGCGCTAACAGAGATGGCAGAGACGACAACAGTCTCATCTTACTACAACGCACCGCCATGGAGGGCTACTTAGGGGTTGTCCACATGTCTCTCACGAAGAAGGAGTTGCAGGCTTTTAGTGGCAGATCATGTTCACACGTCGCTGTAGCCATTGTCGTGGATTAATAATTTAGCTATCAATTAAGTCTTACGCCAATCTTAACTTGAGGTATATGTTAGGAGCATGCTACGTTCTGACCTCCATATACAAATCATACAACCCGTCACCAACGTGTCTATTCCTATAAATCCACAAACGCTTTCCCTTCCCGGCCGCATTCTCCCCATCCAACACATCTTCCTCAATCATGCTTCTCAAGACTCTAGCCTCTGACAGAGAATCGCCTTCTGGCACAACAACCCGCTCCGACACCTTAGTCGCCACAACAGCGACTAGCAATTGAAGAAACGCCGTGATCCACAGAATCAATGTGATAATTCCCCAGTGCGAAACGTTGAGTTTCTGTCCAATCGTTGGCATTTGGCCGGCGAGTACGATATCTGTGTTTGATTCGATGACAGCTGCCAACATACCCGTTGCAAAGCGTGATAAAAGATATTCTACTTGTTCTGTTGAGCCGTTGAGTGGTATGCCGAATATTGATGCAGCGGGGTAGCTGTTTGAGCGGGTGTCGTTTGGACCGTCCGGGCTTCCTAGGGCTATCGCTGATGTTGCTAGGCGCATCAGTCTCTGACCAACTTGGTGCTCTGGCCTCTTGGCGTTTTCGACAGGGCTCATTTTGACGGTGCAGTTGTAAAGCCACGGATCTGTCGACGATGATTCAAATACCGAAACAATGCTGCAGTTGCTGCCGCAGTTGCGAGAGGGAGATGTCATGTAAATCTTCTCACCAGAACCCTCCTTACTGGGTAATGTGATGTTGGTTTCTCTCCTCCCATTATCGACGGTGATCAGCTCCCCTGTTCCATTGCCCCCTTGACGAACCCTCAAAGCGTCGCAATGCGACGTAATGTTGACCTTCCTGTCCGTGACAGCTGAGACAGGGGCCTTGTTCGGGTTATCCAAAGTAAGCGTATTCGTCTCTCGAAAGACATATGCACACGACCCGCCGTCACAAAACAGAAACTTGTTATCTGCAAAGAATAAAGTCCCAGGGGAAAGAATATCATCGGGAGTTCCTTCGTTTAGAGCTAGGGATATGATTCCGTAGCTGTTTGCCGCGTACTCTTCGCTCTTGGTTGAACTGGATGCGTTGACAATACTCGAACCTGAGATAGTGGTTAAGTTCGCGATGGAGACGTTTCCGGGAACCAAGAGGGCTTGGTCTTCGGTTTTCTCGACTGAGTAGCAGAGGCCGAGTGAGGCATAGCCGATTTGAGTTGCCTGATTATGTTAGTCAGGTTTTGAAAGAAACCAGATGGGGACCTACAAGAAATAGCGCTACCCAAGTTGCGACTCCAACATGAATTGTCCACCGACTCGATTTGAAAGCCAAGACCAATACTTGGCTCATGCTATGAACATGCAAAATGGCTTTGACCTATTTTCAGAACCATTAGTAAACTGTCCGTTTCCAAACCTCGCCCAACGCTTACTTTTTGACGAGACCTCGGCCTCCTACTCAAAATCCACCATCTCAAATCTTGCACCGCATGCGTCAACTGACTCATAGTCGACAGACCCAGAGCAATAAGAAACCCCGTGATGAGCGCATTGAAATATTTCTTCTGCTTCTCCGATATGACATCGTAGAGAGCATACGCGATCAAGATCCCGTAGACGACTATGATGAAGATGACTGTGATGAACCATTTTCCGATGAGGCCGAGCCACAGTTTTACTTTTGATCGGCGACGAGCTGGAAGACCTTGGAAGGTTCTAGGTGGTGGGTTTGGTGTAGTCGGTGGATTCTGGAATTCGAGATGGATGTCGTGCTGGCCGTTTGACGGCACGGCGTAGTATTGCCCTGCCATTGTGTGGTATCAAAAGTGAACGAAATGCGAATATTCAGCTGGATGGGATCTCGACGGCTATAAAGATCATGCCGGATCCACGGTCATGGCGCAGGCATCCACATTGAATCCATCGCTCAGCCTCGTCAAGCAATTAGGTTTTCGCCTAGCTATACTATCAAGGTATAGCGTCCTTGGCGATCCCCTCAGCCTGGCAGTATCTCGTTTTCATTGGTTTGTCCGTATAAAAGAACATCGGCGAGCATTATAGCGTCACCACGGAAAACCGGGAGCCGTAGCATGTGAAACCATTCCAGGGAAGTTCGGACGGTTCTGAACAGTCTGGAATTCTTGGCAGGCTATGCGTATTGCGGTTGGGGAATAGCACTCGGAGGGTATAAAAAGATGATATTCAGTCTTCTCTCTATGAGATCCAGCCCGGCATGATAGATAAAGGTATTTCTAAAAATACTCCACTCTCTACCTTTCAGGTCCACTACTAACCAACGCTTTAATTGAACTTGAGATGCATATCTGGACGCTCGAGATGTCAACGTTGGAATAAGGGCGTGATGGTTCGTCCGCATCTGCACTTGTACCAAATTCTGACCTCAATGAAGCACATACGACCATACCTGCAGGAAAATACGGGATCCCCTCCGCTCTCCCATAGTCAAGCCTGTAAGGGGCGGATNNGTGACGACCAGCGAATCCCCGCAGTTGTATGTTTTTTGCCCTTGATAACTGAACTTGGGCAGTGTATCCTTTTTGCTGGGCGCTTCAGATTCTCCCCGAACCCCTCGAGAAGTGCAGTACCATTATCTTGTTGGCGAAACAGTTCACCATCTTGAACCTGTCTTACTCTCGGGTAGCACCGGTCCTCAAGGCTACATGAAACCCCATGAACGTGCGTAGTTATCAATACCGTCAACAAACGTTTCTCTGGGTTCCTCCAAGAACATCGGGATGTACTCCTGCACCCACTCAGACTCCCAGTGGTTGGTATACACAGCCTTGTAAAGCTCCCAGTAATCGGGATACCAACCTCATTGGTGCCAGTCTATCACAGCGACAACACGGCAGGGTGAGCCTTCAGAGACCATTATGTTGCTTTGGTGAAGGTCAGCATGAGTGAACATAACTCCAGGATCATTAGGTAGTAATTGGCGGTATGGATCAGGTATATCCTCAAGATTATAACCTTCCCAGTGAGGACCACTTGCGGCTTGCTGTCTTATCAGGAAAGAAAACCAGTCATGGAATTCCTTCACTGATGAAAACGGCCCTGCTCTTGGTCGGATTCCGTCCGCGAATACAACATCTTGCAGTGGTCCGCGGTTGATTTGTCCTGTTGACTAATTAATAGGATAAGTCTAATGGTAGCCGGTCTAACCCACCAAGAAATTCGTCCTCTGGATCGCGTTTCACCCGACGTAACTCAACGACCATATCTTTTAGCTGCTCACAAGCCCCGAATTTATCCTCTCTACTCAAGGAATCCCATCTTTTCTCCAAGGTCATGCCTTTGACCAGCTCCATATACAAGAAGAATTCTCCTCCATCTTCGGTCCAGCCGTATATCTCAGGCACAGGGACGCTTGGAAGATATCGATACAACCACCAAAGGCACTGGCCTTCCGCAACAGTGACGCGAGGCTCTTTGCCGAACTTGACGACTAAGCCAAGTGACTCGAAGATAACAGTATTCTTCCTATCAAGGACGTGGTCGCCAGCTTCACTCTTGGCTCGGACTTGATCAGCAGATGGAAAGGTTGCTTCAGGCCCATTACATGCGAAGAACGTAGAGTCTCTGAATGTAACGCTAGGGCCCTTGGGGAGAGAGTCAACGAGGATCGTGGGCGGCGAGGTTTGCATTTTGGAAGATCTGTATCTGATGAAGAGGGGAGAGCATGTTGGTTAGCCCCATTGCTAGGATTTGGTTGTTGGTTCGAACTTTCGACGGATGAAAGCCGGGCCGCTATATATCCAATCAGAAGTCAAGTTTATTCGCCCTGCAACAGACATGATAAGAATAGCAGTTCAGGGCTATGCGTCGGTTTGGACAATAGCGCTCTGAGGGTATAAAGGGAAAACCTTTAGCTTATTTCTCTATAAGATTAGATAAAGCATAACAAATAAAGAAATTAAATATATCAATTAAACTTAAGTGTAAATCTTTTCTAATTTATTATTTCAAGATTTATTATTTAGAATACTAACTTTTTTAAATAAGGGCTAGCTACTGCTAGAAGACGTATAGTAAGAGAAAGACCCAATACAGTAGATATCACTGTATATAAACCCCAGAAACCCATAAGTAATACAGATTGAGCAAAAAATGCATTTGGAGCTGATACTATTAGTGGTCCTGGGAAGGAAAATGGCACTATACACCACAACAACACTATTATGCGCCAAAGTGTTATCTGCCAGAGACTGTACTTCTGTAGATCGACCTGTTTCTTCACAAGTAACAGAGAAGGAAGTAATACAATCGGCTTCCAGCACATTGACGCGATCCGAAGTTGGTATAGACTATGAAAAGGTTAACTAATATATTCTATTTCAAGCACAGAGAAGTTCAAACCTCGTAGGCAGACTCGCGTTCGGATTCGGTGCGTAGAGAAGCACAAAGAGTGAAATGAAATCTAGAAGCGTCACAATCGATAAGATCGGGATCAGTTTTTGCAGCGGTCGGTATCGGCCTTGGGTCCAGTGCCGAACCTGAGGACTAAAGGAAGGTGATTCTGAAGCCACGGCTGGCATCTAGGACGTGTTAGACAGGCTTGTGGAATTCAATGTGATGCATCAATTGTGTCAGTGGTCAGCTACATACCCTGGTTAGTCGTTTAGACAAAACCCATGAAGGGCCTGTATTGTTTTGGACAGAAATCGTAGTTGGGCAAGTCTGGTATTAGATCTTGTATTAGTCAAAGTCGAAATAGCAGCTAAGATGTATCGGACGTTGAATTCACTTACATGGTCCCTGGAAAGAGAACGGCAATGGAAATTCTTCCATGCCTCTGAAACGGGTCCCATTTCTGGAAAGCTCCCATCACTTTGAACTAGACTTCGAGCCTTTGGTCCCGTCACTATGGGCTCGAACGGGATTGGGATTTTGATCGAAGTTGGTAGAACAAAGAGACATAGGATAAGGAAGAGTTTCAAAGCGCAGTCCACGGCACAGGCGATGACCACTGGTCTGACTCCAAAAATGTCATAACTATTTGATGTATTCCAGACATCATAAAAGCGACTCGACATTCCCCTTGATTCTGAACAGTCCCATTCGGGCAACGGGCCTGGACCTTGAAGTTCTTTCATAAGGTTTCTGGCTTTAATCGAAATGGCTATGACACAAGCCAAGGTCACACTTATCAGTAAAATCGACAGTGTCTTTGCTATTCGGGCCTGGCGTTTCTGAGAAATTAACACAGCCTGCGCAAATACCTGAATAGCTTGGAATATCAAAAGAAACTTGGCCATCGTTGAGATAACCTCCGATACGTGATCCTCGCGTGCGACATAGCAGCGGATTTCGAGGACGTCGTAGTTGCCATCTCCATCCACGGTCCACAGGGGAACCGTGTCAAGCTTTTTCCTCCTTGAAAGCAGATATAGTTGCCAGGCGCTGGCGGCAAAGGTACCCGACAGAACAAGGAGGAGAGGAAGCGGCCGGCTTATTGCCAGGCCAGGGTGAGAGTATAACGGCATCCTCACTACAGTTAAATGTATGCGTCTCTTGTAGTGAGATTGTTACAATTGCTGACCGACGCGTGTCTGAAAATAGGTTGAGGGAAATTAATGTGCCAGGTAAGCTTATCGCAGTGGTCACGTGAATTATGCAATACCCCTGTTGTTGTTGTTGTTGGTTGTTGGTTGTTGGTTGCTGGTTGCTGGTTGCAAAACGCGTTGAGAATCCCCGCTCCGCGACTTCATTCTTTCATTCTATGGTCTTGCTCCATACCTTTGCATGAGAGGCCTTATTCAGTGCAGAAGCCACTAGTAAAGATGGCTGTGCGACTTTGCGATTCGTGTCGTGCATTCGACATTCAGGCTTTTGACCCCGCCAAGTGCAGAGTAAGGGGATACAAACTACTCTCAGTCATCACTGCTGCCAAATCTGGCTGTCCGTTCTGTTCCCTGCTCCTCAAAGCGCGATTTTCCCGGGCACCGAAGGAAGGGATAATACCAACCCTCCTTTGTTGGTTGCAGTGGATTTATTTGCAACCTGATGAGGAGTGGAAGCATCGGTTGGATACTCAATTCCAGGACGACAGTCATACCACCTCCAGCGTCGGCACTCCACTTGGGCTTGCTAGGTTGTGGGCAAGTAGCTCCAGTCCCGGATATCGAATATCTTACCGATCCATCCCTCTAAGCCCTTTCCAGATCCTAGCTGATGAAGGTAAGCCAGCTAATTGCTGATAATAGCAGAGTCGATGTGACGAGTAGCTAACGATCAACCAGGGTCTCCTGCAGCCGTCAGCGGTGACGTATCGGGACGACTACTGAGCTCAGAAACATCATCTGATGATCACGTACGGGTGCTGTCGCGATGGCTTGAACAGTGTCAAGAAACCCACGAGGAATGCCGACTATCTTTATCGGGCTCGCCTTTGCTAAACCCGGAGGTCACTGACCTTCCAAACCGCTGCATTGAAGTCAGCCGTAACAGCGATGGGATGAGAGAACTCAGATTGAAGGAAACTGGTGGTCGACGAGGAAAATATATCACGCTCACCCATCGCTGGATTCAGCCAGACACCGCCAACGCCTCCACTGTACTGACCAACTACTATGACAGGCTTCGTGGAAGAGCGTTAGACCATCTCCCCGCCCACTTTGAGGATGCCTTTGATCTTGCAATAAGGATGAGTATCCCTTTCGTATGGATTGACTCGCTTTGTATCATACAAGACAGTCAACAGGACTGGATAATAGAGGCTTCCCAGATGGCGAAGTACTACCAAAACTCACTCTTTACTGTTGCCGGTTTTGGCGTTACTCGAGACACAGGATTATTCGCAACTGCTGTTCAAGACCATGGTCCCAATCTTGTCCGGCTTCCGTATAGAGACCGACAAGGCGATCAAAAAGGCTACTTTTATGTATGTCATGTCGACCATTCGGAAGTCAAGAAACAGTATGACAGTGAAATCGCCCATTCCGATTTATTGAGTAGGGGTTGGATCTTCCAAGAGTGGGTGTTGAGTAGACGCGTTATCTGCTACACCAGAACGGCCTGTTTCTATCAGTGCCAAAGGACCAGTCCGCAAACCACAACTTCAAATGATGTCAACTTGAACATACTCACCGACAAACATGCTGATATCTCCCTCAAGAATCATTTTAGGATTGATTCTCTAAAGTTAGTGGAGACTGTCTTTCTAAGGTGGAGATTTGCTGTGCATACTTATTCTTCTTTGCATCTTACCAAGGCTGGCGAGGACAGATTGACCGCACTTGCTGGTATCTCCCAAGAGTTTGCCATAGCCATCAATCGCTCAATAGACAAGAAAGACTATTGGCAAAGTTTTTATCTAGCGGGACTATGGGCTGGGGATATTGTAGTGGGCCTCTTATGGGAAATGGATGGGGCCTGTTCAGACAAAAGACTGAGTGGGATTCCTACATGGTCTTGGGCATCAGTTGTGAAGCCTATCGTGTGGCAGCATGACCATCGCGAAATATCTTCGGGACTTATCGGTCAAACCAAAGGGCTTTGCGAACTCCTTGGTGCGAAGAAAACCTCGGTGGAGGAGCAAATTTCAGCTTTTGAACACGACCTTACCAGAGATGCTGACCTAAAAAGTCAAGTTGTTCCAGCGGAACAATTTGTTACACCGCAGTTCAATACCCTTGTCATGCAGGGAAAGCTTCTTCGTCTCAGAATCAGTGGCTTATTCGACTCAGACTCAGACCTGGAAATCGCAGCCACCTTGTCAGGTTATGAGATCGAACCGAAACACAATTTACATACAGGGTTTACGACAGTTCCTGGGACACGGACACGAGAGTATTGGAGGAAGATAAGCCTTTCTCAGTTTCCGGAAATTCTTTGCGGATGGGCATCGGTCGATGACTTGGTTGCAAGCTCGGAGCCCATACTGCAAGATGTCGTTGCTTTTCCACTCACGAAGACAACTGTGGACTTCCCGGGGTTTGGTCTCGGTTATTGTTGGTCTTCGTACCAGGTGTACAGTGTTCTTCTACTCCGACGGATAGCAGACGGTTCATCTTGTTTCGAGAGGATTGGGGTTGGGAGGATCTTTGGGCTACAGATAGAGGACCAGTTGAAGTCAGTAACTAAAACAACCTTTTGGCTGGTCTAATAGTCTTTTACTTTATCAAGCGATTTGAGATTAAGTTCTTTATATTCTTTTTAAAGTCTAATCAAGTTAGTTTATATTTCAAAAGCCTTTTTTAAAATAGAGGCTTATTATAAGCTAGAATCTCTTAATAAGCTAATACTAAAAGCTTTTCTTTTTTAGTAAGATTTATATTTTATAAGTTTTTAAAGAAATTTACATGTGAATTATGCAACAGACAAATCCTGCCGGATGGTATAAACTTGACGGCAGGGGGCCCTTGAGATGTCAGTCTAGCCAGCGATGCCAGTCGAAGTCTCCCGGGCTTGAACTCCATACACAAAGTTCGAATAGTCTTGAGGACTACGGATTCCCGCTAGTTGGAGATCTCCTGTGCTTGCATGGTAAAGCAAGTCCTATAGGGATTGCCCGGCGAGGTTGCTTTGAAGGAATGCATTGGCGTAGTGGCCTGAATTCAGATTGGGGGCTGCAACTGACTCTGATTCAGCAGGACGAAAGAATGAGATAGCCCGCCCTAACGAATCCTGAAGGCACTGAAGGATGCAATTGGCCAATGAGCTCGACCTGATATCTCCGTGGATGTATCTCCGGGCGTTCCGACAAGATGCCCGCGGGCGGATTTTAAGCTACACCTTGCCTTAAGTCCGCTAGTAGCGACATGAGGAGATGGCACAACAGCACTGCTACATATATCCGTCAAAGATTCCCTCTAACATTCCAATTTGCCACCAAAGCTCATGTTTTACCCTATTCAGCATGTCCAAATACAAGCAGCTGGTACTTATCACCGGTGAGTTGCCGCACACAAAGACACACAGACTCTCCATTGAGATACCCAACTAGGCGCCAATCAAGGCGTCGGCTTCGAAACCGCCAAGAACCTAGTTCTCTCTTCGGTTAAATACCATGTTATCATTGGAAGTCGAGATGAAGCCAAGGGGGAGATAGCAGCCCGCTCGCTCCAGTCCCTCGACGACATCAAAGGAACAGTCTCCAGCATCCAGATCGACGTCACGGATGATAATTCCGTCGATGCCGCTGCTCAAACCCTAGCCTCGGAATGGGGCAGATTGGATATACTGATCAACAACGCTGGCATCGTCTCAATGGCTAGTCCTCCAACGCGTGAAGTTTTCCGCAAGATTCTCGAGACGAACCTCGTTGGTGCACTAAGCGTTACGGAAGCGTTTCTCCCTCTTCTTCGCAAGTCAGAGCATAAACCTCCTCGTCTTATCTTTGTTACTTCAAGCACAGGATCTATCACTCATACATCCAACCCTGAATCGCCGCTTCATAACGCTGGTGCGATGGAATACCGGACTAGTAAAGCTGGGCTGAACATGCTCATGGCGATGTATGACATTCGACTCAAACAAGAAGGTTTCTTGGTATTTGGGGTAGATCCGGGATTGTGTGCGACGAACTTTACGAGTGATGCTGAGTCTCTCAAGCAGCGAGGAGCGGCTGAGCCGGCTGAGGGAGGGGAGAGAATTGCGCGTGTTGTTAAGGGTGAGAAGGATGAAGATGTTGGGAAGGCTATTGGAATTCAAGGCATAAACCCATGGTGATGCCACCGATTTCGTTTATGAGGGACAACCAGTAAAAGGGACGCAGAAGGATGGCGGATAACTGTTATTTGGTTCTTGTATGGAAGTATCACCGTAACATAGTGGGATCAGCTTCTGAGTCATCAAATCGCAATCAGGAATCAGATTGTCTTTGAGCTAGAGATCCCTTCCAAGCAAATATCGCCAGGATCAACTAACGTTATCTGTCAGACTGGTCCCACTGATGCTGACACAATCCACGGAGGATCCCGAACCTGGTTCTCACCACCAGTATAAAGCATGATACTTACGCTTCTTATCATCAGACTGCTCTACAATTCTGGGGAAAAAGCCTAAGATATATATTTACGATACCATGGTGTTAACTTGGTTCATTACCGGCTGCTCCAGCGGGTTTGGCGAAGCCCTCGTTCGTCAACTTCGGTCTGCAGGGGATAACGTCATAGCCACTGGCCGCAACGCCGATACAAAGCTCTCGCACCTCAAAGAAACTGGGGCAGCTATTCTTGAACTCGATGTTTCATCCTCTCCTGAGATCATAAAGTCCAAGATCGACGAGGCTTGGAGTATCTACGATGGAATCGATGTTGTCATCAATAACGCGGGGTATATCCTCAGTGGGGCAGTGGAAGAGCTGACGTGAGTATTGGGCTGTCAGTTGTGATGATTATAGCTGATCATAGAAAGTCAAGAGGATATGGAAAAGTCTTTCCAGGTCAACTTTCACGGACCCATGAATATCACTCGTGCCGTCTTGCCCTACTTGAGAGAGAAGGGATCTGGAACTCTGCTTTTCGTCGGATCTCAAGCTGGATGGCACGCTGACCCCAGTGCATCTGGATACTGCGCCAGCAAGTTTGCCCTCGAAGGTAAGCCGCGTCCAATCTTCCATCCATTGGGCATTACTCACTGACAAGTTCAGGTGCCGTTGAGTGTCTATCCAAAGAGCTCGCCATCTTCGCTTCAGGTCTAAAAGTCCTCATCGTCGAACCAGGATACTGCCGCACTCCAGTTTTCAACAAGATCCAGCACGTTGAGGCTCGTGTTCCGGAGTATGCTCAGTTCAATGAAGCAGTTCGACAGGCTGAAGCGACTCTGACGGAAAACTCACCGGGAGATCCTGAGAAGGCTGTTGCTAGGATGATTGAGCTCGTTAAGGGGACCGGCTTTGCAGAGGGTAAGAAGATGCCTTTAAGGGTGCCCTTGGGGTCGGATAGTTGGTCGAGAGTGAAAGCTAAGTGCGAAGAAACACTGGAGATTTGCCGTGATTGGGAGGACCTGGCAAAAAGCGTTGATATATAAGCTGAAATGGCACAAGCAGAATGAACAGAAGAAATCAATTTGACGATATGAAGTTTAGGCTTGTCTCTAAACATAACCGGAAAATATCACGCCCCATAAACAAGCTTCGCCATCTTATCCCTATCGTAGTTCCCACTGCACAAGACAACAGTACTAATCTGATGTTTCACCCTATCAGCAACTTTATGAAACCCCGCAAGAGCCAATGCCGAAAACCCATCAACACGCTGCCTCTCCTGCAAATGAAGCTGTCTCAACGCCACCAAGATCTCCGCCTCCGTACACGTAACAACATGATTAACCGTCTCCCTCGCCATCCGAAAGTCAATCCCATCCCGTACAACATCATTATCTTCTTCGCACGCAGCAATCGTAGGCGAAGTTTCCGTCTCGATGGGAAATCCAGCAGATAAAGAAGCAGCAACTGTCATCAAGTTTAACGGTGTTACGCCCCAGACTTTGACTTTTGGTCGTAAATCGCCAGCTTGCCTTTTTGCATCTGTGGCGAAGCAGCCTATGGCGCTTATGAGTGCGATGTCAGTCATGGGCGCGAAGATGTTATGGATATCCTTCCCGTAGGCTTCGAATTGCTGGAGGACTTCGACGCAGACGGTGCCTAGACCGGCGAGGACCATCGTATCATCGTAGGGGGAGAAATATATATGCTCTGATCTTTCAGCAAGGTCTTGTGCATACGCTCTCGCTTCGCTGAGATCATGTCCATGTCGCACAATCTCAGGACCGTACTGCATCACCTTATCAAGAAGATATTTCTCAACATCCATTGGCATGACGATAGTGACTTTTGTTCCTAAAGCATGCGCCGCAAGGGCAGCGCCCATGGCATGATTCCCCGTTGACGCTGTGACAAATGGCTTTTTTGTTGGATTGTCCTTCATTCGTGCTATGGCACCGCGGAAGTGGTAAGAGCCAGTGTACTGACGGTGATCAAGTTTGAACCAGAGTTTTGAACCGTACTTTTTACTGATGGTTCTGGAGGGGATAAGGGGTGAGCGGTAGACGTAGAGTTTGTTGAGACTCCATTGTCTGAGGGCTTCTTGGCCGATGGCGAAGATCTCTGGGTCGGTTGGCATTTTGAAGTATTTAACATGGCGCTGGACTTGTATCTATGGGGTTGAGAAGCATAGTAGAGTTTGTATTGGCGAGTGTCGTTAATTGATGAGATCAGGCATGCTTTTGACGGGTTTAGTCGCGTGTTTGATGCCGGCGCCAAAGATTGATCGCGTCCTGGCAAGGGGGCTAAGATCGATCATGATTGGCTGTTGAGCTTCTGCCGAGTTTTCAACCCTGTCTGCCTGTCGATATGCGGGGTCCATTCACATTCACTTCTCTCATTTTGTGTCACATCAATTCTCATCGCCATGATGAGTAGCCGTCAAGAATCTCACTCTATCGCCCTGAAAATAGTTCTGAATTAAATCCCAAACACAATTTTTAAAGCTTGTGTCTAACCATTTCACATACTGAGTGTATCTGGACGCAACTGAGAGCCTATGGAGCCGTCTCAGAGACGACGTGCAGGATGCACTGAATGCAAGAGGAAGAAGGCAAAGGTATGCTCAGTATCTGCTCTCGTATTTCATTTGTATCAACATTAACATTCAACAAGTGCGACGAGAAGAGGCCGTCGTGTTCACGGTGCTACAAGTACCCTCACCTATGTTCATATGAGTTGAGCGTTAAGAGCTTCAGAGTGGCGAAACGGAAGCCAGCGAATAATATTCAGGTACTTCATTTACCTTCAACTGAAATGATTCAATTGAATACAGACTCACTCAATAATACCCCCACAGATCACGACACGGCCATCTTCAACCGGTGAGATGGCTAGTGAACGACAAGTGTCTCTGGCACCAAGCTCAGTTGTGACTCCCAACCAACTAATTTCTTATACCAACACATCCGACACATTTGAGAGCGACTTTCTTTCACCATCAATACTAAACGACTCTTCTGAATTCCTGTTTTCCTTTTCTGCAGTGAGCCCACCAAGGCTCAGCATCTCCCTCTCCCTTCCATCCAGCCCTCCACTCCGGTCTGATCCTCGGCGGATCTACTTTCAGCACTTTGTAGCCCACACAGCCATAGTATACTGGCCGCTACAACCGGACATGGCTCTAAGTTTGATTCTACCAGCCGCTGATCTCAGCCCCTGTATAATGGGGGCAATGATCGCCGCCAGCAGTAGCCAATTGTTTAGGATGGCGCGAAACCCAGAGTCGAAGAGTGCAGCAATATCGGCGACTGTGGAGTGTCTGGGGAGCCTGCGTCAAGCAATTACTACACCGGAGTTTGGTGACCTTGGAGTGACTATACTGCCGACAACGTTGATGCTGGCTACGACGTGTGTTTGCGCTGGGGATACTACGACCTTTCGGAAGCATCTCAACGGGGCTCTTCACATTGTTCAGCGCGACAAAGCGAAGTATAGTCTGGACCCTTTATGGTGGATGAGTCTCAAGTGGCTCGTCCACATGCTTTTGATGAATAGATTGTCAGGCCTGCCCCTACCTTCACGGCAGACGAAAGGGTTCATTGACTGGGACTACCTTTTGACATGTATGCCTGATTTAGGCCGCATTGATCTCACTTCCGGCTTTTCTCGAGAGCTGGTGACTGTTCTCAATATGGTTTGCGAGCTATCTGAGCCACGTTGCATGAATGTCGATGCAGGTGGCCAATTGCATGGAAATGGCCTAGCACGCAGTGCATGTTCTCACGAGCTTGAACTTCGATTGATCGAGCTTCGGAAAAAGACCGCCTCAACAGTAACAGACACGGTGCTCCGGACAGAACTAGAGACCAGCCATAGACTGTTCACTGATGCAACACTACTATGTCTATACAGACGAGTTGACGAACTACCCAAGGACAACCCCAAAGTTCAGACAGCAGTGAAATCGGCCATCAACTCATTGCAGAATATTCACAAGCAGTCTCCTGTTCATGCTCAACTCTTGTGGCCACTCCTTGCAGCAGGCTGCGACTCAATGACTCACGCCGAACGTGTCATCGTTGTAGAGACGATGGAGAGCATGACTGCACGGGGATTGGGTAGCTACGACAATGTCCTCGAGTTCATGAGGGATTATTGGAAGCATGGAGGCGATATGAGATGGGACTTGTTCGCCAAGCAAACAGGAAAAGATCTCGTACTCTTCTGATGTGAATAGCACCGAACTCATAATTGCGCCTTCTCATATTCATCGGGCCAGCGGATAATCACGGATGGCCTCAAAGCCGATTATAGACTGAATCTTGATTTCAGTCGGTCAAAATACACCGCTCTTCATGCTTTACAAAAGGAGTGTATAAGCTCGTTTGCAGCAAAGTGAGCTGCATTGCTACGTCGCACGGCCGTACTGTTGGGCTTGGGAGGTAACCTCGGCAATCGAGCACAGCGATCGACAGCATAAACACCATAAATGGACCCAGCACCTCCAGAGCAAAGTTTTCACGATACTCATGCAATGACTAAAATCAACATCTGATATCAGTTCATCCAAGACTCGGCTCTTTACCGGCGGTGATGAAGCAATCACCAGCTGAATATCCAATCCGCAATGTCAACATACTGATAGGGTAGGATACGAAAGAAGAAGTCGAGATTATTTCCACCACGGAGAAACATTCTTGGCTTAGTGAGATCAAGAGAGTAGGACCGAAAACTGCCGGTAGGGCATTATTAGTCAAGGAAATCATAGGCTTAAAGAGGGATACCACACATGCAGAAATCCGGGGTTGACAGCCGAGGATGTATGCTAGACACTCCCGCTTGCGGGGGCGGCCCGAATAAACGGGATATAATGCTAAATACGGTAAAAGTTCTGAAGTCTGTCAAGATGTTATTCTAAAAGAACAATAGGAACTGTTGCCTAGTTAGTGCTAGCCCGTGCAACGCTGAAAAAAGCTCCGTGATGGAATAGGGAGGTGAGCCATTTGAAACATTAACAAATGACGAAATACCCATGCAGACAACAAACGTGGTGCATGATACGCGCAGGGAACACGCGGAAACTCCGCCTGTCAACGTGACACCAAGGAGATCGAGTTTCGGGCCGATAGAGGTCATCTGGTGTACCCCTGTCACGATGATCACCATTGGAGCTACCGTCTCAACCTCAAACGCTCGTGCACTATAACGTTTAATGACATGACCCCGCAGACGCACCCAATCAGACGACAGAAGTCAGCTTCGGAGGTTTTTGCGGCTTTGGGTCGCCTGTTAACCCACTGTTAACGAATCCTTTGGTCCTTGGTGCTATAGCTGAACAATGCTCTAACACTGTAATTAAATCCTTCATCATCCGAAACATACTATTCGTCTTGTCTTGAACACTTTCAATTTTACGATAAAAAGGCTTTGTCCCGTCATGTCTTGAGATTCAGCAGCACGCTCAACCTTCTCCCTCATTCACCATTCAGCATGAAGTTCTCTCTCCTTGCGACCATCGTCGCTAGCATCAGTCCGCTTGCACGCGCAGCGGATGCAAACGCTTGGAAGTCGCGAAATATTTACTTCGCACTTACTGATCGTGTTGCGCGCAGTGCTGATGATAATGGCGGTAGTGCATGCGGAAACCTCGGAAATTACTGTGGTGGAACTTTTAAGGGCTTAGAGTCGAAGCTTGATTATATCAAGGGCATGGGATTCGATGCTATTTGGATTACTCCTGTTGTTGACAGTAAGTGTTGCGAAAACGTGTGAGAGAAGGTGACTGACCAGGCGATAGATACTGATGGGGGTTATCATGGATACTGGGCTAAGGATCTGTATGCGGTCAACTCCAAGTATGGTACTGCAGATGATTTGAAGAGTCTTGTTAAGTCTGCTCATGACAAGGTAAGCCAAATTACTTTTCCTGCTGTTCTGCCATGACCACCTTGGTCTGTCTTCGTGATCCCGTGCTGACTGTTCCAGAACATGTACGTCATGTGCGACGTCGTCGCAAACCACATGGGCAAAGGCATCTCAGACCACAAACCCTCTCCCCTCAACGAACAAAGCTCATACCACACCCCCTGTGACATCGACTACAACAACCAGACCAGTATCGAGCAGTGCGAAATCGCCGGTCTTCCCGACCTCAACACCGGCAGCGACACCGTCAAGACGGTCCTCTACGATTGGATCAAGTGGCTCGTCTCCGAGTACAGCTTCGACGGTATCCGCATCGACACTGTTAAGCATGTTGAAAAGCCGTTCTGGCCTGGTTTTCAAGACGCTGCTGGTGTTTACGCCATCGGTGAGGTTTGGGATGGAGGGCCTGATTACCTAGCTGGTTATGCACAGGTCATGCCTGGTCTTTTGAACTATGCTATGTATTACCCCATGAACCGGTTCTACCAACAAAAGGGTGATCCTTCAGATGTTGTCGCTATGCACGATGAGATTAGCAACAAATTCCCCGACCCTACTATCCTCGGCACCTTCATCGACAACCACGATAACCCCCGCTGGCTAAGCCAGAAGAACGACAAAGCTCTCCTCAAGAACGCCCTCGCTTACGTCATCCTCGCCCGAGGCATTCCCATCGTCTACTACGGAACAGAGCAAGGTTACGCTGGCGGCAATGATCCTGCTAACCGTGAAGATCTCTGGCGAAGCAGCTTCAGCACCGACGCGGATTTGTACCAGCACATCTCACGTCTCTCCAAGGCTCGCACAGCGGTCGGTGGTCTCGGTGGAAATGACCACAAGCATCTTTACTCGCAGGACAGCGCATATGCTTGGAGTCGTGCTGATGGTGATCTCATTGTTCTTACTTTGAACCGTGGACAGGGATACTCGGGACAATACTGCTTCAACACTGGAAAGAACAACAAGACTTGGGATAAGGTGTTTGGAAGTGGAACTGTTACGTCTGATGGAAATGGACAGGTTTGTGTTAGCTACACTAACGGCGAACCTGAAGTTTTGGTTGCATCGAGTTAGATGGCATAAAAATGGGGGTTGGCTTCGTACTGGATACGGTCTTTTTCCTCGACTCTCCTTCATGATTTTCTTATATACTGATCTCAGTTTCAAATCAACTTTTTTCTGTTCCAGCTTTGGGTTGTTGGTGTGCACACTATGTCAGCGCCAAGACGCGATGCGCCAAATGTTGGCTACATGGCGGCTGTGATTGTAATTGTACTGGTTTGCGATGCTGCGTAAGGGTGTTTCTGGCAGCCAAAAAAGGAGTTGCAGTGCTTACTGTCATCTTGATTGGCCTGAGCCATGTAAAAAATGAAACGTTGTGTCAGCCACCCGAAATTTCAGGCGCTTAATATTCTCATATTACAATCCGTGCAGCTCTGTGTATACAGCCGCTGCGGCTGACTGCCACGTCCTTTTATGAGATTTATCCCATTGTGAATCCTAAATATCCATTCTTCATCTTCTCCCACTCGGTCAGCTCTCGACAAAAATGCCACCATTCCAATATCCTCCATTACTCCCCTTGGAGCTGCGGCTTCTGGTCCTGCACTCCGGTTTGTCACAAGATCCCCTCACTGGGACCCTCTTACAGAGGAGATTGTCGCCCGAAGACGAGGATGTCCCAGATTACGAAGCCCTATCTTACTTCTGGGGCGATCAGTCTCATCCTCAACCCATCAAACTCAAGACAAAATGGCGAAAACCTAAAGAACACGCACATCCAGCGCCAGAGCCGGACGGCTCCAGCTACCGGAAGTTCATCCTTTCAGCCTTTGGTATTCTTCACTCTGGGTATCTTGATATTGGACCTAATCTGGCCTCCGCTTTGCGGGCACTACGATACCCCGACCGTAAGCGGCTACTGTGGTGCGACTCCATCTGCATCAATCAAAAGGACGTCGCAGAGCGCTCTGCTCAGGTTCAGCGCATGGCAGATGTATATCAATCTGCCCGAAGAGTCATTGTATGGCTAGGTCCTGCAGCGCCCTGGAGCTCTACAGCCATAGAGACTCTACGTTGGGTGAGAAGCCAACTCTCGCCTTTAGCCATAGATCTTACCTCGTATAGAGAAATCTTTGCCCCAACAAAGAACGCAAGCCGGCAGGAGATCGATTACGGTGAGCATCTTCCGCTTACCCAGGACCAGTGGCTTGCATTCGAGCAGCTGCTGGACTTGAACTGGTTCCGGCGGCTTTGGACTCATCAGGAAATAGCCTTGGCAAATCAAGAGACATCGATTGTGAGGTTGGGCAACGATGAGATACTGTGGACCAGGTTTATTGAAGCGGCCATGTTCATATGTTTCAACAAAGGATCAGTATCACAACCGTGCTTTGTTGATCTGGCCAGGCATAGAGCAAATATCAAGGTTTTTTGTGCCAACGCTTCGAGTTGTAGGTTTGCTCAGCAGTTGGGAAGGGACTGCAATGACTGGGTTTCTCTATTATTTTTGACGAGGTTATATGAATGCTCTGATATTCGGGATAAACTCTATGCGCTTCGAGGGTTTCTCGAGCCTGAGACTGCCCAATCGATCCGTGTAGACTACACAAAGTCTGCCAGGCAAATCATGGCTTCAGCTTCTATCACTTACATGAAGCAGAGACGAAATCTCCAGTTCCTGGAGCTCTGTAACTCGATGATATCTCCCAGCTGGGCGGTGGACCTACAGAAGCCGCTGTGCCTCATGCAGCTCTTGAGCAACGCAGGTGCAAGATCCGCCGCATCAGCGAGATATATAAAGCCTGGAGTGTTGGAGGTTGCGGGCGTTTCTTGTGATGGAATCTGCAACAGTGTAATGGATATGCCCCCGAGAGCAAAGTTTGAAGCAGTAGAGGACTATGTCGCCAATGTCCTCAAGGTGTTTCGAGATATCACAGGGAATGAGGATTTTCATCAAGACGATAAATGCCTCGACGAGTTGATAAACCTGATGACGTTTGGTAAGCTCTGGGAGCACAGTACAGCAAGAACTGAAGGTCCTCCCTCTTGGAGCAGAATATCTCTGGAGATTGGACGGTGGATGATACGTCAGTGGATTACAGGCCGCGCCATCGCGGACGATTATCACAACATTCCATATGGTCATAACAATGAGACGGTAACCGCTTGCACAAGGACGCGCCGTGGGACCCTCGCGTGCGTCCCTCCAAGCAGCTGCGACGGAGACATAATAGTAACTCTTCTCGGCCTGTCCAGCAACTTGGTTCTCCGTCCTCAGCCTGAAGATGGTTTCTACAAGGTCGTTGGACCATGCTATCACCCGGGGTTTTCTGACGGCCAAGCCTTACTAGGGGATGACTTCCGCGGCTGGGAGAAATTGTGGTCTGTCGACACACAGTATTATGCGTTTTGGAGAGAGGGCGAGCCTCTCCGTTTCTCAGATCCACGACTTGAAGGGGTTCCATTGCCCATTGGGTATAAGGAGTTTGCAGCTGAGATGGGTGGGGAATCCGTTCCTTTTTGGGTACGCAAGTGTGAATATGAGGAATACATGGAGAACGAAAGAATTTACGATCCACGAATGTCAGAGCATAGGTTAAAGGAGAGAGGGGTGTCGATAGAGAGATTTCGGTTAGTATGAAGAGACGTTAACGAATTTGAAGAATTCATAGGGGAATTTTATAGGGACAATGTTTTGATGGATGTGATACTGTTTTCATTTTCAATTTATCTTGATCATGATAATGCATGAGGATATGGAAACAGAGGGCGAACTTATACATCGACAGAAACCCTCCAGCCACGTGCGCGATTAGTATCTCACCATTGGCTAACCACCGCCAAGGAAGCTAACATTAACAATTAAAAAAGAAATTATAGACACTGGCAAGAATAAAATGTCAATTATTATCACGGTGAGAGAACAGGCAGGTATCTGGCACACCTGCGCGATAATTGGTCAATCGCAGCCAAGCGATGAAAGAGATTTAGATCCAATGACGTGACCGCCGGGATTTAAGATGAAGCTTAAATCTCCATTACGTGAGTCACTTATCTCCTTGCATCCTCAAAATACATCAATTGAGTCTCTTATGATACGTCAAGAACCTCAAGATGGTTGTCGGCGGCTGGGAAAACGCGGTGCGTAGAGCCGCAGATCGCGGGCTGCAGACACTCAAGGTCAATTGGCATCTCGGCTTCACTGCATTCGGCGGACCGCCCGTGCACTTCAAGATCGTAAGCAACCTCTCAAAGCTGATTTTACAGCATGGCTAACGAGCGAAGTTTCACGACAAGTTTGTTACGAAATTGCAATGGATCGATGAGCAGATTGTACGTTTGCACTACCTTCCAAACCATCACAGCCGATTAACAGCGATCGTTAGTTCCAGGAGCTCTTCAGCGTCTCACAGGCGCTCTCTGGCCCTGCCAGTACGAAAATGCTTTACTGTATCAATTTGATCCATGGTGGACTGTTCGAAGCTATTCTGGCATTTTTCATTTGGAGGTATGACGCGTGTGATGTATCCAAGACGACGCGGCTGACCAAAACAGTTTACCCGGTTTTCTAGGCATGTTTGGACTTTCCTTTGGTGTATCCAACATCGGAGATACCCTACCTCGCGCGGTATACGCCCTTCTTTCGGGTTTAAATGCAGCGACTGTTGGTATCATCGCCCTAGCAGCCGTCGAACTCTCCGACAAGGCTATCACAGATCAGGCTACGAGGCTTGTTCTCTCAATCACTGCCATGGCTGGAATACTGTACAACGCCCTCTGGTATTTCCCGGTTCTCATTGTTGCGGGTGGATGCTGTACTATTGTGTATGATTTCCGCTGGCTGCATCGTCCGGTCCGCGCTGTGAAGAATGGTCTTCTAAGGATGAGGAGGGGAAGAGTTACGGAGAGTGAGAATATTCAAGGCGCTGAAAATGGAACGGACGGCAATGCCAATGACTCGAGAGTTGCCCTTGCTGAGGCAGCTGAGTCTGCCCCCCGAGAGGATGAACCACGTGTCGTTCCGCAGGAATATCGCCTCAACTTCTCATGGAAGTCCGGAACAGCCATCATCGCCGTCTTCCTCCTCTCATTCATCGTCGTTCTCGTCCTACGCGGAACGCTCCCGACTACTCCTCTGCTCTACAAACTTTTCGCCAACCTCTATCTAGCTGGAACGATCATCTTTGGCGGGGGTCCCGTGGTAATTCCTCTTCTTCGAGAGTACGTCGTTGCCGAGGGATGGGTTTCACCGCGTGATTTCCTGATCGGTCTCGCTATTGTGCAGGCGTTCCCAGGGCCAAACTTTAACTTTGCTGTGTTCCTTGGTGGTCTTACAGCTGCGAACAATGGATATCCTGCTATTGCAGGAGCGCTAATTGCTTACCTCGGTATCTTTGTCCCAGGCATGGTTCTCGTCCATGGAACAATGGGTGTATGGGGAGTTCTGAGGAGTCGTCGCTGGGTCAAGTCTGCTGTGCGAGGAATTAATGCTGGTGCTGTTGGATTGATCTACACGGCTGTCTATAGGATTTGGCAGGTTGGATATATAGATCAGGGCTTCCAGTCTGGAAAGAGTTTGGCTGATGATCCTTGGTGGGTTGTTGTCACTGCAACGGCTTTTGTGGGAGGACGTTATTTTGGTGTCGCACCGCCGTTGGCGATTCTGCTTGGTGCTTCGTTGGGGCTGCTGAGGTATGGCATTGTTGAAGCATGAGCCTCATTACCCGGGAGCAAGCAAGCATCGGCGAGGTCCGAGATGTAGACGCCGGTGTTTGGACATTGATCGAAAGACGGAGGTCGAGATTTGACGGCATTATGTAAATGATTGGAACAAAGTTTACACGCTGGCGATTAGTATGGTACGATGGAGGTGAAGGCATCATGCTCCGGTGGGGCCGAGCGGCGACTGCTCGGGATGGCTTCCGTGATGCTAGGTACGGTTTCTAACATTGGCTCCTGACCGGCTCTCGGCAGCGAAACCGCAGAAGACGAACCGTAGGTTACAAGAATTTCCGAATGCGTAAGCTCTGTCTATTTCGAGCCTACATTGCATGCGGTGAAATGTTCGGTCAGCACGTAGCAATTAGCGAAAGATAACGCCTCGACCGTGTCGACCAACCTGTAGCATGAACCAATTTCTCACTTGTCACAACATATCTTTGAGGCCACCAAAAGCCCAAATGTTACAGCACTCCCTCTACCGGTGTAGCATCTCAATGCCATATCAAGACCAACCACATGATACTCCATAATCCGGGGTAGACACCGATGAAGCGGGGAAGAAAGTGGAGGTTGAGTTATCTTTTGGTGGCGGCCGGTGTATCTTTGCGGCGGCTACGCTAACGAGTTCTGTGGTCCTCGTGAGGAGTCTCGTCTCCAAAATTCGTTATCTTATCCAACCAGATGATGCCGTGATGTTTGTCTGGCGATATCGGATAACGACCCGATGCACGTCTTCCAGAACATTTCATGGCTTGGATGTTTTAAACGCAGTCTTACCCGTCCTTCATCTTTTCCTCGTCTTTTTACTCTATTCTATAATTATAATTACTTCTGCATTCAAGTTTGGGGTTTGTAGTCGCTCGACCATTCACCGGGATAGGAACCCGCCTCATCCCCGCCGGCAAACCTTCACAAGCTAGCAAAATGTCAACAGAAAACACAAATCAATCGATCCTCATTCTCGGAGGCGGCTGTTTCGGCCTAGCGACGGCATTTGAGCTCGCTCAAAAGGGTTACAAGAACATCAAAATTCTTGAGAAAGATGTCGATGTACCGAGCCGCTTCTCCGCTGCTTATGATCTGAACAAGGTCATCCGTGCTGAGTACGCTGATGACTTCTACACTCAATTAGCTCTCGTAAGCAGCCGTCTTAACCCATGGATGCGAACCTTTGACTTACAATAACTTTAGGACGCGATTCGAAAATGGCAATCTGATCCCCTCTATTCTCCTCATTATCACCAAACCGGCTTTCTCAACGTCACATCTGGCAAAGCCGCACAGAACACAAAGGGCGCAGTGGAGAGCTACTTTCAATCACTCCAAAAGAACCCAGCTTTCAATGGCCAAACCGTCCGCGTGAACAGCAGCGAGGAGATCAAGAAGCTCGTCCCCAAGTTCAGCGGTCCATTGACCGGCTTCACCGGATATCACAACAAGCTCGCTGGATACGGCCACTCCGCCAATGCTTTGAGAGCCGTGTACGAGCAGTGCGTCAAACTCGGTGTCAAGTTTCATCTTGGAAACAAAGATGGCGAAGTTGAGTCATTACTCTATGCGTCGAGCCGAGAGGGGACCAAGTGTATAGGTGCCAGGACACGTGGCGGCACCATCCACTCAGCAGACAAGACCATCGTCGCTCTAGGCGCCGACGCCGCCAACATCCTTCCACGCATCGGAAAACAAATGACCGGTCGAGCATGGGGTGTCGCACACATACAACTCACGGACAAAGAAGCAGTCGAACTCAAGGGCATTCCCGTCACCAACGTGCGCGACCTCGCTTTCTTCTTCGAACCCGACCTAAAAACCAAGAAACTCAAATTCTGCCACATGGGCGGTGCATTCACAAACTACGCCTTCTCAAAAGACGGTCTCTCGATCCCCTTTCCCTCGCTAGAAGATTCACAATTCATGCCTCTCGAGGACGAAACGCACATCCGTCTTCTTCTCAAAGAAGTATTCCCGCAACTAGCAAACAGACCTCTGATTGATCAGCATCTGTGCTGGTTCGCTGACACGGATGATTCGGATTTTATTATCGACTATGTTCCTGGTACGAATGCGACTTTGGCGGTGTTGAGTGGTGATAGTGGACATGGGTTCAAGATGTTGCCCATCTTTGGAGAGTTTGTGCATAAGTTGCTTGTGGAGGAGAGGCAGAGTCAGGCGAAGTGGCAGTGGAAGGATAGTAAACCCAAGGCAGCGGCTGTTTGGAGGAGTAGTGAGAGCCAAGAGCTTGCTGCTGTTCCTCGCGCAAAGTTGTAGGGGCTTGAAGTATAGGAAAGATATCTAATATGAATCTCTATTTTGCTTATAAACGGGTTTTCCGTCTTCTGTCCGTATGTAACACTATACACTGCAGCGCGATCGACAGACTAGTTCAACGAACGGAACGAACAACGAGCAACTGCAAAACCGACATATCTCTTTTTGGCTATAAACAGCGGGCAGACGGCGACTCCAACCGTTATTCGTCAGCAGCATAACGGAGTGAGGGGTTGATATCTCGTCCGAGTCTTACAAATCCTCAATTACACGACACCATCAACTCGCAAACGAGGTGCTGTTATTTCCGATTTGAGCCAAGATCATTCGATCGCGCAATATCTTGATAAATGTATTGGATAACTATTAATGTTGCAATCACTTTGCATATCGCATGTCGAGCGTTGGCCAATGAGGTTTGTCGCAGTAAGTCTTGGTCATTGTGTGCCATCATGGCGTGACTGGCCAAGTCGGGGTCGCTGTAACGGTATTGAGGGGACGATCTTTGTATATCAGGATGCTACGCGCTTCTAGAATTCCAAAAGTTTAAATGAATATTTCACAATTAAAACATTATATAATAAGATACCAATCCATTCATTCAAGATGGTTCCAGCCCCAATCGACCCAAGCATCAAAGATGTCGCAGAACCCATCAAAGACACCCTCAAGATCCCCGACGCAGCCAAACAGCGTCTCGAGAAATCAGGCATAGACATCTCCAAAGGCTATCCCTACCGCCCTTCTCGCCCTCTGTATCTCGATGATGTCTACAAGATTCGAGACAAGCCCCGCGATCATATCGACGCAGGTGCCCGAGCTGACAAGTCAAAGAAGAGCCTTCTGTCCGCTGCGACAAAGGTCACTGATCTGACTGCTTACATCGGAACGGAGATTGAAGGTCTGCAGTTGAAAGATCTTACTAATCAGCAGAGAGATGAACTTGCGCTGCTTATTGCGGAGAGGAGTGTGGTGTTTTTTAGAGATCAGGATCTTTCGCCGCAGCAGCAGAAGGAGCTTGGGGAGTGGTACGGTGAGGTTGAGATTCACGTAAGTCATGCATTTGATCTTCTTCATGACAGATGCTCACGAGACATAGCCCCAAGTCCCTCATGTCCCTGGCGTCCCAGGTGTAACCGTCCTCTGGCCCGATCTCATGGCTCAAGAGCGCCCAGCGAGTTTCCGTCAACCAGGCGGTGCATCGCGCTGGCACACAGATCTCGTCCACGAGAAGCAACCAGCGGGTATCACACATCTCCACAATGATACTATCCCATCTGTTGGTGGCGATACCCTCTGGGCATCTGGCTACGCTGCATATGAGAAGCTCTCCCCAGAGTTCCGCAAGATCATTGATGGCCGCGAGGCTGTTTACCGCTCTGCTCATCCCTATCTTGACCGTGATCATCCCGAACAAGGACCAAAGTACATTGAGCGCATTCATCCTATCGTTCGTGTTCATCCCGCCACGGGCTGGAAAGCGCTCTGGGTGAACCGTGCGATGACGGATAGGATTGTTGGTCTTGATCGGGCGGAGAGTGATGTCATTCTTAATTACTTGTATGATGTTTACGAGCAAAACGTTGACATTCAAGTCCGATTCAAGTGGACGCCAAGAACATCTGCCCTTTGGGATAACCGGTAAGCTTCAGAGAATTCACTGACATATAATGTGCTAACTGGTTTTAGTATTACTATTCATAATGCAAGCTGGGACTATAGTGGAAGAGAACCGCGACATGGCACGCGAGTTACTTCTTTGGCTGAGAAGCCGTATTTTGACGCATCGGCGCCTACGCGTCGTGAGGCACTGGGTCTTTTGGGAGATAGTGAGAAGAAGGAACTTGAGGAGTCAAAGTGAAGACCATATGCTGCATATACTGCACGGCGAGATCTATATCATGTTTCTGGGTAAATTGAGTTATCAATTGAGAAAGAATGAAACCATATCTACTCCTCATGTTTTCAGACTAGTCTTCCTGCGGTTTCTGCTTCAAATCCTGATTCCATCTAGGCAAAGCCAGTGGCAACAACAAAGCTAACATCATTGACAAAGCTGTTGGCAGAATCAAAGTCATGAACACCACCATTGGAAGCAGCATACCCAACGTTGTTGTAGTGTCGAATGTACCTAGTCGGATAGCTCCACGATCGGAACGAACTTCCCGTTCCACTGATACCCTTCTGCGGGCAGAACGTAGCATCCTCATTAAAGATTTTGCTCCCGTCGCTCTTGTTAACGTACAGCTGGAAGCCAGAGTGTCGAATGTAACTACCAGGGGTATCGTTAGACTCGAAAGACACACAGCCGCTGTTGGCGAGACCAGTGCGCACCGTCCAGCTCGCTGACTTCTTGAGGGCGCTGGAGCTGGAGCTGGAGATCACTTGGGTGTTGACGTTGGAGGAGCTGTGGGCGAGGACGCGGTCTGTGTAGCCGGAGGTGGTGACTTTGAGGGTGACGGATGATCCGACGGTGAGGGCGGTTCCGCTTGTCAAAGATGTGGTGGCGTACTTGGCCGCGACGATGTTGGCCTGCACCGAGTTCTCGGTCGCATCAGAAGGGTATCCGCTGGTCATCACTCCTTCGTAGAAAGTTCCCTGGGCTCCATTACTATTATCACCGCCAATGCCGAGGATGATTGCTCCCTCTTTGCTCATGGGGTTGTATCCACCATCAGGGCGCGCACCGCTGTAGAAAGTCGATAGCGAGCCCGAGGCGGCGTTTCCACCACGAATGGCCCACGTGCCGGGCTTGCCCTTGACGACAGCACTGGTGAAACGGTTGGAGATACTTGGGTTGGCAGTGTTTTGCTTGGCGCCCTGGCCAGAGAAGAGGCCGTTTTCAAGATCAGCCATGATCCATGGGCCGCTGCCGGAACCAGAGCCCCAGACGGTGTTGTCGCCGAAGTAGATAGCTTCCATGTGCCCGTTACCAGTGTCTTTGCTGTTGGTCTCCGCATTGCCGTAGTCGAAGCAGCAAGCACCGTTGTAATGCGTTCCGTCGAGAACAGCATACATACCCTCGGGTTCATCGCCGGTGGCGGAACCGTCAACTTGGTTGTTACGATAGCCGGTGCCAGGGGAGATAAACACTCCGTAGGCCTTCTTGCCGTTCAAGGTAACAGGTGCACCATCAGCAGCGGCAAGGTTATCGTAGCCATTCACATCAGGGCCGTTGAAGCCTCCTGGAGGAGCCTGGGTCAAATGGTTGCTTCGGCCAGACTGATCATAGATGATGGTGATGAGACAGGTAGTGCCGCTGCAGAAGGAGTCTTGGGCAGAAGAGGCTGCGACACCGCCTGCTGAGACAGGCTTGATGTCGGTGAGGGCACCGTCTGAAGCACGCTTGATCTGGTAGAGACCGCCGGTATAGCTGTCAAAAAGGGCGCGGGTAGTGCTATGAGCGGCGATGCAGGGTGTCCCGCCGGACTTGTAGATGTCGCATGGTCCTGCTGAGACAAGACGAGCGGTGGTGGCGAGACCAAGAGCGAAGACGCTTTGGAGAAGCATTGTGAAGTGACTATGAGAAGGAAGGATGACCAGAGCCAGGTGTCTTTGACAGAGGATTAAAGAAGAGCTGCTGAGTTACAAGAAGTGGAAATTACGGCACAGAATAACAGCTCTTTATATAGATATCCCCATACTGAGGTCTCTCGTCCGATACTTTCCCCGGACCCCATCGCACGAACATCAGACGAAGCGACTAACCACCTTCCTATTCCGCACACTCTCTCCAAAGGGAGCAACTATTCACAAAATTCCTCCGTTGGACAAATCCGTTCAGGGAAATGGCGTTGCCAAGCCTTATTCGCCCGCTTCTCCAAATCTGCGGGGTATGCAGATCGGCGCCATCGTCATCTGGGGTATTTACCCCAGGGGGCATCGCGTGGCTCGGGCCTTGATGTAACCATAAACCGGCACTTGCGTGCCGAATTTGATGCGGACAAATTAGAGGGCGCGAACGGAGGGATGTTTGGTAAGAGAGCCAATGGTGGGAGATTGTGGGGGATGCATTTAGGGCCGAGTCGTGATGTGGGCGGTATTGAGATCGTCGTGACCTAACCTGATGGGCTGGAGACTAGGGATGGTATATCCTCGTATATTTGTCTATTGCCTCAATACCGCAGATGGCATATGACCTGACCAGATCGTAAGAAATGTGAATAACTAGACTAACTCTGCTAAACTTACCCAAATCTGACCTAACCTTTACTCGGCATTTGTCGTAGCCTGTTCCCTTCCCAAGCGCTGCGTCATGACTGGAATCGCTTCACTTCTCCCAAAACGCCCCAATGAAATCCTCCACATCCTTCCAAAGTGAATCCGGCTCCTCAAGCGCAGCAAAGTGTCCACCCTTGCCATGCATCCTATACCACTTCACCTGCTCCGTCTGCTGAATCCATCTCTCCGGCGCCGTGACAAGCTCCTTCTTGAACGCAGAGTGTCCAAGCGGTACTTTCAAACTCTTCCAGGCATTCATCAAGAGCTCATGGTCTTCGAGAACAGTGAGGTGAAGATAGATAGAGGTAGGATAACAGCCCGTGAACCAGTAGAGCGCTATGTTTGTTAGGATGAGGTCTTTGGAGGGTGTCTCGTCGGACCAGCGGTGCATTTTATCGCCGATCCATGCGAGGAGGGCGATGGGGTTGCTGCCGAAGATGTAGCCTGCTGTAGCTGGCTTTGTGCCGTCGAGTTGGATGAAGGCTGTTTCTTTCTTTTGAAAGTCTGCCATTCTGCCGAATGCTGCCATCTCATCGGAAGTATACCTGCCGGCCATGATGCCCTCTTCGACGTTCTCTCCAGGAGGGGGTGAGATGTTTAGCATGCTCATATGAACGAGCTTACATGCTGGATCAATGTTGGCGATGACAGGTGCGGTCCAGCCGCCGAGATCGCCTCCCTGGATCATGTACCCCGTTTTGTCAAAACACAAAGAGTGCATCATCTTTGACATGAGTCGGGCATTATCGATATGAGTAAATGGCTTGTCGAGAGGCGGTGCATCAGAAAAACCGAAACCAATATGGTGAGGAACAACGATGTGATAAGGTAGAGATTCAGGATCGTACTCAGATTTGAGTTTCTGAAGGATGGGGAGGTATTCAACAACAGAGCCAGGCCAGCTATGAAGGAAAAGGATAGGGATCGCAGAAGGGTTCTTAGAGAAGAGAGCCATGAAGTTGATCTTGTAATCTTTCGAGTCATCATCAATGACGGTGATGTCAAACTGCGGGATCGAATTGAGAGTAGCCTCCCATTTCTTCCAATCGTAGTCATTCGCCCAATACTCAACCAATTCCGTCAAAGTATCTCTGGGAAGGCCAAAAGCGCCATCTTCACGCGAATTCCAAATATTCGCCTTCGGGATCGGTGATAACTTAAGAAGTGTCTTGAGCCGCTCAATCTCACCGTCAGGAACGGAAATAGTGGATGATGTAAGATTTGCTGCCGCGGGGACGGTCCAGGGCGGAGCGCTAAAGGGAAGGGAAGTCATTTTGGAAAATGGATTGAGGGTGCTTAGAGTGATTGAAAGAGGCGAATTGGTTTGGAATACAGCTTTTAATGGTCTTGTCGACTGTTCTTATGCGTTTTTGCTCAACTTGGGGATGAACTTCTGCCTTGGGATGAAGATCCTTGGAGGATGAGATGCGCGAGGGTGATTGGCAGGATGTCAGATTTCTAGAAACTTCGCGAAATTACTTCTCACTAGCGTCAATAAAATAAATAAGAATCATATAGATACTTCTGGAAGTTTCTAACACTAATTAATTGATGTTGTTGTGCTGTCGGCGCATCAGCGAGGCGTTGGCTCGAGTGCTCGCGGCGCACCTTTGATTTGGAATTGAAACGAAACTCGGTTTAAAGATATTGCTCCATAGTATAAATAATCAGGCAATTGAGATCAGACGTGTTTCAATAAACTGGTGATTACAAGCGTGAGAATAAAGTCAAGGCAGCTAAGAGAGGTAATGAGGTTTGGCATTCAGCATGAGAACATTACTCTATATTTATCCTTCTTTGCTCATCACCCTATATCAATACTCTTAGTCAATAGCCATCTTCTCTACTTCCTATCAGTCGCAGCTGAATCTCCAGATGTTACGTCACCTCCCAGCACGGCTGTGTATGTTTTCCCTGCTATAGAGTTGATCTCTCTCAGGTTACCATTAGTGCTATTATCTCCCTTTTTCTCATCGCTCTCCATTGAGTTCAGCTAACCCTTAATTGAGTTTCCTGTTATATTTGCCTGCGTGCAGTCTTCGTCAGGTGCGAGATGCAGCAGGAGAACCTCATATGAAATGTGAGTTTCGCGTACTACGAGCAAAGGAGTTTTAGCATTTAAATACCTGCAAGCGCGAACAGGTATTCGCATGGGTTGTTAGACTTCTTCGGTTAGATATTCTCACCTGAGGCGTGAGTTTCCGCATTCAATAAAGCTGTGTCCTGGAATTTGGGGCCTGTTGGTGAACTAGAATTAAGATCTCATCATCTAGCCTATGTGGCAGGCACAGATCTCAGTACCTTGGTAACAGTTAAGTCTTTCCATTTTACAAGATCCTATCCCCTTGTCTGTCAAGGCCTGAGACCCGTTTAAGCTGGTGTTGGTCTGGTAACCAGATCGCTACGTAAGCGCTTGCTAGCCATGAGGTTGCAACATAATCTGTTAACACAGTTGATGTCTATAACAATACCGAACGGTTGACATTTCATGTAATCAGTCGTTAAAGTTATTGCATGAAATAATGCTCAACATAGGGCGGAAGAGATATAATGTCTGGATGAATCGAATCTATCAAGAGATCAATGACAGCCACTCCTCAGCAAAAGGTCTAGCATTATTCTATGGAGGGCCTGATAAGGATAAACAGTGAGCATTTCTTGGGTTTATCAGACACCGGCGCTAGCGGTTATTCTACCGCTGTGTCCGTGAGCAGGCCATGTGCCATGCAATGCGGGGTGAGCAAGACAATCTCTCCGCTCACGAGGACGTCGATCAGCGAAATTCCAGTACTGAGCGTCGCACAGGATAAATTCTCGCACACACCTCCGCGGAGTCAAAATTTTAACATATGGCGCTTTAGCTTTTCTTTTCAGTCGCTTATTGAACGTCTGTTCAAGACAGGAACTTGAGCCATGCCTGGGGTTCTTATCTTTGTTGCATGTGAGAATTGGAGATAGTGGCGGTTTTGGTGTGACTGCTTATCTTTGGCCAATGTTCTAGACTGCTACCATGTAGATTTGACAGACATGCATCAAACTACCGATGGTTCTTCATGTTTTCATCAAATCAGAGCAGGTATTACGGCTGTTGTGAGTCCTCGCCCATGTCGACCTATAGAATGGTCTGGCCCTCGATTTTGACATCTCCCTGCCCTCATTCTCACCAATGATACACCAGCTTTCATGTCTGTTTAGGAAGAGATAGGTCAGTTGGTGCTGCAACCTTATCGCAAGACCCTGGAGGGCTGGTGTTTAGCCCGGAGATGCATTGCATTGACGTCACAGGTTCGAGATCTGTGTCTACCTTTTTCCGGTAGATCTACAAAAATGATAGAGATCTCAACTTTCTCTTTCAGATCTCCGAGGATGCTGCGCCCCAAAGTTCTTATATACAATGACAGCTCCAGAATTGCAAAGCTGTTGGCGACCTAGGTCTTACCATCCTCGTTATCCCGCTAAACATGGCTTCCGACTCGACGCTTATAGAAGCAGGTGAAATGACGGAGACTACTCCTTTGATCCCATCTCACAAACGCCACAACAAGGATTCTCTATCGATAAACACTGCCTCACAGCAGGACAGTCTACCATATAGTGACTACCATACCATCGACTGGCTTCAAGATCTCGTGCAAGACAGTCATCGGCGCCACAACTCAAATCTCTATTCGCGACGCGGGATACGTTACCGCATCACCAAGCTATGGGACGCTTCTCAGGGCTGGGTCGCAGCTTTTCTCATCGGTCTTCTTACAGCCTCGATCGCAGCCTTCGTAGACGTCAGCGTTGAGGTTCTAGCAGATCTCAAGGATGGCTACTGCGCCAGTAACATATTTCTAAGTCGCCGAGCATGCTGTGCATCAGAGACAAACTGCCAGAACTGGAAGCCATGGACAGAGAGCTACGTGTACGCATACGCTATCTATGTCGGCCTTGCTTTGGCATTTGGGATCATCGCTGGGAGCGTCACGGCTACTACGAAGATGAATCTCACTGCCGTTCCTCCGGAGAAAAAAGAGTCGTCTGCAAGTCCCGGTGGAAAGGTCATGTACATGGCAGCAGGAAGCGGCATCCCTGAGATAAAGACCGTATTATCCGGCTTCTGCATTCCTCACCTCTTCGATCTCAAAGTCCTCATCGTCAAGGCCATCGGATCAATTTTCGCAGTCGCGACAGGTATGTGCTTGGGAAAAGAGGGACCCTTTGTACACATCTCAGCTTGTGTTGGATATCTTGTCACCATCTGCATCCCCAAATACGCGAGGAATCAACGGAAACTCAGGGAGATGCTCAGTATCGCATGCTCAGCGGGCTTATCCGTTGCTTTTGGTGCTCCGATTGGAGGTGTTCTTTTCAGCTATGAGGAGATTAGCACGTACTTTCCCCGAAGGGTACTCTGGAGGAGCTGTCTTTGCTCGGTCGTAGCGGCGGCTGTTCTTAAAGAACTTAACCCTACAGGTACCGGCAAGCTTGTTCTCTTTGAGACGAATTATGGCGTCAACTATGATGCTCTTCACTATTTTGTCTTTGTTATTCTCGGTATCTGCGGTGGCGTCTTCGGTGGAGTATTCTGCAGAGCCAATTTCCTCTGGTCCAAGTCATTCCGAAAGATTTCGCTTATCAAGAACAACCCTGTCTTCGAGTTGGCCCTTGTGACGTTGATCACAGCGGTTCTTCAGTTTCCGAATATGCTAATCAGAGAAACTGGGGATATTGTCATGCAGCGAGTTCTTGTTGACTGCAATCATGCCGAGGAGGACTGGATTTGCCAGCAAGAGGCCCAAGCTAGTGGCAAGGGCACTTACTACGCTTGGCTGATCTCCGGGACATTCGTCAAGTTATTCTTAACGACCATTACATTCGGTTGCAAGGTCCCATCTGGAATTATCATCCCCGCAATGGATGCTGGTGCGCTCTTTGGTCGAATGATCGGGCAACTCATCCCCAACATCTCGCCGGGGATCTTCGCCATGGTCGGGTCAGCAGCCTTCCTAGCTGGCGTTAGCAGAATGACTGTCAGTCTCGCTGTCATCATGTTTGAGCTGACTGGAGAGGTCAACTTCATTCCGCCTTCCATGATCGCCATTCTGACGGCGAAGTGGGTGGCAGATGCAATCAGTGCCGATGGTGTTTATGATCTTGCTCAGCATCTTCAAGGACATCCCTTTTTGGAGGCTGAGGGTGCAATCAGCAAGGTCAGGGAATTCAGAGATAATGAAGGCACTGCGATGGTCGACTCCCTTCTTCCTTCAAAAGGCGTCTTGGACGCTGTTGTGTCTGTTGGCCCGGACTATCGTGTCCTCACATCAATACTCCACCAAAAGCTCTCTCATCTTCAAAGCAGCGGCTTGAGCGACTCCGGACTTGTGTTCGTTAACGACAAGGGACTATGTCATGGCTATATCTCGCAATATAAACTGGAGCAAGTCCTGCACATGATTGAGAAAACCGATGGTGTTGAAGAGTCTCGTGAGATAAGCGTTCTTGAAGGTACTCTAGCGGAGGCGATTAACAGAAGCCCCCTCGCTCTCTCATCAAAAGCACCACTTGAGTATGCTGTGGAGATGTTTGGAAAGCTGGGCATCAGTTACCTGGTTGTCACTGAGGAGGATACGGCAAAGGTGCTGGGAGTTGTGTCGGCGAAGCAACTGATCGCTTTTTTGGATAAATTGAAGTAGAAGCACGACATAGAGGAATAACAATACTATAGGAATACAAAAGTCCACCCAACCGTCAATTCATCTTGAGTGGCGGGAGCTGTAGTCCGTCTAATAAGCTGATAAAGAATATTATGCCACTTACGGACGATAAACCAGTGGGTAAGCCTTTGAAGGCTGCTCACGAAAAAGAGATGAAGCTCCGGTGACCATGATGATCTCGACGTCATCCCAAATCCAGCACCTTAACTAACTCTATATAGCAAGCCAAGTCTACAATAAGATGCGACACAATGTAGCCAGCGCCTGCAAAACGACTCAGAAATCGATGACTTGTCCTATCCCGGGTAGATTCAGGGGCGAGAAGGAAATAACACGGGATTCAACTCGCAAGCGAACCCGCGGAATCGCGATGAAAATCGAGAATGCCGATTGAGTCTTGGCCCAGGCACCTTCGCTTATTAGCGTTTAATTAACCACTCTCAATTCGATAAGGTTTCTCTCAACGTAAGACTGTGGCAGTTCTACGTGAAGCTACTGGTGCATAAAGTGCTGTCATGAATTTCCGGTTATGCAGTGGCTGAAACTATTTAGGTGACAGCTACCGGGGTTCTGGCTCTGCGGATCGAGACATTCTAGACTAGACATTCCGCGATACCTTGATACGTCTAAGTTCAAATAGGTGTTTTAATACATCTTACTAAGTGACGGTAGCATTTCACATTGAGGAAAAGTTGTATTCACGGACCGGAAGTTGCTCACAAGTCCGCAGCGTCACATCCCAAATCATCCCAACTTTTAGCATCGTCATTATCTCCCCAGCATCCAAGACCAATCCCTGCCACGGTCTTCTTTCCGCGCCCGCTAAAATCCATTAGTAACATAAACCAGGGGCCAAAACCCAGAAATGCCACTCAATAAACTTTAGGTGGCTTGCGTACACGACTCATGGCACCCCAACGCGTTATCACCACGAATCCTTTGTGTTCTCCCCAGAACAAAAACCGCTCAATTCCCCCTGAACCTGTGACGGCCCGTCAAAACGGAGACACCGTCTGCATCGTGCGGAGCGGAACGTCAGCGATTCGCTAAACCCGCGATATCTTACCCCCCTGGTCGTGCCGATCTAGTCCGGCACGGGAATAGCACGCCCTGTGGCGACACGGCACGTGCATCCATTTCCCTGGGGAAAATCTTCAAGATCAGCGAGTTTGAGCTTTGCTTGCTTGCTTGTAACTATCTCTCTCAGCTTCATCTCGAACATGGCATACCAACGCGAGTTCGAGATGCAAGCCCTTCCACCATCACCAAAATCACGAAGTCCCGAACCAGAACCCAACGACTCTTCAGCATGGAGCCGTCTCATCACAAGCTTCTCCCGCGCCCCATCGCGCCATGACAGCCTGAGCAGCTACGGCAGCTACGCCTTCAACGGGCGGCTGTTCAACATGAGCAAAGCAAACTACAACTCTGCCAACACAGCGCTAGCGCGAGAATTGAAGAACCGGCACTTGCAGATGATTGCGTTTGGCGGATCTATCGGAACGGGTCTTTTTGTCGCGTCGGGTGTTGCGCTGTATCGCGGGGGCCCTGTCTCGCTGCTGTTGGCGTTTATCATCATGGGTGCTATGCAGTTCTTTACGATGCAGGCGCTGGGGGAGTTGAGTGTTGCGTTTCCGGTGGGAGGGTCTTTTGCGAATTATTCGACGAGGTTTTTGGATCCGAGCTGGGGTTTTGCTATGGGTTGGAAGTGAGTAAATGCGAATAAGTGAGATGAGATGAGACTGACTTTGGGTAGTTATACGCTGCAGTATCTCATTGTGCTGCCTCTTGAGATCATTGCAGGAGCATTTACGACGAATTACTGGAATCCCAACGCCAGCAAGAGCATTTTCATCGTACTCTTCTTCATTCTCATCCTTGGTATCAATCTCCTCGGGGTCAAAGGCTACGGCGAAGCTGAGTTCGTCTTCTCAGCCGTCAAAGTCACAGCCATCGTAGGCTTCATGTAACAACCCCCCAACTCACCCTCCCTACAATCTTATCTAACAAAATCAGTCTTCTCGGTATAATCATCAACATCGCAGGTTCCCCAGAAGGAGACTACATCGGCTTCACACGGTGGCAAAACCCCGGTGCCTTTCACAACGGTTTCAAAGGTTTCGCGAGCGTTTTAGTAACAGCAACCTTCTCCTTCGCCGGCACAGAAATGGTCGGTCTCGCAGCAGCCGAAACGAGCAATCCGAAAAAGTCCCTCCCCGCAGCAGTGAAGCAAGTCTTTTGGAGAATTTCTCTCTTCTACATTCTCTCGATTTTACTCATTGGACTACTGGTGCCGTATAATGAACCGAGATTGCTAGGGGCCAAGTATGGTTCTGATGCAGCGGCTAGTCCGTTCGTGATAGCGATTGAAATGAGCGGCTCGGATGTTTTGCCGGATATTATGAATGCTGTTATTCTGATATCGCTGATCAGTGTTGGGAATACAGCTGTGTATGCGTCGTCACGGACGTTAGCCGCGTTGGCGGAGCAGTCACTTGCCCCCAAGATGTTTGCGTACATTGATCGAACTGGACGACCTCTCGTTGCGATTATTTGCTGCGGTTTGCTAGGTTTACTAGCATTCACCGCCAACTCCAAGATCCATAACGAGATCTTCAATTGGCTCCTTGCGATTAGTGGGCTAAGCACGCTCTTCACATGGAGTTCCATCTGCGTCTGTCATATTCGCTTTCGAAAAGCATGGGCGCTATCAGGGTATAATGTCTCCCAACTTGCCTTCAAGTCGCAGGTTGGAGTTTGGGGATCATGGGTTGCACTCGCAGCTTACGGAACAGTTCTGGTTCTTCAGATCTGGGTTGCTATATCGCCGATCCAAGCGGAGGGTGAAGACCCCCTCACGACGTCTGAACGGTTCAAGAACTTCTTTCTACAGATTTTAACGATCCCTATAATTTGCTTGTTCTATTTCACTCATAAGATCTGGGTGGGGACGAAGGTGGTGAGGGATAAGGATATAGATATTAATACGGGGAGAAGATATCTCCACGTTTGGAATGAAGAGGAGGAACAGGCAAAGCGGAAATGGCCGTTATGGAAGCGAGTGTATAACCATTTATGTTAATATTATAGAGACTAGAATGTCCTAATTATTTAGTTTAAAGACACCGTGCATGCAATCTGCAGTTGTGAACTGGTCGTATTGGCGTATCCGTGCTGAAATTGCTCGCCAGATGACTCACGGCCGGTAAGCACCAGTGGAGTTGTCGATCAGCCAATCGCTAACCCCAATTCCGCTCCACGGCATCTCGGGCTTATCATAAAAGGGCGATATTAGCCAGACGTCATAAAGGAAACGTAGAGCCTCATGAATCACCCAAGTCGTATCGCTTAACCATTCTTCCAGGCGCTGCAGCAACAATGGCAGCCCATACATTCTGGCAGTACATCCGCCTCAAAGCAATCATCACTTTCATCCGTCTGATAAACTACATCTTCACGCGTCCTCACTTCACGCCTTCACCAACATGCACCCGCAAACTCATCCGCATTCCCTCCCGCGACTTCAACCGCTTCATCAACGCTTGGATCTACTACCCAAACAATTACGCCGACACTAGAAAATATGGTCTCGTGATCAATTGGCACGGCGGTGCTTATACCCTTCCAAATCTCGGCATGGACCATCAATTCTGCGAGCGAATAGCCACAGAGAACAATGTCTTGGTTCTCGATGCTGATTATCGCAAGGCGCCTGAACATCCTCTTCCTGGAGCTGTTGAAGACGCCGAAGATACTTTCAGATGGGTTGAGAGCCAGGCACAAATGTTTGATCTTGACAGAGTTGCTTTGTCGGGGTTCAGTTCTGGAGGAAACCTAGCGCTTGTTGCATCATCTGAACTAAGGCGTGAGCTCAAGGTGAACATCAGGGCTGTATACGCTTTCTACCCAGGCGTTGATCTCTCCATTCCACCGGAAGAGAAAACAGTTCCGAAACCCATCCGACCTCTTCCCGTGTCTTTCCAGCATCTTCTCGCTGACGCGTACGTACCGCGCATTGAAGACCGCAAGTCGCCCAAAGCATCGCCCATGTACGCCGAGGGAACCTCCTTTCCGAAGCATGTTATGCTTGTTGCTTGTTCTGGGGATATCTTCACGCCAGAGATTGAAGTTTTCGGAAAGAAGTTGGAGCGGGCTGGTCGTTGTGTTGAGATCGTCAGGGTTGAGGGGGCTCATGGATGCGATAAGACTACAAATCCGAGGACGTTTAGGCCTGAGGCGAGAGATTTCGCGTATGCTAAGGTCGTACAGAGCTTACACGGTGTTATGCAATAAGAGGGAAGAGGGAGTGCGGTGAAAGCCGGCGGAGACAGGTTAACTGCCATTCAAAACATTGACTTAGAACATATGAACATTCTTGCTACATACGTTATTTAACATGTGGTAGAGAGGTCTTCATTGTTGTCATGTTCTCAATGTGAACGTCGGCGAGTTGGTTCGTAACAGTTCTGGTGAACATGCAATATACTCACAGGAACAAGACATATCAGTTCTGCATAAGCGTCCGCGACGATGGAAGGCTTAGGAACCGAGATTGCATTCTCGATCCCAATCTATTCTAGTAATAAATTCTATTGAACGTAAATGTGCGTCACATCCTCCAGAAATACAAGGTCATCATACTCGTGACAACAAATCCCTGATTCCAGCCCAATAGCACACCAATGCGGTCATGGGAACTGAAGGGAAGTTCATGGGAATGGAAGAATACGAGGCTATTTCTGACAAATTTGCCCAGACACAAGAAGCAGTCAAAGAGTAGAAGTGTGAAACCCGTCTTCATAAACAACGAACTCGAGAGCGAGATCAGGAAACTCCAGCGTGAGGATAGGCAAACCAGCAACAATAGATAGACATTGCCAACGCCACAGTGGACGCCGCCGCGGTATGCGTGAAGAGCTAAATGTAGGATACTAAGAGAGGGTGAGATTCCTAGTTCCATTGATGTTCACCTTTTCATGTCCATTTCCAGTGTCAAGTTCAAGGTCAGTCAGTTTCAAGACGCTGCCAGTGTCCGCATTCGCATAGTCCTGTGACCGTCACTGCCAGTACCCAGGCTTGTCTCATTATGTACCTGCCACTGCAATATGGAAAGCTGGTCGCCAACATTCTATCTTCGCAAACTCTTCCTGACAAACTCTTCATGTTTCTACAACTCTTCACCAATTCTTTACCTTTTTACAACTCTTCACCTTTCTACAACCAACATCACACTGACCTACCAACACCTTTCTCTTACACCCAAACTCACGGATCCTTGCCCAACATGGCGTCAGGCGATAAGACTCAGCATTATGAAATGCTCGGAAAGTCCCTTTTCAAGTGAGTTTCTACTTACTACCCGAAACAAAAGGCTAATTCTTATGTCAGGCTCTACGAAACCGAGATGTATTCCGATCTGAAAGTCGCTTGCGGAGGGGACATTCATAAAGTCCACAAGGCAATTATTTGCCCCCGATCTACCTTTTTCACGGCCGCTTGTAATGGAAACTTCAAGGTTAGTCAGCATCTCTCTTTGGCCTGTACGTAATACTGACAATGAAATACAGGAGGGTTTGGAGGGTATGATCAACCTTCCGGACGACGACCCGACCGTAGTCCGCGAAATGATCTATTACCTTTATAGCTTGGACCTCGTTGGTTATGAGTTCAGACCCGAGGATGGCAATTACGTCGAGGAGGATCTCTCGGACACGGAGTACGACGACGAGACGATGCGACGCTTGCAACGACAGCACCACAGATTCGTGGAGCATAGATTCGTGGGCAAACGAAGAGTGAAGGGACTTGTCGCTAAGCTTGGAGTCCGCATTGGACCCCCAAAGAACCTACCTTTGTTCGCAAAGGTCTATGCCATTGGAGAGAAGTATGGCATTCCGGGTTTGAAGGCCATCGCGCTGAGCAAGTTTGAGATACTCGCCAAAGCCTATGCCAATACCAACGAGTTTCGCATCGCAGCGGAGGAAGTTTACACCTCCACTATTGACCAGGATCGCGGCATGCGAGATGTTGTTGTCAAGACTGTGGAGGAGAACGTTGCGCTGCTCAACGACGCAGAGTTCGAAGCTCTCGCCAAAAACACTGAGTTGGGTCACGATCTTCTGATGAAGATCACTTCAACTCACCGTGCAGCACTGCAGGTTAGAGAAGTCTAGGCTTTCATGGCAGACATCGATCATCCACGTCAGTTGTATCCGACCAGCCTTAGTCACCTCTTGTCCTTGAAACATCGGATTTTCAGGAGCTCAATATTCATTTATACCCAGGGAAATACGACAGAACTGCCAGGCTTGACGGTGGTCTCTATGGTGTCACATAATTTGGAACGACAGAGTTGCCAGACGCACCGAACCTGAACAAGTCATTCTTACTGTCACCCTTCCCCACAGATTTCGACCGAAAAGATGAAGAGTTTAGGCCATTGATGGATAGTTTATTTAAACTTGGTAAACTTTAGGCATGTAGATTAGTTCTTCAATGGAGACTTTCATCACCAATTAGCTTAGCCCATCTTGATGTGAACGAAACCTTCGACCGGATAGACTTCAGTCTCAGGCGTGCAACACCACAAATCGTAGTTTCTTGACCAAACTCTATCATTTATGATTCAAAAAACAAAAGTATAATGCAAATATATATGTCAAGGCCTGCTGCACGGGTGAATTTGCTGTGCATGCACCTCCACTCATCCACCATGGGGGACCCTATGGACTACAGATTGGGTAGCGGCCCACCACCACTTTTCAACGCAAGCGAGAGGAGCAATGAGTGTCTAAACAGTCTTCCGGGGTAATATTTGGCAATTATTATAAAGTCTTTTCTTTTGCTGATTTACGGAACAGCGTACTTGAGACCGGAGAGCTTTCCGACCTTACCATCATTTGCGGCAACAATCGGTATCGTGTGCATAAGCTCATCCTTAGCACCGGGTCTCGATTCTTCAAAGTCGCCTGCACTGGCACATACAAGGTAATATTAATCAAATCACTATTTCCAGGTTGCGAATCGGGAAGCTTACAGCATATCGCAGGAATCTGATGGAGAAATCTACCTCCCAGACGACGATCCCGCTGCCGTGCGAAAAATGATTGGTTATCTCTACAATATCGACTACAACCCCACGAGAACCCAGATGCCGGATTACGAAGACGATGTGGAGGCAGAGCTATCCGATACAGAATACGACGGGGAGGCACGGTACCGGATGAAGCTCTTTGGAGCAGAATTTATCGAACGAAAAAGAATAAAACAGCTCAAAGAGCATGAGTGGGGAGGCTGGAAGGCCGAAGAGTCTCCCATTTCTTCGCAGCTCTGCCTGCAGGCGAAAGTGTATGCGCTGGGCGAGAAGTACGGGATGCAAGGTCTTAAGAACGTAGCCAGGGGCGCGTTTGAGAGCGAAATACAGAGTGGCAAAGTTGGAGTCGACGAATTCGCGGAGGCGGTGGCAGAGGTGTATACTTCGACGGTCAGCGAAGATAGGGGGTTGAGGGATGTGGTTGTTAGGATGATTGAGCAGGATATCTTGTTGTTGGATCATGTGGTTGTGCGGGAAGTCATGAGGACTACTGACTTTGCGTTGGATGTCTTGTTGTACATGTCACAGGGAATGAGGAGTCAGGCAAGGTTTAAAGATTCGCCACAGACTGCAAGTCTGAGAGTTTGGGGGTCTTGACTACACTAGGACTTTTTACAACATGAGAACTAAGTTCTGTCTGCTACTTTAGGCCCCAGCAGCAACGATCCTCTATTTTTGCTCTGTTCCTCCTGCACATAGCTCATTACCAAGTCATAGGCCAAGCCCTCTTCCTTCAAGAACTCCTTCATATCCGACCGCTTAAAAAGGCTCGGCTTCGATTTCAGCATTCTGACAACAGCGTCGCGAAGAGGGCGATCGCCTTCGGCAGTGCAGTTGTATGCTTCCTTCACCATATGTATCAAATACCCAAAGTGGTCAACACTGCTGCTTTCGAACTCCTTTTCACCCTCGGTTTCAAAGTTATGGACAGCTAGAGCTTTGAGGCCGGTGATACCGTACTTTTCACCTAGTGCGTAGACTTTGTAGTGAACATAGATGTTGACGTAGGGGACGAAAGAGTCGCGGGATACTGGTCCTTGTGGAGGAGGGATGGTGGTATGGGCAGTCTGTAGTGGATGCAGAAGAGACTGGCTGACAGAATGACGAATTATTTTCAACGGCACTGTTCCGGGTGGGAAAGGAATCATAGAGGGCCGTTGGTATATCGGAACCAGTCTCATCTCGTCGGGGATAGTGTACGTTTGGTGATAGAAATACTCGATCATCATGCTCACAGCAAAGGGGTCATCATCGGGCAGTTCGATCTCGCCTGTCTGAGCTTCCTGTACCAAGTCAGTAAAATCTTCCCAGAGGAGATTTAGTGCAAAGTTACCTTGAATCCACTGCAGCACGCTGCTTTGAAGAAGTCAGATCGAGGACAGATAATTGCCTTGTGGACTTTGTGACGCTCCTGACTACTGATGATGACGAAGTCGGAATAGTCACCGGTTTTGAGGAGGCTAGGCTACACATCAGCATCGAAGTTTTGGCCAGATGTGATAGGGGATACTCACTTTCCAAGGGCTGTTTTCTGATCGCCGGCGTGGTCAAAGACCACAACACTCTGGGCAGGCATGATAGGTCAAGAACCTTGTTCTTCCTTCTAGTAGAGCACGTTCTCCAGATCTTGCCGCGGGGTGCTGTCACGGAGGTCTTAATGACAGATGGAGAGACTCGCAATAGTGTCTACTGGCGATGGTGGAAGATGAAGAGTGAGAGGGAGGATGCGTCCTTTTTATAGAAGGAATGTTTGTTCATGTCCAGGCAGTGGCGGTTACAACAGGGGGTTGTTGTCACTGCCTGGCCAAATCTTGACACTTTGTTGCTGTTTGACTTGGTTGCCATGTTTGCACAAGACATCATACGCAACATCCTGTTTTCAACAAAGGTGCGAGTGAGTTTGGACTACGAATGATGAGCTGTGTAGATTGCACAATCTTGACATATTTTATGACGATACACATTGAAAGATTGCACTACGGTTTGGTAGTCCGGTAGGAGTCTCTGTTCAAGTAGAAATTGTAATATTTCTTGGTTCAAGAAGCCCTTTTGCCAGATGCCAGGGACAAGAACTATGGCTTGATCTCTATCATACCTAAGTTATGACATTACTTAGGTAAATTTAGTCCATCTTAGGATAACTTTAGACCAGTCCCTCAATCCGACGCAAATTGCATGACCATATCAAAGCTCAAACCCAGGCCAGGATCCTTGAGAACTGCCTTCACAGAGTCCTTCTTCAGGAGATGCTTGTTGTTTCTCAAGATCGCGACCACCGCATCCCGGAGAGGACGGTCCGTTTCAATAGTCGAGGTATATGCTTCTCTAATCGCTTCCAAGAAGTCGTCGGTGTGAAGACGAAATGGGGCCTCTGTCTCGAACTTGCGAAGAGCTAGTGCCTTGAGGGGTTGTATGCCGTACTTTTCGCCGAGGGTATAGACTTTGGCGTGGAGATGCAGGTTTGGGGTATAGATGGGTCGTGGAGGAGCAGACGGCTGCGGAGGGGGAGGCGGGGTCGGTGCTGGGGAAGATGATCCGAAAAGAAATGAGTTAGGGGTTGGCGATGATTGATCGGGCGAAGCTTGGACGGCATTGTAGCCAGAGGGGGAGTTGACACCTCCGAAGGAACCACGTCCTCGTCGGCTCCGGCCACGTCCTCTCCCTGGTTCCTGGGAAGCGGCAGATGGCGGAGGAGGAGGAGTAGAGGCGGTACCAGAACCAACAGGCACAGGTTGAGAGATGGGAGTAATTGGAACCTCTGGCGGAGCTGTGAGCCTCTTGACCCTCTTGTTGCCGACGAAGGTTGCCCCATAGAGCTCCATCTTCCTCTTTTGCTCGTCATTGTACTCGGTTTCAGAGAGATGTGCATCGATAGTGCCGTTGTGGTCGCGGTGAATGATCGCTTTAGGCGGAACATACGTGTCATGATACAAGTACTGAATCATCATGCGCACGGCAGTCGGATCGTCGTCGGGCAAGTCGATTTCGCCAGTCTGTGCTTCCTGCGAAAGTCAGCCTCGGTCTCGGCGCGAGCCCATCGTGAAGGCACAAACCTTGAACTTCCCATCGCAAGCGGCCTTGAAGAAGTTCGATCGCGGGCAGATGATCGCCTTGTGAACGCGGTACTGATCTTTGCCACACGTGATCGTGAGATCAGAGTAATCTCCTGTTTGGAGAAGGCTGGAGAGCGGTCAGTCGCTTGACCATAGTCAAAGAAAGTAATACTTACTTGGCGAGCGCTTCGCTCTGCGCGTTTTGGGTGGCCATGATAGCGGCGTCGCGTTGCGAAGAAGAGTGAGGAGATATTGTTGGAAGATGAGAGGTGAGAGTTGTGATTAAGGCGCGGAGACAACCTAAGGCTGCAGCTTAGGATCTCGACCCTAAATGATCATAAGGCTTAAGTAAATTTAGCATAACTTAGTGCAGATTTGGGGGGCTTTAGATTACCTTAGGGAGTTCAGTACCTACCTTAGCTAACGTCAGAAGTCTTGGTCCCTGCAACTAGGGCGGCTGCTGGCAGCTGGTCGGGTTACACAATCGCAACAAGCCCCATAGCCTAGCTAAACGAATGAGTGATGGCATCTCCTGTTTTTCAATCCAAATTACAGCAAGTGTCAGACACTGTTTCTCGTAATTTGATGCCCTTTGCTTCGGTGTGTTGTGTCTGTTTGTCCGAGCGGCCGCACTCATCGATCTCTTGGGGATATTGCTATTGCCCCTGAGTTTGGTCACTGTATTGAACAAGGGACATGTACCAGGAGTTGCCAGCTGGTAATTCCCTCCTCTGTTTCTCAACTGCCTCCCCCAGCCGCGTCGAAATCGGAGGCAAATACCATCCCAAAAGCGACATGTTCATACATCCTACCGCGGTAAGAATCCTTGACCAGGAACTCAACTGGGATAGGCTTTCTCCATCCTGATTTTCTCCATCCTACACCTGTAACCTTTCCAATCACCTTCCCAGGCAGTATCCTCACATGTTCCCCGTCTTGCGTGTGACTATGTTCACCAGGGTCAAGCTCCTGAATATCAAGGCCAAGCTGAGTCGCTGTTTTGACTGAGATGTAATTGAAGGATCCGAGGTAATCAATCATGGCGCTTTTCACTGGCATAGCTTTCCCGTTGTTGATTAAATGCCCTTCAATGGCTCGGACAACTCCCTCGCGTGGACCAACCGTACGTGCCGAGGTGTCTATTCTCGGCGACTTGGGCACATCAGGGCTTTGCGGAGTCGCAGGCGTGTCTGGGGTCTGTGGCGATGATGATGGAACGGCTGAGTGAGGTCGAAAAGACTCAGGGCTACTGGATGTATGCCGTATTGCCTCCGATGGGACTCCGCGAGGCACTGTGACACTATGGGACGGCTGTGGAGTCTGAGTGGGTACTGGACTCAGAAATGTTTCTTCTGGGACAAGTGACCTTCGATTACCAGGTGCTCTGTCAGATCGGGGTGTCGAACCAGTTCGCCGTACACTCTGTGACAAGTAGAAAAGTGATTTCGTCGCAGTGTCAAAGTCTGACTCTCCGTTTGTACTGGACCACGGCTCCTTCATTACACTCTGATACTGTTTCTCGACTAGTTTTAACTGGCCCTTCAGTGATTTTCTTATGGGCGTTAGACACTTTGTCGGTCCAAAAAGACGAGTCTTATACTTACATCTCCTGCTTCAGGCACTCCGCCACCTCGCCGGAGGATTTATTGAGTAAATATCGATTTATCTCCAGTCCGATGATTGGGCAAACGAGGTTAAGACTAGATGCGACGAGCTGCATTTCGGGAAATAATGATTCAACTTCCATTTTATCCAGCAAAAGCCAGCTGATCTTTCTTAAGATTTTGGATCGATTATTCGTATCGTTAAGGTCCCGTGTTGTATGCCTCATTTGCTTTCTGATGGATTCTGTACTAGAAACGATGAGGTCCAGGGACTTGTTGTCGATAATGTACTGTAGGACTTCTGACGGAGCTCGCTGCATCTTCTCAAGCTTTGATGCATGGCCTTTAAGCGCTTTCAGAGAAACGTCTATACTGTTAGCCGATGCCTGTATTCCGCTCGCCATTCTTTCAATTTCTTTGGCGACATGGCCGTCGTCGGAGGTGATTCCTCTGAGAGATTTGACGAAATTGGCTGTTGGTCTTATTAACCCCACGATGGTGACAACACTGGCAAAAGCACCGAGGGCTTCCATGCTGGGCATTCAAATATTCCAAACGGCTAAAGTTGGGTCTGCCCAACGTTGGAGAGCAGGAGATGGTTGAGGTTATTTATTTTGCAGTCCATCTAATACCACTATGCCTTGCTGTGGCCTATACGATTGGGCTTGTCAATTCAGACCTCATCACAGCCTGCTTTGAATGACATTGTCGGCGCACTTCGCTAAGTGTGTGTGTGCTCGGATTTCTCTTTTTGGTAGACAGTAGGCCTACGGCTCAGTCAACGAGTGACACGTCAAGCTGCACAATTGTCACAATCTGCAACCAACAGCATAGCCTGGTTTCCGTTCACCCCGCCTCAATCAGTTGCCTTGCTTGCAGCATCCAAACGACTCAAGATTTGAGGCGCCCATCACAACTGCAAGTAAGGCAACACTTTACCGGAAACCTCAAGTCATAATTGGCTGATTCAGGAGTCCAGAAACGGTATGCATAGCGGGAGGCGTTCACTGAGTTTCAACGGATATCATAAGGGAGACTTGACATTCTGTCGGCAATCATGCCCCAGCTACGACAACACCGAGCACAAGCAAGAGCAAACACCAAATCAAAATAAATCTTCGCCCAAACGACATGTCTCACACCAAGAAAGATGCAGTGAAACAAAGTAACAATCTCGCCATCGCTGATAAATCCGCTGACTAATCCCTTCCTCGGAACATCAAAACCCCGATCCCTTGACATCATCCTCAACTCACATCCCGAGTCTCACACCCAATCCCCAAATCACCCCCAGCCATGGCAAAGGCAGAGCTCGGATTGAAGATCGGCTTCTACGCCTATCCCATCGTCCTCTTCGTCACGCTTCTCGGCGTCCAATCCGCTCAGTTCTACATAACCCGCCATGGCACCACGACGACGCGTAAAGTCGCGTTGGACAATGATGTAAAACAGCACATTGACAGGATTCGAAGGTTTTACGCGCGGTGTATTTGGGTTCTGCAGGTTGTCCTCTCGGGATTGTTGATTGCGAGTGTGGTGTATGCTACGAGGGAGGTTTTTGCGGATCAGGATGGTGTGAAGGGGAGTGTTGAATTTGCGTTTAGTGCATATCTCGTACGTTTCCCTTCCCTCTGTCATATGATGGATAACCAACCAACTTTAGGCATCTTTCGTTGGAGTGCTGCTTTACTACGTCGCTGGTCTTCTTCCAGATCCTGAGGGACCGTGGAATCCGAACTCTGCTCACCTTTCAGCATGGTGCGTGGGTGCCCTTGCAGAGATTGTCATTGCAGCTGCTCTCTCAGCCATTGAGCCGAAACTTCGAGCATCACCTGGTTTCGTCGACACGCTCAACATTCTCGGCGCTGCGAGGGTTCTTGTGCTAGCTTTGATGATTGGGGCACTGGGTTTGAGAGAGTATAAGACTAAGGCGCTGGAACCAAAGTCTTTGCCGGAGGAGAGACGGGGACTTCTTGAGAATGGGAATGGGGCAGCAGAGGGATATGGAAGTATTCAGCCTACAGCTGCTGAGCCGAGAAGGACGCAGGTTTCTGGGACAGGATGGCTGGATTACTTTGCTGGATTCCGGGTCTTGTTCCCCTACCTCTGGTAAGTCCCTTCCCTCAAACTCTGCTCACTAACTAACACTCACAGGCCAAAGGGTTCTCCCGTCTACCAAGCCATCGTACTAATCTGCATCATCCTCCTCATCTGCCAACGCACCGTCAACGTCCTAGGACCTCTCCAGCTCGGCACCCTCGTCGACAGCCTCGGCGAAGGCAAACTTCCCTACAAAGAAATCATCCTCTACGTCGTGTACCGCGCTCTCCAAGGCAACCAAGGCGTCCTCGGCGCCGCGCGATCCCTCCTCTGGCTGCCCGTATCACAATCTCTTTTCCGCCGTCTCTCCTCTGCTGCATTCGAACATGTCCTCGGCTTATCGCTAGAATTCCATCTCAACAAAAAGGTCGGCGAAGTCACCAGCGCCCTGAGCCGCGGCGCTTCAATCAACACCTTCCTTGAAAGTTTCTGCTTCCAGGTGTTTCCCATGGTGTTTGACATTTTTGTCGCTGGTGTGATTTTCTTTGTGAAATACGATGCTTTCTACACAATTATTGTGTTCTTCATCATGTGGTCTTACATCTTCTTGACAATCTACGTCGCCAAGTACCGAGGAAAACAACGAAGAGACATGACCATCAAGACTCGTGAGATGGAAGCCGTCAAGACGGATGCTATAGTAGCGTATGAGACGGTTCAGCACAATTGTGCTGTTGCGCGCGAGACCGCGCGGTTCAGAGAACATGTTACTGTTTTCCAGCGCGCAGAGAGATTGGTGCAGTGGTCGTTGAACGGGTTGAATCTTACGCAGAGTTCAATTTTCACTTTGGGAACGGCGTTGCTTGTTTCAGTCTCGGCGCACAAGATTTCCATTGGGGAGCAGACTGTCGGTGAGTTTGTGAGTCTGATCAATTACTTTGTTCAGCTCCAGGGTCCTTTGAACTTCTTTGGCACATACTATACCATGCTTCAGAATAACCTGATTGAAGCTGAGCGTCTACTTGATATCGTGAGTACCTCTCCTCTATGAAAATGGGGTTTACTAATGGAAACAGTTCAAAGAAACACCCGGCGTTGTTGAGAAGCCCGATGCCATCCCATTGCCCTCACCCAAAGGCCAAGTCTCCTTCAACGATGTCAAGTTCGCGTATCACGTCAAGAAAGGCGATCCCGTTCTCGACGGCATCAACTTCACCGTCGCCCCAGGCACAAAGACCGCCATCGTCGGAGAATCGGGTAGTGGAAAGTCCACCTCTCTCAAGCTCCTCTTCCGCTTCTACGACGTCACAGATGGTTCTATCACCATTGACGGTCATGATCTGCGAGATCTCAAGCTCGAGAGCCTGCGTAGCAACATCGGTGTCGTTCCCCAAGACACGGTTCTGTTCAACGCGACTATCATGTACAATCTTTTGTATGCGAGACCAGATGCGACTGAGGAAGATGTGTACAAGGCGTGTGAGGCGGCGAATATTCATGAGCGCATTCTCAACTTTCCAGATGGGTATGAGACCAAGGTTGGAGAACGAGGATTGAAGTTGTCGGGCGGTGAACGCCAAAGAGTGAGTTACCTTTGGGAGATAACATTGTGGACGTAATACTGACATTTGTAGATCGCCATCGCACGCGCCATTCTCAAAGACGCTCGCATCCTTCTCCTCGACGAAGCAACCGCCTCTCTCGACTCACACACAGAGCGTCAAATCCAAGATGCTCTCGAGCACGTCACCGAAGGACGCACAACCATCACCATTGCGTGAGTATCCCAAACCCCTCTCCAAACAGTAACTAACAATCCGCAGTCACCGCCTCTCCACCATCACAACATCAGACCAGATCATCGTTCTTCACAAGGGCAAGATCGTCGAGCGCGGAACACATAATGAGCTCTTGGCGCAGGGAGGACGATACCATGCTATGTGGGAGAAACAAACGACTATTGAGAAGAAGGAGAAGGAGAAGAAGGAATTGGAGGGGGAGGCGTCGGAGACGGGGTCTCAGTAGATGAGGAAGTGTAGGATATGTATTGTAAAAGGTTGGAAAGGCATTGCAGCGATTGGCTGTTGGAATTGTTGGTTAGAAAGCATGGCGGGTAAGAAAAGTCATTTTGCTGGGCCTCGTACTGTACTGTGAGTGTCAGTCCATCTCGAAATGAGTGAGGTTAGCATCGCGTCGCATCTCAACACCAAGAATTGGTCATCTTGGCGTTCGTCACGACACAAGCAACGGAGGCCGACCCAGCTAGCCACATCAATTCAGCGAGTTCAGACAACCATCACTTCTCAGCACCGCACCAATCGAGAACACTGCATACACAGCTCCCTCAAAACACCAATTACATGCAAGAAATCTGTCACAACCTCCAATACAGCCTAGCTTCAACCAATGCAAACTACTTTGCGGGGTCACTCTCCTCCGAGGACGATGCGACGTCATCTCACAAGTTCCTCCGCGGCACGGAACAGTCTAGACCAAGATTAACTTGGACGCGCGTATGTCGGCTGATGAACTCATGCAGTGTTGCATTGACTTTGGAGACCGTCAGATTTAAATCTGAGGGACTTGTCGACGCACTGACGTGTTGAGATAAGCCACGAGGCTGGCGTGTCTCTCCATGGGGCGGTCAGAATGGGCTTCACTGTCGAGATTGAGCATTGTCCAAGAGACTGCGCGATATTGAAGAGCATCACAGCCTGTGAAGAAAACATCGCTGCCATTAAAAGTATTAAAAGTCGTATATAATTAAGCGTAACCCCGTTCTACGTGAGTTTAATAGCATCCTTGGCCTCATCGCTAGAAGCCTTCTCAAAGAACCGCACCCAGCACTTCATCATGAGCATGTTGATCAGATACAACCCTCCAACAACCCCAACGAAACCGAGCAGGTACCAAACCCACTCGTGCTCGCCCAGCCACATTATCGCCTTCGTATCGCCGTGATGCCACGACGCGCCCTCGTAATCAGTCAAATAAGGTTCGAGCTCCGTCGCATTGATCACCTGCACCGTCGTCTCGGGCAGCGACGGCTGCTCGAGCAGATAATTCTTCAGCGCCATGGTCAGGAACAGAGGGCCCGCTGATACCATCACCGCGACGTGCGGGAGGATGTGCGCCCAGGGACGGGTTATGTCGTTGTAGAGCTGGATCCGCGAGAGGGCTTTTGTGAAGGCTGGGTGGTGCGCGGATGTTATCATCATGTCGTTGGAGACGCCGGTGGGTGTTGTGCTCTTGAAGACGGCGTGGTGCTTGGTGCCGTCGGCCTCGATCTGGTGCAGCGGGATGGTCGCGTTGCAGAGCGTGTCCATGTCGAGATAGATGCCGCCGTAGTGGTGAAGAACAAAGTATCGAATGGCGTCGGCGCGCTGAATGTTGAAGGGGAATGTATCCCAAGTGTCGAGGAACCAAGGGTACTCTTCCGAAATAAAATCACGAGCCTTTGCGTCCGTCCAGTGCTGCGACAATTAGCATCCAC